GTGATGTCAAGGTTTGAAAAATGTATGATTCTTCACGTATTACTGTTTCAGTGAAGAGGGTTGCTAAGGCAGTCTGAGGCTGTTGGTGTTAAATCAGAAGTTGTCAACTCGATCGAGATGCGCAGTTCGATGCCGGCAGTTTCAGTCATGTGTAAATGAAGACGTTTTGATCAGCTCATGAATTTTCGACGTATCTTTAAACCCGTCAGCTGATTGGCCTACATCAACTCCAAGTCATGTAATGTAGCTATCGATCACATGATTCTTTTCCTTACTGGGAGGTTGGAGCCAGTAGTTGATATTTGAAATTTTTCGTGTAGTTATCCTAAAGTCCCCGGCCAAGACTAATGAAATGGACTACACGACTTGTGGCAGTTGGTTTGATGCGTCTGGCTTATGGAAGAGGATTTAGTACTAGGCAGTGTTCATGATGTAAGAACACGTCTTAATGTCTGTAGGAAATAACTTTGGAAGTGAAGGGCATCTACAGCCACGGAAAAGCTACTACGTTGTTTGGTTTGGAGCATAGCAGGTTTGGGTGGAAGCCTTGAGGCTTTCGTGGAAGCTCAACAGCTTGACGTGTCTTTTTATCTCCGTCTGGTATGATTTATTGGCTTGCCGAGGCCTTAATAGACCGAAGATGTGCTTCAAGATTCTTTCTGTGGTTCACATCGACATAGACCCCCCTAGCCCCCCAGATTTAGGCACGTTGGTATAGCAAACTTTGAAACCTGAGAGCCTCCATGATAGTGCGGCTCTAACCTGTGAGGATGATATTCAATTCTGAAAGCTGTGTTCTAATAACCGACTAACTCGTTGCAATAGGATTCTTTTGTTTTTTCTCCTTTGCCTCGGATTCTTCTTTCAGTCTCTTTTTCAACTTCTTTAGTGCCGCTTTTTTTGGCACCGGCGATGAAGTACTACCTTGAGCAGGTGTTGAAGACTCTATAGATACCACCATAGGCGTGTGGGTTTTGTCAACTGCTGCAGATTTCTCTTTGGTTGATAAATTGACTATATCCGTCATGATGGAGACGTCGACGGTAGTCGGACGCGATGGAAGCTGTTCGACTTTGGCGACTTCAAGATTCTGAATTTTCGTGCTTCGGTTGGATCCTAGAATTACAGGCTCGTGGGTAACTTCTGTTTCAATAACAAAGCCATGTCTGGACGCTTGGTTCCTAATTTGTCTGGTCTGGGGTGAGTCTGTCTCATCTTGGACAAGAATCTGGATGACAAGTCGATAGATTGCGACAAGGAGGAGTAACGAGTGTACGAGAAGATCGACTAAGAGCTTCAACTCATCGAAAACTTTGATGTGGATTCTGACCACTTTGGAAGATAGACGTTTTAGGAATGGGAATGCCTCCGAAGCAGTGAGATGGCCAACGGTAGTCTTTACTGCCCACCTCGTTGACACTGTCTTGAGTCAGTAAATTGCAGGCAGATATATCAATAGCCTCCTAACTACCTCTGTATTTGCTAATATTCCTCCAGCTTCTTTTATTCTGCGCCCGAGGTTCGAAAGTCTCGTACCATGAAGATGTATGGTCATCTGGCCAAATCTGATACCGAAAGGATTCTGCCCCTCTAACAGTAGGGTGCCACAAGAAGATCCGACGAATAGGTCGGTTTCCTAGGCAACCTTGAAGGACCGGGAACTCAATGTCTTGCAAATTTGTCATCTCTGACGGATGAAAACAATCGGGTGGTGGAGGTGTCATGATTGTCGCAATGTCGCCTTGGGATATGCGCCACGCAAATATAAGCGAAGCGCCCTTGATATATTGGCTCCATGAACCTGTCGTTTTCTGTGATTTGAGGCAAGATGGGTGGCTTGGATCCATCAGTGGCCCCATGGCAGTTCGCAAAGTCTGCATGCCATTTTCGTCGGCCGTTCTTTGAACTTCTTTTGGGTTCGTACCACTCCACAAAAGCTGTTGATTCTTAATCCACCCTTGGTTCTCAAATTGATAGATGATGTCTCCTGCCTCTTGCAACGTCAGATACTGAGGCCATACGGTGCACAAGAGAGCATGCTGGTCCAGTGTCTCTTCAGTAGCCCAGCCACATGGTCGGTAGGAGATGGAAGTAGCGGAAAAGGCACCCATGACTGTCTGTGTAGTATTACTCAAGTAATTCTCACGGCGTTACAACAGCAGAGAGAGCGCCTGTGCTGGGAACAGCACCCGGTGTCACTTATCAACTTCGCTCTCAATAGTTGAAAATTTGACCTCGGAAACATGAGCCAGACATCTGATAAGAGGGGTTACTTTTACCAAGAAACTCAATGGCAAGAAGTTTGGTATTTCATCCATATCAAGATGGGGGTCTGGTTGGCCAGAAGAGCAAAACTTTTAGATGAGTTACATCTAAGTTTTGGAGTTGAGTTCAACACCACCGTGAAATAAAAACTAACATACGCTTGAAAGCAAAAGCATATAGTTGTGCTAATATATCATGTAAACAAAGGCAATATATCAACTTGAGACCTGTCTGTGAGGTCAGCTGTTGGCGTACATGTACAAGGGTACAGCTCGAAGTGTCTGATTTCTGAACTGTGTGCGCGGCAAGTGATCTCAAACATTGGCTTTAGTGATGAATACAAAATATTCCTAGAACTACTTGCATCGATGCCCGTTTGTACCCATTATGGGTTGAAAATGGGTAAAATTTCCGGAAAGGAGCAGAAAGATATGTTGTCCTTCAGAAGCCTTCTAATAAAACAATGTAAGGTTTAAGATAAAGCAGCGCATTGCTGAGGGTTCTTGAGTGTAGGTTCATGTCGATAGCTTGCGAGTGCACACTGTACATTTCAAAATACGATGACAGTGCGTGATGTGTGTCGAATCCGTCATAACATTACCCAGGGCATGGACTATCCTATCGTGGACTTCATGATGCTGTAGCTGAACCGACATTCGAATAGGGAGAAGTGAACAAGAACCAGAAAAACATAGAAAAAAAATTAAACATCACTCTCTATTGCCAGCAGAGTATCTTACTATGACCACCGAACGTGTCTTCCCTTATCAATGTCTTCTTCTTTTCTCTCTCTTTTTCCTTGATTATTTTTTTTGTGGCTTCCTGCAGTGGACACTGACACGACTGAGGACGTTGCAGCGGAACATGCGACTGATTGCACGCGACTTCAGTATCAACGGAATAGCATCTACTGCTTTGATAAGGATTCCTGTTGACTTCAACAGACTTTGATCCACACAGATGTACAGATTTGTTCTCAAGGTCCCAAATTTGTAGACGTTAGGTTCGCATCAGCGAGCTTTTGTCATCATTGCCTTAGGTCTCTAAGTGATACAGCAGCTCCAAAAACCAGCAATGTCCTGGGAGTCTCTTTCCGTTCAGTGAAACGCAATGTATCGGCTTCTCAAGATGGTAAAATCAGCGGGACTCGTCATAAACTAAGCTGTCGTATGAGCGGCCGGAAATGCAAAAGACTGGTGGGGTTTTAGTATCGGGGAATTATTTGCATCTGTGTCTTTCTTTGACACCCGAGTTGAAAGTAACAAAGTACGAGGCGTCTATTACCATATCCATTGATTCTTTAAGGTACGCCTCTGCTTTGCTACTGTGCTAAGCAAGATGGTGTTCCGCCATCGACAGCGACGGCAATGTTAATGACTGTAGGACAAATGAACGATGAACGTACACCTGCTCATCCCACTGAGTGCGTTGTTCTTAAGTACCTTCACACTGCTCCCGCAGTTGCTTTTTATGGATACAAGAATGTCGAGCTCAGATCATAGAGCAGGGCAGAACTTTGTATTTGGGGACCCTTCAGTATATCCAGTCTACTGCTGTGCGTCAAGTCAGAGGAAAAAGGAGTTTGTTATGAGTTATATAACAGTGTGGGGGTTCGTTCAAGATTTTCGCGGCCAAGCGTTTGGCAAAGTCAAAGATTGTGCGAGAATTGTTCAACCAGTGACAAGGACAAGAAGCACTGCGTTTCTGTTAGTTGAATGACTCAGTGAACACCGGCTGCGGAGAGATCAGTCTGAAGCGAAACAATGATGGCGACAGTTTAGACGTTTTTATTTGCACCTCGGCATACCGATCACGACAGGCTTTCAAAGGTCGGGTTGGAATATCTGTTACGCAACGAGAGCCGGGGTTGAAGCTGGGTGGACTATGGCGACATCGCAAGTTTTCACAATAGCTCGCCAGACTAAGCTCGAACACCCATACAAGGCCAACAAGAAGCTTTCGGTCGTCCCGTCCGATTGCCAATAACGGTAAGGAGATAGGCCCATCAAACTTATCCCTTGGAAGTGCTGGGTGCACTTGTTGGACGTTGTACGTTATCTACCCCACCTTTCGCAATCACGCAATCAGTATCTCTGTATCGTGCCATGGAGAGTCGGCTGAGAAAAACCGACCGAGTTTGGTGAAATCGGCCCGCCTCCATACTTATCCACTGCAGGCTTAGGATCCACGGCAGTCGGGGAAGTGGGCAACGTAACAATGGCCCGCCCTTGCCGTTCCCCTCAGATACGTATTGATATCTTGAGAACAGCTGATTCGGTGTACGCCAACCTAATCTATTCTACTATAATACGCATCTTTGCAGATCAGAGATAGATCAATCATACAGCTGAACAGCGATGAATTTAAGGTCAAAAGAGATATCGTCGAGAGCCTGTGCGTGAACATACCCATATGCCTGGACCGGGATGTGGATGGAGTCTGATGGCAATGTCGCAACAAGCTTCCATAAGCTCGCGATCAATCTTGGCTCAATCTTGGCCCCGCCTTGGCCTCTGGGCAAGGCGCTGGTTCCTGATGCGGTTGAGTGTGATGGGGCAGCCAAGGTTAGCAATCCAGGGTCATTTCTAGTAATGCAACCTTACGGACGTCTCATAGATAACATATCAGGGAAGGAGGAGACAACTGTCAAGACCCGAACTTTTTGTTCTTCAACTCTCATTCGGTTTCTCTTTCATCCTTTGCTGCCAAACCAACAAAGATCGAAGCTGAACATCATGGGTAAGTCTTTCCCATGCAAGTTTGACAAGCGTCTGAGCATCCCGGACTAATATGCTTTTGCAGCTGAGAACGTCGTTGGCCTTAACGTACACAAAGTCGTCGAGCCCGACTCCGACCAAGGCGTACATCCCGAAAAGAAGCAACATGTCAGCGCCCTTGATGTAGAGTCTCAACCAAACTCTCTTGAGCAAACAAGCTCTATATTGGACGATGTGTCCTATCCGGCCCCGACGGAGGAGGAGCGCTCGACTTTGCGCAAAGTCGCCGACTCGATTCCCGTAACAGCATGGTCACTCTGTGTAGTAGAGATGGCCGAGAGAGCATCATTCTATGGCGTCAAGGCAGCCTTCAACAACTACCTTCAGTTTCCCCTCCCCGAAGGCGGCCCTGGCACTGGTGCCATCGACCCCTCTAAGCCCAACTCCCATGCCGGCGCTCTCGGCCTCGGGCTTCAAACAGCCTCAGCATTAGGGCTACTGTTCACGTTCCTGGCCTATTTCATCCCAATCTTTGGCGCTTGGATTGCAGACGTCAAGATTGGTAGATACAAAGCCATAGCATTGGGTGTGGTCATCGGGGGTATCTCCCATGTCATCATGGTCGGCGGTGCTGCCCCCTCTGTCTTGCAGGGCAGCAAAGCAGGCGCCGTTGCTGTTTTCCTCATCAGCTACTTCCTCCTGGCCATTGGGGCGGGTATCTTTAAGCCCAATGTCGCACCGACTGTTATCGACCAGTACAAGCACCAGCGGGAATATACCAAGGTGCTTAAGTCTGGAGAGAAGGTTATTGTCGACCCTGAGACCACTATCAACCACATCATGTTAATCTTCTACGCCTTCATCAACGTCGGCGCCTTTTTCTCCATCGCGGTCGTCTACATCGAGAAGTACCACAGCTTTTGGCTAGCTTATCTCGTGCCCGGAATTGTGTATTTCCTCTTGCCGGTCTTGCTTGCCGCCACATACAAGCGCACAGTCAGAATCCCTCCCCAAGGCTCCGACCTCAATCGCTTTGTCAAGATCACTACCACAGGAATCAAGGCTAGCAAGGGCAACATTTTCTCAAAAAACTTCTGGCAGAACATCAAGCCTACAACCCTGGCAGAGCGAGGGGTCCATGTTAGCTACTCGGAGAAGGATGTTGATGATGCACGCCGCACGTGGCAAGCTGTTCAGATCTTCCTGTACATCCCTGTCTGGTACTTGAACGATGGTGGCGTCGGCAACGTGCAGAGCAACCAGGGAGCAGCGATGACATCTGACGGCGCACCTAACGACTTGCTCAGTCATTTCAACCCTTTGGTCATCATCATCTTCTCCCCGTTTATGGCAAACGTCGTGTACCCCTTCCTTGAGCGCAGAAACATCAAAATCGGTCGTATCAGCAGAATGACGATAGGGTTCGTTCTTGCTACCATCTCATCCGTCATTGGTGCGTTGGTTCAATGGCGTGTATACGAGACAAGCCCTTGGTAAGTGTTTGGCTCTCTTAGTTGCAACCCAAAGACATTGCTAACATAGCCTCACAGTGGCTACTATGCCAGTGACTGCAATGACGTCTCACCCCTCTCTATTTGGTGGCAGATCCCTAATGTCGCCCTTGGCGCCATGTCTGAGATTTTTGTCAATGTTACAGCCTACGAGCTGGCGTACGCTCGTGCTCCCGAGCACATGAGATCAACTGTCGTTGCTCTCTTTCTGTTCATGACTGCTTTGAGCAGTGCAATGGGCCAAATCCTGCTCCCCTCTATCGCGGACCCAACTCTCATATGGGCCTGGGCGGCTCCCGGTATCGCCCTCTTCGTCCAAACTATCGTGTTCTGGTACAGACATCGCCACCTCAACGATGATGTTTTTATGACCTACAAGGAGGACTTTGAGAGCGTGAGATCAAATGAGAAGATCGTTGACAAAGAGGAAAAGTGAGGATTACTATACTAGTGGTAATGGTCAGAGTTTGGAGCCTTTCTTGATTGATCTTCCGTCGTGATCAACCAGTATTCCAACAAATGGCAAGCCAAACAAAATATCTAGCGCTGGATTAATTCTAACAGCTGACGAAGCCCATGGATAACAACCTCAAATTAGTTAACTATACCGAAGGTGAACACAGAATGCCTACCTTGTGAAAGCCTTAACGACAAAGATAATTAGCTCACAGATAGCAAACCATCAAGAAGGACATCGTTAACCACATTGAAATATTGTGAAATTGACGATAACACCAATTTTTGCTTGATTTGGGTTAAAAATAACGCTAACAGCTCTTATCGTTGTGTACCCCTCTGTATATGCCTATGTAGTGACTTTGAAGTAGCTGCCTACTCTTGGACGTCCAAGAGAACCATTGTGGGCTTGATCGGGATACAGAGGAGAAATTCAGAAAAGTTTGAATTCCACACCAAGAGAAGAAGCTGATATGCAATACATCATTCGTTACCCTCTCAGTTTCTGTGCACACCTTTTCGGACTGTAGTTGCATATGTGGGTTAGTGACAGAACAGGCTATATTTGCGTGAAACTTGCCACATTGATGCAGCGAGCACGGTGCACGTGAAAGCACCCACTCTGTGCTGTCGACCACGATTTCCACAACCTGAGTTCTCTGGCTTAATAACCAGGAATAGTCATCATCAAACAGTTTGCGTTAAGCTGTATGTGTAGTCTTTTTTTTTCTTGTCCGCCGTCAACGGGATGCTTAAAGACCATGAAGTGCTACGTGGGGCAAGTCTCGTCGCTTGATACCATTTAAGGGGTATTCAAACCAGTGTTTGCGTAAGATTTGTCAGACAATGGACCAGGAACAGGCTTATAACTCTCGTATGATCAGCAGATCACAGGCCGTCCATAGATCCGAAGCCCCGCAAATTGTCATTGTCTCACGGCACAGTCTCCGAAACAAGTATCACCTGTCGACCAGGCGGTGTCAGTCGTGCCCGTCAACCAGGTTGGTAATTCAAGGCGACCCCCAAGAGACTTTAGATTTAGAGAGACAACTTTGTAGTTTTTACGTTTGTATGAAAACAAGCTTTGTGATTGCGCGAAGAGTTTAAGAGAGCGCGACTTGCCAGTCCGAGCCACTTTTCGTCTCCGGAGCCCAACAATCTACACAAGGAGCTAGCCAAAAGAACCGTCGTCTTTCTGAACCATGCGGCTCCGCTACTTTGCTTTCGCCGTTTTTCTGACATCAGATGGTGCTTTTGCGGGTGAGTGTCTCTGCTCCAGTATCTACAGCTGTTGTCTTACACGGGCTGACGATTTTATAGCACCGAGGCGACGAGGCGAAGCCCTTCCAATCACCCTCATTCCTCGAGAGCTCAAAGGGTTTGCAAATGCAAAGCAACCATCCGCTCAACAGATTGCCGCGAACGGACGGGTATGCGGAGATGCAGTGAAGCAAGGTGTATGCGACAATGGCAGATGCGGCAACTTCGTCGCCCCCACCGGATTTGAAGTAATACCTACTGCCGAATCGCAGTGTCTAGATTCGAGTATCCCATAATGCCTACATGTTTGAAAACAGCGCCGTTTCTTTCACCCTTCGTCCTTCATTATTACATGGTGCGCATCGACTTTTGATTGTATCTATTGCCAGCCGAACATTTAAGAGCGCCGAGATTACTACATACACATAATATCAAAAGTGTTTGGATCCTAGAAATTATTCGCTATACCTTTAGTAATGGCCCTCCAAGGTCATGGTGACAGTCTTGGAAACGATGTACTCCTCAATAGCTACGTCCTTACCGGACTCCTTCCCATACCCGGAGAGCTTTATGCCACCAAAAGGTGACTCTGCAGCTGACGAATTGCCAGTGTTCATCCCGATCATGCCCGCCTCAAGCTTTTCCATTAGTCGCCACGTACGATCCGTATTTTTTGTGAAAAAGTAGCTCGCAAGACCCATACTTGTGTCATTGGCCCACTGGATTGCCTCATCCTCGGTCAAGAAACGATAAACTCCCAAGACCGGGGCAAACGTTTCTTCTCTACTGATGAGCATGGATTGCTTCATGTCGCGTAAGATAGTTGGCTCATGAAAATATCCAGCTTCCATGCCAACATCTCTCCCCACACGGCCACCATGGATAATCTTTGCGCCGGCCTCCACAGCATCCTTGACATGAGCTTGCGCTTTGGGGATGGCGCGAGGTGTCGTCAGAGGACCCATGGTGGTGCTGGGTTCGGATCCATGTCCCATCTTGATCTTTCTGGTACGCTCAACGAGTTTCTCGAGGAATTCTTCGTAGATGCCATCCTGAACATACACCCTGTTTGCGGTGATGCATGCCTGGCCTGCGTGTCTCCATTTAAGTGCAAGTAGCTGTTCAAGAGCCTGTTCCTGGTTGCAGTCATCAAAGACAATGAATGGGCAGTTTCCACCAAGTTCCAAAGTGACCTTTTTGAGCCCTTCGGCACAGTGCTTAGCGATCAGACTGCCAATGCTCGTGGACCCGGTGAATGACACCTTTTTCGTCAGAGGGTGCTTGCAGAGTGCCTCTGCAACCTCCGGGGTATTGTCCAATGAAGTCGTAATGACATTGAAAACACCCGGACCAAACCCAGCCTTTGTGGCTAGGTTTGCGAGAATGAGACAAGTTAGAGGAGTCTCAGGAGAGGGCTTAGCGATCATGGTACAACCTGCTGCTAGCGCGGCGCCAGCTTTGCGCAGAATCATACTTCCAAATAGTCAGTATATGATACCGCTACACCAATTTAACAGAAAGAACAGACGCACGCACGCACGCAATGGGAAAGTTCCAGGGAACAAGCGCAACCGCCACCCCGATCGGCTGCTTTATGATCAACACCCTCCTGTTAGGCGCAGATGGTGTCGAAATATTGCCTCGGATACGCTCGGCCTCACCAGCGAACCACCAAGTGAAGCCCAAGGCATAGTCGAGCTCGCCTTGCGCCTCGGCGAAAGGCTTTCCGGACTCGTGGGTCAATACCAAGGCTATATCGTCTCGGTTCTCACGGATAAGTCGATCCCATTCGAGGAGCTTCTTCGCGCGAGACCTTGGGTTTTCGAGTCGGTAAGTCTGGAATGCTTCGTGGGCCGACTTGATAACGGCGTCGACATCAGAGCGGTCGAAATCAGGGCTTGAAGCAAAGACTTTGCCGGTTCCTGGATCCTCAATGTCGAATCTTTTCTTAGAAGATGCTGCTACCCAAGACCCATGAACATAAGCATCAGTCTTGAGTAGATCGGGATTGGCAAGCTGGCATTTATTAGTAGACGGTTTCACCCGGAACAGATAAGCTGTCGACTGACTGTGAAGGGAAACTCGCGGGCCATCGTCGCTATCTTTGCCGATTCGCAATGATGGCAGCTAGCAGAATTAAATTAAAAAAAGGGAATCTTGGTTCCGAGACTAATCGGTCATCCAATTGACGGGTCGATAAAGCCTATAAATACTGGTGCGGAGAAATATAGCCGGCTTGGAGTGTTAGTTTGTCGCAACCCCGCACCCCAAGCCGTTCCACGTTGACCAATGTCTCGGATGACGACGTGTTACTTAAAAGTGTCTTTGCTATGACCAATAAACTAGAAAATGGCTTAAACTTGAGACTAATTTGGCACATTAGGCCTTCAAGAGCTGGGTAGACTTGCTATAAGCGAGAACATCGGTGGCTTTGAATGGTTCGGTCCGTGCCGCGGCAGATTTCCGTCCATAGCAGAATACCAAATAAGACGCACTACGTAGATGAACAGAAAATCGAATGAAGGGTTACCAGCTTTGACTCATTGATTTTATCTAATGTCTTCCAGTTTCATATCGCACCTTACGATTCTTTCTGTGTCTAGCGGCACACATTGCCAGAGTTCAAGCTCAGAGACTCATATCGATCTCGCCAGCGCGTCTACGAATTTCGAGTTCCAAGTGCGGGTTGAGCACAGGGTTGCCACCATAATCGGTAATATCAGTATTGGCACCAGCGGGTATCCTCCACTCATATTGTAGCAAGATGTGGGCGAGCGCGATCTTGATCTCGTTGGCGGCAAAGAAGCGTCCAGGGCAGGCATGCTTGCCGTGGCCAAAGCCAAGGTGCTCCGGGCTGGTACTGACAAGTTGCGACACATTCTCCTTGTTGGCTTGCTCCCGCATGCGGTAAAACCGGTACCCATCCCACTTATCTGGCTCCGGGTATACTTCAGGGTCCCAAAGGGCGTGTGAGGAGACACAGACAGGGGTTCCCGTTGGGATGAAGGTTCCGTCGGAAAGTGTCACGTCGGCAGTGGAGACTCGCTGCATACTTGCTGGAAGTGGAAAAGGGTGTCAGTTTGGTCATGCATGCCTTCAAAGATGGCCAGCGGTGGTGAGACTTACCAATCTGCAAAGGCTTGATGCGCTGGCTCTCCTTAATGACACTGTCGAGAAGCTTCATGCTGTACAGCGATGTTTTCTTCCAGCCACCATCCTTAAGCACATCCAAGACCTCCTTTTGCAAGTCCTTGATGATCTCGGGGTGCTTCGCCAAGTCAACTAGCACCTGACCCAATAGATCTGTTGTAGTATGAATGGCAACCGTTGATAGGAAAAGCTGACTAAGAGCCGGGTTGTGAGGCGTTCCTTTGGAGACCGAGGCTTGCTCAAACCACTCAATAGCGTCGTGATACTCGGGTACCGATCGACCTTCCGCAATAGCTTGGGCCTTCAGAGCGTGACGTTTGTCAACAATCGGCTTTATGATGGCAGTGGCTTCCTGGATCTGCTTGCGGGCGGACTGGCAGCCAGGGAGAAACCAGTGAACGAAGTTGCGGAGGAACGGAGGGTATTCACGGAGTCGATCGGCAGCAGTGAAACCATTGAGGGTATAGTTTTTGGTGATCTCAAGCCAGGATTTGTTGCGGCAGAGCTCTGTGCCCAAAAACACGCGCGAAGAGATACGAGCAATGAAGTGGAGGACAGTTGAGCGCATGGGGATCGCGTGCCAATCTACGCGAGTGTCAGTTGGCAGTCAGGTTTACACAGCAAATATTGTCTTACCTTTGTTTTCTGTGAAGATGTCTCGGAGGGCAAGAGACGTTTCGTCGGCCAAAGGCTCGGTTACCTTGGCTGTTGCAACAGTGTCAGCTCAATCCCGATGGTATCATGTAATCATCGCGTCCAAAGAAATCCGCACCTAGTTGTTTCGTCAGGTCCTTGTTGATGACGACCAAAGTGATGCTGTCGTGGTTCCCTTCAGCAAACGCGTTAAAACCGGGGTACTTTGTTTGGAAAAACTGTAAAGATGGCAGGTCAGAACCATTGTCATGCCCAGTTCTTTGCAGCAAAGTTCAAATGGGAAACGATTAGAATACTTCTTTGGAGAATTCAGTAAAGCTCAGGTTTTTGTGGTTGCGAATTTCGTTGGCCATTGATGGTGGCAGCACAATGGTTTCGCCCATGTCACTTATCAACCTCGTAGGCTTGTTCGGGTTTTTGCTGAACCATTGGCGCATGATACCTCTCGCATTGGTGAGATAATTCCTCTTCGGCCGGCTGTTAGTGAGCTCATATAGCTTCTTCTGGTTGATCGACGGGATGTTGAGCTTGGAGCCCTGTAGCGAGTAAATAAAAAAAATAATCAGAATAGTGGTAAAGAAGTAGGGTAGCGGTTTGGCCGAGGCATCGAAGGTGAATGCCCTGTCGTCCAGGAGGGATCGGATTGCATCGGTTCCGTCCATGGTCGAACAGGTTATACAAGAATGTTTTAGAAGGTTTCCGAGTGTGTTTAGTTCTTGAGGATGTAGTAGTCAACTGAGAAGTAGCCGCTGACAGGAACTAAGGATATATGTATGTGAGAATCAAAGGCGGCTAGCCATGCGACCTGTGAAGCGGATGCTGACAACTAAGTCGTAGCACGAACGGAAAACTACAACGGACAGTTCATCATCCCGCTAAACGCCGCGCGGGCGGAGGCTAGTTATTTCCCAGGGGTTTTAAACAGAAGCTGGAGCCGGCGTCTAATCCACAGTGACGACACAGTTGGTCCGCGGGATGCGAACGGGTTGCAGTTGCCGCATGTGGCCATCTTCGACTTTCCTGGCAGTGTCCAGATATGCCGCAGGGCCCATTTCATGTTCCACCATGAGGCAATGTAAAGATTATAGTTGGCTACAGGATCTCAGCCCCATAGCAACTTGTGCATCACGCTTGTAGGAGTAAGTGAAGCCTTTATGTGATTTCTATTCTTTTTCCTATAACGGCAGATAATATTATGACAACCCGCGCCGACGATAGTTGTACAGTGATGGAAAGGGAAAACTAGCTGATTAAATCGATATCAGTTCGGACCACAACGCGGAACACTCGTTCGGTCGATTGATGTATGATGGGCACCATCCGCACAGATGCTGTCAGTTGGGGTTCGTCTTTTTCTCGGTGCAAGCTTCCAACCCGTAATCCGTTGCCAACCATTTCACCATTTCGCATACGGATACCGGATACGAGGATGTAATGCATGAAGTCTTTGGGCACAGTTACACCCACATAGTCAGTTGGGTCTAACCAGTAACCCGTCTTTTTCCTGTGCCTATGCATGAGAAGATCCACACGGGAACTCCCTGAGCCAAGCCTTCCCGAGCCTTAAACCCATACTCGTTCTAACCACGAACCGATGCGGAAATCTTTGGAGCTCCACATGGAGAAGCGGACCGACGATCACTTTGTCTCAGACTTCTTGTCAGGACACCGACCTCTCAATCCAACGGCCAGAGGCCGCTGATTCAGCGGCTCATCCGGGTGAGTCAGCTATCCAGCCTCTCGTTCCACCATGCTTGAGACATCGGGTCCTTACTACAGCCCGTTGTTCCCGAACTTCCCCGCACATAGGTCATCCCCATTAGGTAGTTGTAATAGCCTCATAACCAACGGGCGATCCCACCACCCACTTCCGAGATTTGTGCAGCGTCGGAGAAAACCCACATTGGACTTACTAGCATCAGCTAGTTGATGCATCTGGTAGTTCTCGCCTAGGCTGCAGACGAATCTGGAACCTTTACCGCATGGCAAGAGGGTAATACATGATAGTATGATTTGGTAACCAATGTTGGCCTGAATGCCTCGTCATACCATAGTGGAGAATTTATGCACAATAATTTTATTCAAGCATCTTTAGAATAGGATTTCTATACATATTAGCACCGTTCATAATAGGTACCAGTCGTGGTTTATCCACGTAGTCGCGACTACTTCACGCTACATCAATGCTAAACAACTCAATCAGCATCTGCTACAGCATTAGTGCCAGGCCCAAAGTTCAAAAAAGTTCAATCGACTCTTCGATAAAGCACTATGGGTAGGAGATTAACGGATGGATTTCCGAGGCGCAACAACGCCCATGGCTACTGACATTCTCCGAGGGCTTCAAATTTCGCCTTATTATGTGCACTGCTACATGATTAATGAGCAGAATACCAACTATACGTATCCTCCTCCTTGCGTCATTTCCAAAAGAAAGCAAGCCACTTTGTCCCATGATGTCTTATTTATACTGTCCGCGCGAACAAGCGATGCAGTGTTGTTAAAAGAAACCCACAGTTCTCACGTAAGCCAGTTGCCCTCCAGCACCAAGAAGACTCTAAGGTGATTCATGGAAATTACAATGAAAACTATCGATTTCGTAAGGTAGCGACTAAATGAGACCACGATGTTGAGTGCTCATGGGTTCAATTTGACGCCGATGAGTTGTCACTAGCCTGACTATTCAAGCATTACTGAAGTAACTATCGAGCACCGAAATTTGATCTGCTCGCCTACATATTTGGAGTGGGTCTGTGAAAACAACGATACTGTCTTGAATTCGAGGCTAGCAAAAGAATGAATCTAAGCCGCGCTTGTCCGATCGATAAAACTACCACAAGAATGCATTTGTCGAGCTTTGTGTTTGACTGCTATGAATTGTTATTGGCGTAGATCAAACTGTTCCTGATTTAAGACTCAAGTTGACAAAGCCTTGGAATTTCCCATAGCGTTGATAATGACTTAGCCACTATTATAACATTTAGGAACATAAAGTCGCCGGAGGATGATTGAGTAATTTGTCTGTACCACGAAGCTAGTTAATGAAAGATAAGGTGAACTTTGCCTTTCAGATAACCAAAGTGCCAAACCATCGATGACTCTTACTTTAAATGCACTCGAGTTCCAAGAAAGGCTTCATTCCGAGATCCTACTTATGGATACGGAGAGAGTAGTCACTGTTCCTGCCGAGCCACAAGTGTTTCTGAGGTATTTGTGCTTGAAAAGTCGCAGTCCCCTCGCAGAAACACAACTCCTCATTAAGTAGTGAAACTATCGGCTTGTATGGGAAGAATCATCGTGTAAAGAGTGCATTTCTACTCGTAAATAGCTTTGCTGCTGCTCTAATCTGGGTACGGACTGTCCAGGTTTTCATTAGACGCCAAAATCGAATAACTATGTTTCATCTTGAAGTAAAATTCGCAGCGGTGTCTCATGCTCATCTTCAAGAGTTTCCCTACATACAAGACAATTGTAGAGCTCGTTTCGCGATGCAAGTGTAGTGCGGAATTGTGGAGCTTGAAAGGACCAAATGCAGACCGGGTGTCACGAAGCCCATGGTTTTGAAGATCAGAGTTTCTTGGACGAGAGTGTTTGCGACATGCACCTTGGATTTTGGGGTGCATTCTGAACCTGATTTGTCAGTCCATATTCTTTTGCTGGTTGGAAGTCTCTTGGAAAGGAGTCCAAGATAGAAGCCAAGAGCCGAAAACAAGTGTGCGTTCGTCATGTAGAAAAGAAACATAGCCCAGGATCTTTCGACCGATCGGACGTTAGCAAACCTCGTTAAACCATGTCCCAATCCGGCCTCATAGAGTGCTTTACCCCAAGTAACTAACTTACCGGGTTGTTTCTCTGATTCTTGAGTTGCTATGTTGGCAGTTTGGGCTTACCATCTCGTCTCATCAAGAGGATGGTTAAGGCGCGGAAGTCTATCAATGTCTAGGGATCCACTGCACAAACATTTTAGGGTCAGATATGAATCTAAGAAACGCTCCGAGCATCGAAATAACTACGCAAGCTAAGCGCGGAACCCCGTTCGTGGTAGTTAAGCTGTGACATGATGGCCAGCATAGCATCCAAGTGAAGTACAGTGTCCTTAGAGGAATCATGTAATGAAATATGGCAATCACCATGTTGTCTAATTGCAAGATATCATCAGTATGTTGAAACTCTCTGGAAGTAGACGAACTGAAGGATTGGACCGAGCTATGCTCTGCTTCAGGCCAAACCCAGGGCGTAGTCGGCTATCATGCTGAAGAAGAACCAATCTCAAAGCAAGGCGGGTGGGTGTCAGGGTGCGAAACCTATCAAACAGCCAAAGTAAAGATCAAGAATGATGTAAAACACAGAAGCTTGCGGGCACCGAGTAACATTGTGATTCATGTCCAGAGGCAAGCAAGAGATCAAGTCTCAAACGGAAGCGTGGTGATGGAACACAATACTTCCAGTCTGGGAGCACGAGTGGGGTGTCTTGAGTCTCTTGTTGCCACTTCTCAAAAATGCTGTGACCAACATAGAAGGAAGAGTGTGTATGCGCCAACGGCAGCCACGAAGTGAAACAGATAGACTCAAGACGAAGATCACAGACGAATATTCAATCCGAGTATACTTGCGGTTAAAGGATTGTCATTGTAACCCCCCCTCCCCCTTGATAAGAGGTTCGACATAGCAGCTTGCAAATTCAGACGAGTGCAGTGTTGTGTTTAAAAATATGGATGGAGACCGAGAGCGGGAAGAATAATACCGGTGTAAAGATCAGCCTCACTCATGGTAGGTCGCGAGGCAAGGCATCTTGGCAACATGGGCAAACTGAGTTTTCCGTTCTCGGGGCGAGGGCAATTGTTGGGATGTAAAGACGGGACTTTTGCTAATTACTACGATAGGACTAATCAACTGCGAAGCTACAAAACGCGATTGCTTGAATTAAGATATATGATGATAAGGACTCTGTGAGTCCTACAACAGCAAATTACCTCTGGTGAGTCGTCTTCTAGAAACTTGCTGGAATGCCGGCTCATTTGCATGATACATTGAGACCAAGAATAGTTCTATTCCTTGTCCTGAAACCAACCATCCATAAGTGCACGTGCCATGTTGTAAAGCCAGATGCCCCGGAAAACCCGCCTCCTGGTCGGACTCGTGGACCAGACTCGGAGATAGCCCTAGGAGTGGAGGGACCTTGTCCACGGGTACTGGACGTTGCTCCGCACCCGGAGCGCAAATCTGCCTCGTAAGGCTGTGGGAGGGATGACGGAATGCCGCATGTCTCTTGTTGCGGCTAGACCCTTCTGCGTGGGTAAGAGAGGCCAGAACTTTCTCTTCAACATCAGATGATGTTGATACTGGACCTTGCGTAGTATCTCTGTCAAATGACTTTGTGAAGCCACTCCTGCCTTTACGAGCGGCCTCCGGGAGCGGGATGGAAACGGCCCCCAAGACTTGGGGGCTGAGGAGGTGATCTCGTGCGGTGTTTGCTGTGTCCGGCTATGTACCGCACACGTCAAGGTATTGAATCCTACAGCCTTGCGTGAATTGCAATCAGCCGCCGCCTCTCGCCAGCAAGACGGTATCGAGGGAACGGGATAGCCGGTCGCGGCGAGACAATGTCGTCTATTTCCAGTCCACTTTGGCCGAATAGGAAGTAGATTGACTTCTGGACACGCACCGCAGTAACGGCGACGCGTCTATCGCCAGGCAGCGAGTGGCGAGCGGGCGGCGACCGGAGGGCGGAAACAGCAGCAGTGTCGCGGCAAAGGATCAAAGGGGTGTCATGAATATGTCTGGATGGGTTGACGCGTCCCAGTCCTGAAAGAGACGGCGGCCACCAGCCAATGGCAGAAGAGATAGTGGGCGCGAAGACACGAGCGAGGGAGAGTGGTTGCTGTACATCTAGGACTTCAGGACTCAACTCGAGACCCTTGTTCTAGCTATTCAATGTCCAGTCATAGAAGGAATTCTACTGCGTGACTTAAGATAGGCGTGTGTGTCAGGCCAGGCAGAAGTTTGAGGGAGCTGGGATATACGGAGCAGGTACGTACCGCTTCCCTTCCATGCAGCGGCCACTGCAAGCCAGCCGCATCGGGTGACCTCGACGCCGGGTTAGTCATCAAGGTGAAAGAGAGTACTCTGTACAGAGTATCGAATGGATATGTAGAAAGAGCTGTGAGCCTTGGGCTGTAAGTGACTGTTGCCTGCTGGCGGCGATTGAGACGAGCAGGTGGGGGAATAGCGGTGTGGAGATGACAGGAACGTACCTACCTCGAACTACCAAAGCAAGAACGGGGTCGGACACGGGAGTCTGTGTCACGTATCCGTACGGGAAAAAACGTCCACCACACACGTTTTCTCCTAGCCCGCCTCCACCTTCAACCCAGCGATGCACGATGCGCGGTGCGCTGCGATGCGATGCGATGCGATTGAACAATTCAAAAAAGCCTGTGCAGGCGACGTACTGCAATGCACCCCGCTCTGCTCGTCATTGACGAGCCAGCAAGCCCACGGTGATGGAATGACAAGCTTCTATCGGGTCCTCGTCTGCACGAAACAAGGCCTGGCTGCGTCGGTTGGCCCGAGCGAGAAGCAGGCTGTGGTGGCTGAGCTGGCCTTATCACGTTAAAGACGTGCACAGCCTTCGCAGCGGCTCCCTAACATCTGTCAAGACATGCGTCCTGAACGGATTCGACTGGCCCTGCTCCAACGAGCTCGACGCTTCGGCACGCTACGGGACAAGCGTTATCATCATCAACCTTGTCAAGCCATCAGTGGCTCCCCTTGCAGCCTGCAATCCTTCCATGGTGACGGCCACCGTACCCGTCGGATGGAGTTGATCGGACTGGCTCGCCGTCACTTTCGAGCACCGCCGTGGATCGATTGCCTCCATCGTGGCCTCATGCATACCCATAGTGCTCTCTGCAAGCCAATCGAGTGGGACACTCGACCGGCCCGTTTGGAAACAAACGGCGTTCTTGTCCACCCTATAGAAGCAGCAACGGACAAAGAGCTCGCATAAGGCCACACAGACGCAATGGTGACTCAGGTGTCATTTGTTCACTCTATCCGCGATCCTGCCCCTCACCGAATCCAACCGGGGTGACTGGCTGCGATCTCGACTGGACTGGACCCAGGACGAATGGAACCGTTGCGACTCGTAGACGATGGCGGCTGTCGCTTGTCCGATTAATTCAGCGGGAACGAACCACCAGAACAGATAGCGCGCCGGCCACCGTGTGTTTCAATTGCCGCTGTCCATGTCACCTTGGTCTTCTCTAAGGACCTATGGGTGGCCCGTCCCCTGGGTCAAGTAAATGACGACCTGGGGGTAACGTCGCGCTGGGTGCAAGCTGCAGCATTGCACTCTACAGTACCGTACACACTAAAATAGCATCATATCATGATCATTATTGTTTCGTCTTTTTGTCCGTACGATCGCCGTGGCCGTCATTTCCCACAGAAGGCTGCGACAGCCACCGGGAACAACCAACGGCGTCACGCAACCCTCACCTCGAGGTGAGCGTAAGAGGGATGGGAGGGCGCAAAGCAGAAAGTACGCCGTTGTGCTGTCCAACCTGTCGGTTCCCTCTCCATCCTTCGGTGGACCGGACACCGCCAGCAGTTCTCAGTGACAGCCACCGTCGCGGCGCATCCTGACTTTGATGGCCACACCTACTTGCCTTCAGATGCAAGGCCGCATTAGTGGGGACGACTGAGGACTCAACGCAAGAGACATCATGCGCGTCAACCTCTGGACCGTTCGACCTGTCAAAGGCCCTTGGCTCCCTCCAACGCCCTCCATTCGACGGCTTACGGTCACCCCCGGCGCCCTCCACAAAAGTCACTTGGCCAGCGCTCCGCCTCTACAATCCCAAGGGCCTCCAGTGACGAAAGGCTGTGAAACAGCACCTAATGTAGCCGGCCAGCGAGAGAGTGCGCGAGAGTGACATGGGGTGGGAAGAGCCAAAAGAGGCGCGGCACCATCTCAAGCGACTCCAACGACTCCCCACCTCTCAAGACGGACCCCTTGTGAGCACGAAAAAGGCTTAGCTGGGCCAAGCGAAAGACTCATCGGCCACTAGCAAGCCCACGAAGGCAGCAGTCTGACAGGGGACAAGCATGCAGGCGCAATGCACACTTGCAAGGCCTCAATCTCCACCATCCCACCACCACTTTGCAGCTGCTCGGTCCACGATGCTTGGGATGCGCCGTCCTGTCTTTGCGGCTGACGCTGGGTACTTGTCTACTCCCCCCCCCCCCCCCCCCCCTGCTCTCCCATGCCACCACCGTTCTGAGCGCGCTTCTTCGGACGATATTTAATTCAGACGCGGAATCTCTTTGAGACACCTTGTTCTTGCGCTGCTCGACATCTCCACTTGGACTATTTACACTTTGATACCCTCCTGCCCACAGCACACTGACACAGACCTGGTCGATCCACTCCCTACCTAAACTTAGGCAGAACTTGTTCGACATACTTCAACTCCTTACTGCGTACATCTTGCTTTCATCTGGTATATATCTTCACCCTCGCCCCTTTCTTTCCTTTCTCAACAGGCCAACCAACTTACACAACCAACACTCAGATCACACATCGCAACACTTCTCTCTTACACACTTGACTCGGCCCATTGGCACCGTCACATTGTCTTCCCACCGTACACCCGAAGCTCACTACCTCAACAACACCATCGTGCACAAGTATAAGTCTGGTCGTCCCGCCAACACCAGCCAGGAATCTCAACCTCGACCCCGTCTCTTGAGGACGCTATCCTCTCCTCAGTCGACCGACCCCGTGAAGCGAGTTCGCTTTGCTCCAGAGGTCGTCCAACCTTCACCACCAACCCCGCGCACGCCGCGCTCTCATACGTTTCAACCAAGCACCATGTGCACCACCGACATCTACACCGACGTCTACCCCGACGGCCGGAGGAGCGAGTACCAGGAGCCGAAGTATTGCACTCCTGCAACCCGCAACGGCCGCTTCTGCGCCAACCCCGTCGTCTACAACCACCCGCCTCGCGCGGTAGCTTACCCTTCACCTATCCCCGCTTATCCTGCTGCTGGAACTTCGTACCCCTTGCCTCACCAGATGCCGCCAACTCCTCCACTGGGCTCACCTCGAGGCACTTCTGGAGGCGCCGACGCAGACCGCACTCGTCGAGACTCTTCCTCCAGCGAGCGCAAACACCGGAAGTCAGGCATCTATGTCAACGGGCAGAAAGTCTTGGACCTTAACCGCAAGAACCGCTCACGTGCTGAGCGCATTGTCATCGTCGACTCCCCTCCTACCCCTCGCACACCTCCCAAGCAGTTCGCATCACCCTACTCGGCACCGCCCTCACCCGACGCCGGCGGCAACGGCCTCAACTTCCGCTACAGCCACGTCCCGCGCGACTCCCTCCGCCCCGTCATTGTGGACGAACGCACTCCTCGGTCAAAGGTAGAGATCGAGGTCATTGACAACGGCCATCGCCGTCACAACTCTTCCGACTCGCGACACAGCCACACCAGCGCCGACGACGAAGAGCGCCGGCGCCGGCGTCGCGAGAAGGAACGCGAGAAGGAGCGCAAGGAGCGCGAGGAGCGTGAGCGCCAGAAGGAAGAGGAGCGCCAGCAGCGCATCCGCTTGCAGATCGCCGCGCAGAACGCCAACATTGCCCGCCGCACCGCCGTTCCCCTCCAGCGCACATCAACGGGCTTTGGCCCCACGCTGGCCGACCAGCAGCGCGAGCAGGAACTCGTCGATGCCGTGCGCCGGATGGAGATTGCCGACCGCCGGGCACGTGAAGCGCGCGAGGCGCGCGAGAAGGAGGACGAGGACGAGGCCCAGCGCCGCCGGTTGAAGGAGCGCATGATGCCCCGTCGCCGGGCGACTGTGGGGCCGGGCAGCCGGAGGCCCCATGTCCACTACGACGATGGTGTCTACCGATGGGAATAAACGCCCGTTTAGACACAGATTTGTTATTCGATAAGCGACGTTTGCGCTTGAATATTTCTTTTGTCTGGAATTGTATAGATAGCCAGCGTTTTGCCTTTACTGCATGTACATACCCCTACAGGGGCGGGACTTGGATGGGGCCGCCGGGATGGCGATGGGATGATACCAACAACAGGACACTCGGGGGGAATACCTAGCATAGTTGATGAATCAAACAACAGCATCACGATTCATGAAAACCGCTCCTTCATTGGCGACAAGCCCTTTTGGCAACCACGCAAATTGGCATGATAAACAACAAAAGTCGAGGCCTTGTGATCGCGTATTCATGCATGTCTCACTCCTGCCCTGGTCGAGGGCGGACCCCGAGGCCTCGGCAGAGAGGCGAAAGCGACGCTCCTGTCTCGCCGATCGCACCACCACCCGGAACGCGATTGCGAGACATCTGCAGCGTCCCGTATCCGTGGCGTTTTATTGTTCGTTCATCCTAACTTTTCTTGCAGGCTGGGGGTGGGAGTATGTTTGTGGCGGGTCGTAGCGGGTGGTTGCTTCGGCCTGAGTCAAGACATCCAACATCTTCCACTTGCGGGATGCACGGAGAATGGGATTTTGAGGAAGCGCATCTGTCGCCCGTGTTTAAGCCAAGTCCCTCATTTCCCAATGTCGACGGGCTACACACTCTAGTCCTCGAGCTCTGCGTGAATTGTGAAAGTCCCGCGACAGCCTCGTTGGTGTTGATGAAGAAGCCTGAGGTTAGAGACGACACCGACAATCTCCATGGCGGGGTCGGCGCGGGGTCCTGACGGCGCAGTCCACATTGTTGCCTGGCTCCGCTTTGGACGATTCGCCATCGCTTTGACAGCTGCACGACATACCCAAAGTACCGTCGATTTAAGCAAACCGCGCCTATCGTCTCCTCGAGTAGAACGGCGCGCTTAGCAGAGGTCCGGCGAGGTTGATGCCTGCGCCCAGCGGAGACCGGAACAGGCAACCTCGCCAATCTATCGGCTCTGACACCTCGCTAGCTGGGTTGGCCGGGTTGGCGCTCTTAACGAGTCGGAGCGGGAGGGAGGGAGGGAACACGGGCCATCCCTGTTTCTTTTGGCTCCAGGGAGACGGCGGGACGGGCCACTGAGGATTTGCACACCTTCACCTTGCGTCCCCGGGGTCGGTGTGTCGGTCAGGGTGTCCGCGACCGCCTTACGCTCTCGCTGCCTGGGTAGTGGCTTGCAATCGCGGCATGCTAGCGAGAGACAACCTGCGCCGGGTAAGGTGAATACAATCGCACGGTCTAATGCATCACACCGAAGCCGTTTGTCTCTCGCCTTGCGTCCTGAGAAACAAGACACCATGAGCACCTCGACTGAGACCGCATGGCCTGCTTGCACACCCACTCCGAGTCGGTCCCGTGGCCCACGTCCCTCGCTTCTCCGGGATTGGTCCGCCGGGCGTGGCCCCACTCACACCGATAACCGGCCGGACGCGACTTTGAGTGGTTCCTTTTGGAGGGGGAGTCATACACCGACGCGGAGAGGTAAAGGATTGGTGACGCATTCTGGCGGTGAAGGTTGGTGTTGATGGCTGCAGCTCTTGGGCATGGTGCTTGGCGAGTATCTTACCTCTTGGAATTGTGAGTTACTCCAGCCGCGTTTCTCTGTACAAGTCCATTTGCAAGATGATCATGCCCAAATGCTAGTGAACTCTACTTATTAAAGCATTCCCTGCGCCTCAGTTTGTCGTATGATTGTTACTCCCCACGAGAAGCCAAGTGCATCGAAGACTTCGGGAGAGTGTCTCGGTTGCATCGACAATTCACCTAGCCAGTAGCGTCATTGAACATCAACTCCGGCTTCCCATTTAGGTAGAAGTTGACTAAAGACACTCCGTGTAAATTTTCGATTGATGAGAACATGTGCGAATCGCACAAACTGAGCCATCGTAACTTCTCCATTCACTACAATGCTCTATATTTCATACAGTCTAGGTCAACTTTCATCTCAAAGACTCACTAGGATCGCCGTACATGTCATTAAGCAATTTTCGGAACGCAAGGGGACAGTAAGGGATAAGGTAGCCAGCTGCTTGTTTGATGTGGCATGCAATTCTAGACATCCGGAGCCCTCGATTATGTTTATAGTGAAGGAAGCTTTGAGCTCGTTGCCTGGCCCTGCCGGTTGAAATAAACCTTTTGACCGGTTCTCAGGCTCTCCTGAAGCCCCGTTGCTATTCGGAGAGACGTAACAGTAGAACGCAATGGAATGGGCAGGGGCTTCTCATCAAGGATAGCGTCCACGAACGCATTCGCCTCCACAACAAACGCCGATATGTATCTGTCATACCACGATGGCGTCGGTTCAACCTTGACGAACCCGTCCGTGTCGCAGATTTCCACCCGGTTCTTCCTCGGCGTCGAATTCACCGTCAACTTCCCCGTCATACCAAAGATCTCGGTGACATTGTCGTAGCCGTGCGAAGAACTCCTCGAGTGGTAGAAGTGGGCCATCTTGCCGTCCCAGAACTCGCACACGCCAACTGCGTTATCCGCGTCTCCTGTCTTTGCGAGGTCCGGGAAAAAGGCCGCGGTGCCAACGGCCGAAACAGACTTGGGCACAGAGTCCTCGCCCAGGAACATCAGCGACAAGTCAATATCGTGGATGGCACAGTCAAAGTAGATGCCGCCGGAGTTCTTCAGGTACTGATGAAAGAATGGGCTCTGGTCGAGCTTCTCGCATCCGTGAGACCGGAAGACGAAGGGCCTGCCAATGGCGCCTGCCTTGACTTTTGCCTCTGCATCTTGATAGCTATCGTCGAAGCGCCTGGAGAACGCAACCATGACTTGGGTCTCCGGGTTTGATTCCACGTGTTCGCAAAGAGCCTCCAACTAGGGAGAGTCAGCAATACATAGATTAATGTTTGTAGCAACATACCTCCGTGACAGATCGACAGATGGGTTTCTCGCAAAGAACGTGGATTCCTTTATTGAATGCGGCCAACGTATGAGGCAAATGCAGCTCTGTGATGGATGAGATGATGACCGCTTCAAGGCCAGGGGTCTCAATCATCTTTTCAAAAGTAGCGTAGACTTTTACACCATGAGGCTTTAGGTACTGATCGGCCCAGTCCAAGTCGGCCTTGGCTGGAGAGCACACGCAAACCAGTTTGGCCCGGGAAACCAGATTCAGAACGTTGATGGCATGCCGTTGGCCCATCCGACCAATACCAACGACGCCAACTTTAAGAGTCTTCTGCGGAGAAGTCATTGTGTCGATAGCAGGCGGTGACGGGAGTAAACCAGAACCCTTGAAGAATGCTCGGTGCGTAGTGGAAAGAGCTTCGAGGAACTGCGCTGCTCTAATTGCTGCGATTTTACAAGGACGAGGCGATATTTAACGATGGGGTCGGAAAATGGTTGCCGTCCTGGACTAATACAGGCAATGACGGCGAAAATTGACGGATTGGTAAGATGACGCTCAACGAGCCTCAGAGCAACGTCACGGGAAGAATCCCGAACAGCTCGTCGATGAGGGGGCTGCACACAAATGCGCGGCCCCGGACTTCATATTCCGAATTCAAAAGAACGGCTTTCGAGAATTATGATATATATTGCGTCCTCGTCTACTCCGTTTGTCCTTGAAACAGAGTGCACAACCATCCAGTCTCAGCTAACCGACTAACAAGATGTCGGAATTACCAGCGATTCGCTGGGGCATTATTGGTACACTCCCCCGCATCTTTGGCACTGGGTCAATGCTGACGGACTGACAATAGCTACGGGGATGATCTCTTCCTGGTTCGTCGAGGACCTCTTGATCTCACGACCAGACACCAAAGTCAAGCACATTGTGCAGGCAATTGGAAGCTCATCGGCTCAGAAAGGACAGGACTTCTCGAAGCAATTCTGCCCCAACAGCAACCCAGCCATTTATGGATCCTACGACGAGGTTTATGCTGACCCCAATGTGGACATCCTATACATCGGCACCCCGCATGCTTTCCACAAGCAAAACTGCCTAGACGCGATTAATGCTGGCAAGCCTATTCTCTGCGAGAAAGCTTTTGCACTGAACGCTCGCGATGCGAAGGAGGTCTTGGCTCGCGCCAAGGAGAAGGGGGTCTACGTCGCTGAAGCGATGTGGCTCCGCCACCGTCCCCTCGTACAAGACCTGCAACGCATGCTTCACAAGGAGAAGGTCATTGGTGATGTCTTCCACGTCTACTCGGAGTTTGGACTTGAAATGGACATTCCAAACTTGCCCGACAGCTCAAGGTACAAACAGCCTCATCTTGGTGCTGGCTCACTGCTCGACTTGGGCATCTACACGCTGACCTGGGCTATACTTGGCTTAGACCCAGGAACACCTGCGGCCCCCGAGACACCGAAGATTCTTGCTGCGCAGTCACACCATGGTGACGTTGAGGTCACCAGCAGCGTCATCCTCCACTATCCTTCTACGGGTAGACAGGGTGTAGCAATCTCCACGACAATGGCGACCGGTAACCCGGACGTATTGGCCCGTATCCAGGGTACCAATGGCGCAGTGGAGGTGCATGGGACTGTTCCGTCCGACCCCAACTCTTTTACCGTCTACCCAAAGTTCTGGAGAGACCAGACAAAAGGGGTAGTCAAACGAGATGCTGGCAAGACCTACGATTACAAACCAATCGGACGGGGTTACTACTGGGAGGCTGACAATGCTGCACTGGACGTGTTGGCAGGCAAGTTGGAGAGCGATGTTATGCCTTGGGCGGAAACCATTCGTGTCATGGAAATCATGGACGAGATTCGACGGCAGGGTGGAACTGTGTATCCCCAAGACACAGAGCAGTGATGATTGGATTAGCGATCGCGAGGATCTGTTGAAGAATGCGATCAATCCATGCGACTTGCCCGAAATCCAGAGGAGCACATTTAAAGTCAGAGGGATAGCAGACGGACTGGAGAACCATAAAATCTGATAAAATGTTTGATAGAATTGTGCAGGAAAGACATGCAAACAATGTCTATGTAGGTGGGTAGCGTGATTGATGACGCTATCACTATTTGGCTGAGTTATGAAGGATTCATTTTATGTTGTGTTTTTCACTTTTTGTATCAAGCCCTTATGATGATCTAGTTAGTAACGATAAGTTTGTTCCACGGGCTGTACGCACACCTGTATAGAAGATGATGATTAGGCTTTGGAAATTGTCATCAAGGATGCCAGAACATAGAGACCGCTTTCCATGATGAGCGTACAAACAACCGTCTGATAGTTTTTTCACAAAGGTCTAACTAGCTCCAAGCATTTCTGTGTGGGATCAATTCCATAGGGTGTGCACACTTGACCTTGCGCGTTCAATGTGGCTGGCTTTCTAAGAGATTGGCGACAGAAGAGAATACTGCGTAGCATACTTGGATACGTTCTTAACATTTCATAATCGATACAATAAGAGAGGCCTTTGTCATTGGTGTTCGAATTCGAGTCAGTAATTTGTGTCTAGCAGCCATGTTTAAATTACCTTCCTTACGAACTCGAGCAATTAATCAACTACTTAACATCTCCCTGTCTATATCTTGTTCTCCGAACCTGTACATTACTTTATGGCTGGCCAGCGTTTAGAACACATCTTTTGAAGTCTTAACAGAACTTGAGACTCTTATATGAAGGTCTCCAGCCTTGCAAGTTGTGAATATGATCCACTATCACAGACTGCTTATGAACTGATTGACGTGGGGTTGAGTCCTTTATCGGCAGCGGCCGGATTGCCAATCCGCTCCGTGGATTGCGCAATGCACCATGGTGACCTGATACACCCCAATCATTGGGCGATAACAACCATTGTTGCGAAAGCATAAATGCCGCGCCGGCCATGTTGATGATTGATTATTTTACGTCAAGTTTGCCAAGGCACGGTGTGATCGCTCCCTAGTAGCCAGCAAGCATCGTCACGCTGTCAGTACCTTTTTGGATCGTTCGAAACTAACCACAACGATGACTATCAAGAGCCACTTCACTCCTCCCCCACTCAAGGTCGCCATTATTGGCGGTGGTCCTGGAGGACTGGGTGCTGCAATAGAGTTCGCCAAGCTGCACTACGTCGACTGGACGCTTTACGAAAAGAAACCCCAGATCAGCGAAACAGGTGGCGGCATCAGTTTGCAACAGCACACTTGGAGACTGCTAGAGTTGAACGGAGCAGCCAAGAACATAGATCCAAATGACTTCTTCAGGTCTCCAGATGGCACGAGTGGGCAACAACGGTAAGCTATGAATAGAAGAGCTTTGTTCACGTGCAAGGTGTTGACATGTGAGATCACAGGAATGGAAGGACCGGAAAGCTCCTACAACAAAGCAGTCACCCCAAGGACACGCCACCGCAACAGTTGAGTTGCCGTATGGTGCGGGCTAAGCTACAGGCTGCCCTACTCAAAGATGTCGATCAGTCGCGTGTCAAAACCTCGAAAAAGCTGATTGATATATCTATTCTACCAAGCGGCAGGGTCGAGATCCGTTTCGAAGACGGGTTAACCGACGAAGTGGACCTGCTTGTTGGAGCTGACGGAATCCGCTCAGTAAGAGCTATCTTATGCGAACAAATCAGTCGGGGTTTTCAAGCTGACGGATAACAGTTTGTGAGATCTTTCGCTTTTCCTTCACACAAGATCAAGTATAACGGCCAATCTGCCTACCGCACCATCATTTCAAAATCGACAGTTGAGGAGATCGATGGGATCCCGAAGTCTCCCGTCTTCTGGCAAAACACTGGCGGAAAATACGTGTTCACCTGTCCTCTGGGTGGAGATGATTTCGAAGTCACCGCGCGCATCCGTCGCCCAATCGAGGGCCAGGAACATGTCAGCTGGGGCCGTCCCTTTGATTTCTCCACCATCGCATCAGAGTATGACGAGTTCTGTGAACCTGTCCGAAAGGTCATACAGCTTGCCGCTCAAGGCAAGACCGAAGAGTTTGCCCTTTTCTCGGGAGCCCGGCTTGAAAGCGTCATTTCTCATGGTGCCTTGGCCCTAATTGGAGACGCTTCTCACCCCCTCTCTGGCGCTTTCGGAGCTGGAGCAGGCTTTGCATTGGAAGATGTTTATGCCTTGACTCGGGGTATCGACTGGGCACAACGGAACGCAAAGGGGTTGCCGGCGGCGCTAGAGCTCTATGACCAGATCAGATCTCCGCACTATCGTGATCTATACGGAGTTCTGGACAACTTTGCCGCACTCAACTCCGCATTACTGGCTGAGAATCTTCCTGTAAATGAGGAAATTGAGGAGCGAGTAAAAAGAGCGGGCGAGAGTAAGAGTACTTGGATGTACCACTATGAAATAGACACGGCCGTCGACCAGTTTCTCAGAGCGGCTAATCGACCCGGCCAGGTGGCAGCTGTTCTTTGATACGTCATTAGAACCTGGTTGACTCCTAGACCCGAGCAGTAAAGCACCATGTGAGCTAGAAATAGATACACTTGCCAAGGTGCCTCGAAGGCGAATCTTACAATTGTCGCATCTTCCTGACCAAGAGCTTCTCATGAAGGTGATGTACCCATGCTATGGTTGACATTGCCAACCAATACATATGTTTCTTACTGGTCAGGAAAATGCTATGACGGTAGATATTCCTACGAACAACCCAAAATCAATTGTAGAGCGGCGCGACCGGTGTTAGACTGTAGGCGGCGTGATACTTATGAATTCCATTACAAGACGTCGCCCTGGAAGGATACCACTAGGCACACTGAGCAATGTTCCTTGAAACCTCGACTAAGCTTCATCGCAGCGACACCGAATGGTTTGGCGTATCATAACATCATTGGTATATCAGAGGGATATTCCGTTTGTGTTATCGTTCCACTGATTTGTGTCGCCTCAAGACCTTAGTAGTCCGCGCCGCTCCACAAGGCGGCTACTGTCGCCACTCGAGAGGCACCCAATCTGGAGAGCCAATCCGGCGGAAACAATGGGCTGATGGAGACACTATTAATTAGTCAACAATTGACTAAGTCTCATTTGGTCGCGATATGTGCTCAACGCACGGACGCTTAACGACAAATTTTCAAATTTCACACCACCGTCAATACTGAGTCATCTCCATTGATATTGGAGTAACTCCGCTACCGCTGTTGCTCAGTCTCTACTCTAACGTTTGCTTGTACTGATTTCACCCGCTTGTAGAAGCTTCCAAGATGGCAGACGACTTGGAAAGCCATCATGGCCAACGAGGTCATGGCGAAAAGCAGATCAGAGAAAGTCCCAACGTTCAGCAGCCTCCAGTAGCCAGCCAACATGGAAAAAGTTTTGTGAAGAGAGTCCTGATGGCCGGGCGGGTCGAAGAGGGCGGGATTCAGCCCATCCCGCTCGAGGCTCGGACAAACACCAAGTACTTCAATGCTTTCACGATTTGGTGTTCGATCAATACCAATATTTTGGCGTGAGTGATTATCTGAGGGCTCAACAGCCTCCGTGCTGTTACGATCTTTTTGCTCACACTCGTTAGCATTACCTTCGGCATGCTGGGTCCGGTCTCGTTTGGACTCGGCCTCCGCGATTCGGCACTTGCAATTCTCTTCTTTAATCTATTGTCCACCTTGGCTCCGGCATTTCTTTCTACTTGGGGCCCCAAGACAGGGATGCGCCAGATGATCCAAGCTCGCTTTAGTTTTGGGTAAGCCAACATTTGGCCTGAACTGGCATCAATGGTGCCGGCTTAATATGTGGACAAAAATCTAGGTTTGGCTAATATGTGTTTTGCAGGTATTACTTTGTGTACATTCCGGTCATTCTCAATTTGGCAACCCTCACTGGATTCTGTGTCATTATCTGTGTGATTGGAGGACAATGTCTCTCCGCAGTCTCGGAAGGCGACCTGTCGACTGCAGTTGGTATTGTCTTGATCGGCATTTCGGCACTTTTGATTTCCTTCTGCGGCTTCAACGTGCTACACTTTTATGAGGGCTACGCTTGGATGCCGGCCTTGGTCGCGATTATCATTGCTGTAGGGTGCGGCGGTCAGCAGCTGAAGCAACAAGCTACGGCTGAGCCAGCAACGGCATCTGGGGTTCTCAGCTTTGGTGGTGTCATTGCATCCTACATGATCCCATGGGCTTGTATCGCATCTGATTTAACAACCTACTTTGCCCCCACAAAGCGACTCGTATCGTAAGTCCTGATACCTCCACTTTTGGAACTCATACTGACCTCTTCAGCTACCGCATCTTTGCATACAGCTATCTCGGACTAGTTGTGCCGACTATTTTGCTCATGACTTTGGGTGCAGCCATCGGCGGCGCTATGAGTAATATCCCTGAGTGGCAAGACGGCTTCAACAGCACGTTGGTCGGTGGTGTCCTCGGAGCTATGCTTTCCCCAGCCGGCGGCTTCGGCAAGTTTATTCTTGTCGTTCTCGCCTTCACGTTGCTCGCCAACATCTCAGGCACGATGTATGCGATCACTCTGAACTTTCAGACTTTGGTCCCCGCATTTCGATTGCCACGATACGTTTTCTCAGTCGTGGTGACTGCCATCATCATCCCGATTGCGATTCGAGCAGCTCACGACTTCTTCCTCAGTCTCGAAAACTTCATCGCGCTTATCGGCTACTGGTCGGCTTCATTTGTGGGAATTGTGGTTGCTGAGCACTTCGTTTTCCGCCGCGCAAACCATAACTTGTACGAGGCTGCTATTTGGGAAGAGCCTTCAAAGTTGCCATGGGGCGTCGCAGCCATTGGAGCTGCTGCGCTAAGTTTTGCGCTGGTTGTTCCATGCATTTCTCAGGTTTGGTTCACGGGTCCCATCGCAGTTTCAACGGGAGACATTGGTTTCGAGGTTGCGTTCGTCCTGAGCGCTCTTCTATACCTGCCTCTGCGTTATGCCGAAAGGCGCTTTGTAGGACGATGAGATGCTGATGGTCAAGCTACAAGGCTCTGAACCGTATCCCTGTTATAATCGGTTGGTAAAAGCGTTCCAGCTCTGACTTAATGAGCTGGTAAGCTAAGGGCGGCGTCTCTGTGGGAGCAGCGGAGGTCCGGTAACATTGTATCGAATATTGCGTTTGGTGAAATGTCGGATTGGTCGATCGTAAGGAGCCTTGATAGCCTAGCAAGCAGGCACACGAGGATCGATAATGGGTCAGCCAATGCTCGTCGTTTGCAAGTATGATTAATATAAAACTTACGAGATACCCAAAATATATCTTAGTTGGGTTTTTTGATCTGTGTTTATCCCCAAGTACTTATCTGTGTGTTGTTCACACCACTCCCTCAACCTGTTCATGATTCCGGCTCTGTGCATGTCCGTTCTCTCTCTCAACCAACATCTGGCTTGATGACGCCCCTCAAGAGCTTTGCACCATCTATTCTTCGCTAGGAAAGATGAAAGTTCTGCAGTTAGTGTTTCAGCTAGTATCCCACGCATTGGTTTGTCATATCAAGCGCCAACATACAACTTATTCATCCATCCCCTTCCCCATGCCACAGTCTAGCGTCCCATAGCAGACCACTGGAGAATACACACCGCCAACCACGCTGGCTCCAAACGTGCTTCGGTAGAAAAGATGGCGCGATCAAAGCCAAATTCGCTTGACGAGCGCGCCTACTTTGCCATGAAATCCGCGCATTGTGCTCAGAACTACGCACACGCGAAGAAGCATGTCGTCGTGGACTTTTTGGAGTGTTGCAAAAGTTTTTAACGCCCTGACTGGACTAGCCGCCATGCTGGAGAAATAACATCTAACAGAGACATACCTTCCTAAAGCTTCAGAACCCCTGCTAATGGCTCCGAATGTCATTTGAGTCAGTTATTGATCAGCACAAAGACCTGGGTGAGATAATTGGCCCACTACTACCTGCGAATAGCTGGCTTCAATACAGGATTATGAGCATTACCTAAAACAATCGGTTTGAAGGACATGCTAAAGAGGGTATACTGTCTGGCGTGTCACCTTCAACAAGTTAGCACAGAAGCGTAACACAGCGAAGCCTTTCTGACGGAACCGATGATTTTCGGTATGTCTTTCAATCTGGCAGCTTTCAGGTGAATGATGATCATGTCAATCTTTAATCTGCTACCATTTCTACAAACAGTTCCCAATGGGTGGACATCAGGCTCGCCCTAAACAGATCGCTGGCCGCAACCACAGCATTTAGTGGTGTCTATGATCTGATAGCTGTGTGTTAGATTGATGAGTGGTCTCCAGGCCTTGAATTACCTGACAATATTATGATTAGTAAATTGTAACCAGTCTCCTTCCACAAGACCAGCAGTTATATCGGCTGCGACGCGCATATACAAGCTGACGTGCAGGAGCTGAGATGCAGGCAAGCTCAACCTGCATTGAGCGGGAGCTACGTAACGGAAGTTCTTTAAAGCTAGCTTGAGAAGAGGTGATAAACGAGAAGAAAGGAGTTGACATTCGGGAAGAACGATGAACTACTATTTGTCAAAGATCCTTCAGAGCTCGGCTGACCGTAAGAACGATTCAGCCGCCTGTCACCATTACAAAAGAAGAAAAGAAGGCTGTTACCTGAAGATGAGTTGTTAAACAACTACTTAAAGCTTGGATCGTCAGCGAGATAGCATTCGAGGTTCGTTCATTCTTATGGCAAACCCCTATCTATATTTAAAATGTACCTCACAGTTCTCCTCACCACTCAAGCCTTCGTTGCTATCGCGACGTCTACATCCACTCTAGGCTCCCTCACATCCTGCCTCAACGCTGCACTCATTCCTGTTGCTTCAATAATACCTACCCCTTACAACGTCCGACTTTCGTGTAAGCCCCTTGCAGTTGCCAATCCCCTTACGGTTACGCAAATATCATCTGCCGTGAAGTGTGGTGCACAGAATGGTGTCAGTGTCAGTGCGAAAAGCGGTGGCCACAGCTATACATCCTCCGGCTTTGGTGGGGAAGATGGGCACCTGGTGATCAATCTAGACCATATGTGCGCCGTGAAGGTCGCCACTGACGGTACTGCCAAAGTACAAGCAGGCGCTAGACTGGGTCATGTTGCCACTGAGCTATATAAGCAAGGGAAGAGAGCTCTCTCGCATAGAACTTGTCCAGCGTAAGTTTTCTAGCTATGTTGATTGTACCGTCTAAGACAGAACAGTGTCGGTGTTGGTGGGCATTCCCTCCATGGCGGCCACGGCATGGTCTCTCGGAAGTACGGACTTGCCACGGACTGGATTAAGGGGGCAACGGTCGTTCTGGCTAACGGAACCATAACGTATTGTTCTGAAACCGAACGTCCAAATCTATTCTGGGCAATCCGCGGCGCAGGCTCATCAATGGTTATTGTGGCCGAGCTCGAATTCAACACTTTTGCCGCACCCGAGCGGGTAACATATTTTGACATCAGCCTCAACTGGGATGTGAAAACAGCCCCACAAACTCTTTTGGACGCCCAAGAGTTCGCAAAAGGATTGCCAGCGGAATTGACCATGGCTACAACATTCAACAACAATGGGTAATATCTCAATGGTGCCTTTATTGGCGATGACGCCGCTTTCCGGAAAGCGGTGCAGCCTCTTGTCACAAGCTGGGGGTAAAGGTTTCGAGTGCAAAAACAGTTGGCTGGATAGACTTCATCAAGCACTATGCGGGTACCTCAGAGATTGACATAACTTCTTCGACCTACAATGAGGTGAATAGAACCGCTCGACAGATGTCTAGATCATACAACTTACTGCCCTTCTCTTAGCACGAGAACTTTTATGCTTCGAGCATTACAACTCCAACCCTATCAAGAACACAGTTGGAGTCTCTTGTCAACACTGTCAACAAGACTGGCCTCAATATGAACCGCTCCTGGTTCATGCATATAAACTTCCATGGCGGTGATGCCTCGGCTATCACACGTCCGAAGCCCACAGACACAGCATATGTGCACCGAGACAAGATGCTTTTTTTTCAGCTCAAGGATAGCGTGCCACAGTGCCAGAGATTCCCAAGTAATGGTTTTATGTTTCTTCAGGGGCTCAGGCAGAGCATAAGCAAAAGCCTTACTAGTGACGAGTGGGGGATGTATGCAAATTACCCAGACTCGGAAATTGGCAGTAATGCACCAAGGCTGTATTGGGGAAATAATCTTGAAAGACTGGAATGGGTAAAAGAGGATTACGACCCAAATAATTTGTTCAGGGATAGTCAGTCTATCAAGCCTGTAATGTAGCTTGGATTGTTCCAGATGAAGGTGCCCAAATTATACTGTCTGGTGAGTTTCATGAATTGAGCCAATTTCCTGGCTGGGTGACTTCTAGGGGAGTTCAAAAATTGCTAAATGCTCTATTGCTGCGTTCATAATAAAGCGGTCCATCTTCGGGGCGAACAATAGCAGCTGGTAGCATTTGTTTTCTGCTCAAACTCATGTCAAAGGGCTAGCATATTATAGATGGACAACTTCAACCAAAACGCGCGTAGAAGTCATTTTTAAAAGTGATTCGAACCTACCCTTCCACTATTTCTGCCGTACCAGGCTGTAACTATTTCATACTGATGCGGATACATCAATTTTACTTCTTGATGTTTCGAGCCCGGACTCCGCTGGTGCTTCGAGACCATCTGACAACTTATAATTTTAACATTGAGGCTCTTGGTAGATAACTAGGAGAGCCTACGTAAGGAAAAGGAATAGTTGAGTAGGCGGTCAAAACGTATACAAAAGAACCTGAATTGGTCAGATAGGAAGGGTAGTAAGTTTCGTGGAAGTTTTCTCTATGGGAGGTGGTTTGGAGCATAGGTGGAGCAAATTACCTTGGCCGCGGGTGACAATTTGGCCGGATTGGCGAGAGCAGGACCAATTGTTTTCTTTGCAGGTATCTAAAACCTTTCTACACATGCGATTGTTGTGAGTGGCCAGAGATTCAGCCTAAGAGTGTTTTTCCGATGCGGCGACAGCCGACGTGCAGTTTGCGTGCGGAGTGGAATTCTGGAATCGGTGGGCCTCTCCAGACACAGTGAGCCCGTAGGCGCCTTGGCTCTTGGCATTCGCCGGCGGCGCGGAGCAGATAGAAAGAGCATATGCACAACAACCGATCACGGAACTGGAATGCGGACGTTGTTTGTGATTCTAAGCGAAGCTGAATTCGGGTCGAGGCAGGAAGACAAGTATGTCTTGAGCCAAATGCGTCAGCACATTGGCATTCCATCCAGTCGATCCAGCTTAGCCATGGCTGAGAGACCTCGTGCGCCACACTGCGCCTCTTTTCTGTCACCGGCACATGCGGTCCTCCTAAATAAAGTCTCGCTGCATGCGGATGGCTGTAAGCCATCACATGTGCGACCTCGCCAACCCTACCTTCGCTCATCCTGTGATCTTGAGAATCAGCTGCAACTCTCACCAGTAACACCAAGGATGGAGACCTTGCCTCAAGAAGTCGTCGACCAAATCGCATCCAACCTCTATCGACCTGATCTAAAGAGCCTCTTGTTGTTGTCACCAAAGCTCCGTATGGCAGCTGAAAAGTACTCTGAGGGCTTCACTAGGTGCAAGCTGCACTACAAAAATCTCGACAGATTTGTCGAAAAGTTTCGCGGTGCACGCTTTTGTTGGCTTCATGAACTGGAATTCGACTTGAGGCTGCCAGAAAACCCAGCTCATAAGGGCATTAACCCAGCCGATGACCCGACCGACGCCAAATCTTATGACGACGATCTATCAGCCCAAGTTCATGCACTCTTCAAAGCATTGAAAACCCTTGAGGACTCTGATGGACCGCAAGGAACCATACAGCTTAAGATTACTAGCCCCGAGCGACCGGACTTCGATCCCACCAAGCCAACTGCAAGCTGGCTTGTTCATCTGCACCGTCTGGAGCAGCTCCCAGTACTCCAAAGTATCGGTTCTCTGTACGTTGGGCCACCTGCATATCGACAAGCATCAAACTCCTTTGGTAAACTTAGCTTAAGGACTCCTTTGGATATTTCGGCCAAGCTACCCAATTTGGAGATGCTCCAGATCGACCTTATAGACGAGCACCACTGCGACTCGGAGTCAGAACGCAACCGAGTCAAGGCAAGAGAAGAATTTGCGCGCGTTGCTGAGACCATGTCACTCCGAGCCAAGCGAGCTGAGATTATTCTTCAAAGAAGAAAGGCCCATGAAACTCTTGACCACGACTCGGCGATGCCAAATCTTGTTCGAGCAGGTCCTGAAGACCATTTCAGCTCTAGTCTTCGGGTCCTTTGTCGCCATCTCACTCAGCTACAACTAAGCGCCATTATCGACAAGTCGTTCTTCTGGCCCGACGATGGACAAGGTGATGTCTGGCCCAACATGGAATCAATAGAGTTAAAGCTTCATCCAGTTACTCCTAGGGGATCTTGGTACTTTGTGGGGCCACATGGGGAAGGTAGCAATGTGCAAGGATATCCTGTGGACGGGATCGAATATACTGGCGAGAGTCAGGCCATCGAAGGCGATACCATCATAATGGGGCATGCTCCCTGCCGGCCTTCGGGATGGCGTCTCAGGCCCAGTCCAGAAACACTCCATCCACTCCTCGTCGCATTCGCCAAAGCAGCTGCAAAGATGCCTCGTTTGAAAGAGGCTATGATATGGTCACCCATCTGGTGGTCGCCGGGAGACCATGCTAAGGCAAGATTCTATTATCACAAGTCTTTCGACATGATGAACAATCAGAGGCCACTGGGTTGGGGAATCGGTTACAACGCGCCTGGAACTGGTCGAGAGTCTGATGGACTAAACTCAGCGGCATCTGAAGAGTCTGATGACGAAGATGTCCGTCTATTCGAATGGAGAACGGGAAGCTGGGAGCCCGATGAAGCGATGAAGGACTTATTCCACGAAATTGGTCGAGAGCAGCATGGAGATGAATTTGATGATGATTGGGACCCTGACGCAAATCAGGAAGATCTGTTCTTCGAAGGGTTCTGCTTCGGAAAGAAGCTTAATTGAGATATAACGGTATATAAGGGCCTTAAACAATGTGGTCCATTGTCATGGCATAGACCCGCAGTTCCGGCTCTTTTGGTCCAGTTTCGTGCAAGCTGACTTATCTGGTTGGGATTTTATCGTTGAGGAACATAATAAATAAGCTCTGAGAAGGAGCATGTCCGATTTACACAATCTTATCTTCTCTCGGTGTCCGATTGGAGAATGATAAGAGTTTAACTCCCAAGAAATACTAAAATCTTGGCCGCCCACACATGAGCCATTCAGAACATCACGTCTTTCTCTCGGCGCCTCGGCGCCGCTGCAAATATGGAGTCAGACCTCGCAGGCGAGCAACAAGCATTTGCTGGCTCAGGCTGGCCCAGGGCCCAGAACCACAGCTCCGAAACTGGAGGTGGGTGGGTGATAACGGGAGCATGTTCGCTGTAAGACACAACACATGGACAGCCGCCAACCTTGACTGCAGCGAACGAACATCCATGAAACTCTTGCCACTCTTGGGGTTCCGCTCATCCACGCCAAGATGCGGCGGCGCTCTCTGCCGACATCAGCGACCTTGCAGCTCGTCTATGCGCCCTGGCTCCATGTTATCCCATTCAAATGACCTTATCTCTTGAGTAACCCACTTTGCTCCGGCGGATTGGTACCAAATATCTTGGCCTTATCCCTTTATCAGTTTCTCCGGGTGATGCATTGGGCGTCTAGTACAGTCCAATGAAAGGATGGGCATCAAATGTACGCCAGATACCTGGGTTGCTGATACTACGGCCAGAGCCCGGCGGCCATTAGGCTCTGCAGTTGAAAAGGATTTGCATTATTATATAGCCACTTCCTCGGCCTCTCTGAGTCCGAGCCCGCTTATTTTGAGAAGCTGTCCTCAGGAGCTCATTTTGTATCACTGAAACTTTGATAGCAGCTGCAACCTACATTCCCAATACCAACGCGAATTGCGTAAGCATGGATTCAACGCCGGTCCTCCATCAAGGCTGGGGGTTAGTCCTTCTTCAAAAGCGCTACAATTATCGAACAAATGCTAATCGCACGTTGTAGCTATGGCCTTATGATTGGTCTCGGTGTCCTCTTCGCGTATGTCTTATAATCTCTGTATTCTTCAAGAACTGACGATGAGACTCATCGTTTCCACAGGGTTTTCATGATCGCTATCACCTGGGCCCTCAAAAGATACAATTATGAGCTCCAGACGTCGGAAATGTTCACTACCGCTGGACGATCACTCAAATCCGGGCTGGTGAGTGAATGCATCTATCATTCAGGCGACAGAGTTACTCATCCGATAGGTCGCCTCTTCCGTCCTCTCGACTTGGACGTGGGCTGCAACTCTGCTGCAGAGCACAGCTGTTGCATACAAATAGTAAGTATCCCAGCTGCATTTGGTTGTGAACAGAACTAATGGCATTGTAGCGGCGTATCTGGTCCGGTATGGTATGCCTCTGGTGCAACCGTCCAGATCATTCTTTTCGCCACACTGGCCATTGAACTGAAGAGACGGGCCCCGAACGCTCATACATGTAAATTCTATTGTGATTATTGCACTGAATAAGGCTAACATATATATGTTTAGTTTTAGAGGTTGTGAAGGCGAGATATGGTCCCGTCACTCACGGTGTTTACATCGTATTTTGCTGCTTTTGCAACATTTTGGGTGGGTCCTAAATACCAAGTACGACGACATTATGGAGTCTCTAATTCGAGATTCCAGTCACTGCGATGCTTCTCACTGGTGGCTCTGCCGTCATCCAGAACCTAACGGGCGCACCCGTAGCCGCTTCCGTGTTTCTTTTCCCCATTGGTAAGTGATGCGGCAAAGACATCAGCTCGTTGAGAAACATTAGGTATTCACATTCATGGTAGGCGTTGTTGTGTACACCCTCTTCGGAGGTATCAAGGCTACTTTCATCACGGACTACATAAATGGCCTGGTTATACTCGTTATCATTTTTGTTTTTGCCTTCACGGTGTACTCAACCAACGAGCTCTTGGGCTCTCCTGGACGGGTTTGGGAGATCCTCACTGATCTGGCAGCTGAACGCCCTCTGTCTGGAAACTCTGGCGGCAGCTACCTAACAATGCGCTCCCAAGGCGGCGGTAAGTTCCCTGATGCCAATGGCACAGATATACATGTATAAATATTTAACGCCTATTTAGCTGAATTTTTCATTATTAACCTTTGCGGAAATTTCGGAACTGTCTTCCTCGATAACGGATACTATAACAAAGCTATTGCGGCTTCGCCTATTGATGCTCTGCCTGGCTATGTGATGGGGTCAGTTGTCTCCATCAATGCTTTGTAGGTTCTCGTTTCTAACAACGATACAGTGGAATTAGTTGGTTCGCTGTACCCTGGTTGACAGCAACAACCATGGGTCTTGCCGGTCTTGCTCTAGAGAACTACGACGTGTGGCCAACATATCCCAACCGTCTTTCTCCGGTCGACGTCGATGCCGGTCTGGTTTTGCCCACGGCAGCCGTTGCACTCCTAGGAAAAGGAGGTGCCGTCGCAACATTGATCTTGGCTGTGGGTTCTCAAATAATGTCTTAAATCATACAAGTAGCTGACAGCTCGAAGTTTATGGCAATCATGAGCACTTACTCATCCGAGCTTATTGCTGTTTCGTCAATTTGCACCTACGATATCTACAAGACTTACTTTAACCCCTCAGCAACCGGCAAGCAACTTATGCGTATCAACTACATCGGCATGGGCGTCTTCGCTTTATTGATGGCTGGTTTCGCAACAGGTCTAAACTACGTCGGCATCTCCATGGGTTATCTTTACCTCATGATGGGTGTCATAATATCGTCTGCTGTGCTCCCTGCTACCTTGACGCTGCTTTGGGACGGACAATCATGGGCCGCTGCGACTTTTAGTCCCATCATCGGCTTTGCCCTCTCTATGACGGCATGGCTGGTCACAACCAAGATTAAGTACGGCGAGCTAAGTGTGACCAATACGGGCGCCAATGAGCCAATGTTGGCCGGCAACCTGACCTCATTGCTCTCTCCTGTCCTTTTCATTCCGCTTTTGACATTCATTCCGCCTTTCAAGCCCCAGAAGTATGACTGGCAGAGCATGCTCAACATTCGCCAGGGCGACGATCACGACCTTGCCGATGGCGCAGACATGGACGTTGAGAACATTCCCGAGGAGCAGACACAAGCTTTCAGCGACCCAGACGAAAAGACCAAGCTCGACAAAGCTGCCAAGACTGCCCGGTGGTTGACTGTCGGTGTTACACTTGTCTTGCTGATTCTTTGGCCAATGCCGTTGTATGGCAGCGGCTACGTTTTTGGAAAATCTGTGAGTTTTTATCAAAAACACTGTAGTAATTTGCTAACTTTGTCCAGTTCTTTACCGGTTGGGTTGTGGTTGGTATTACATGGCTGTTTGCATCTGTGATCATGGTCGTTTTTTTGCCGATCTTTGAATCCCGAAGCACTGTAGTGCGTACAACGCGCATGATGTTAAAGGATATGTTTGGTATGAGGGGAAAAGGGAAACCGGTAAGCGAAGGTCAAACACCAGGAACGAAAACTCCCCCAGAGGTTACTGAGAAAGTTGAAGCGAAGGCCTAAGCCGTCGCAGGTAGTGGGCGTTTGTACGAATGAGGGCCAAATCAATAGCTTGAAAGGATTAGAGGAACACATCCTTTTCGTACAAAACGACTCAGAACATTGATGTCTAAGGGGTTCATAATAGTCATATTTCTAGATACAATTCACCCAACAAAGCCATCATGTGAGTGACACCAGCAGTTGCTCCATCGATACAAGTCCTGTAATTAACATGTAGAACCAAAGTCTAGTGGAAACCATTGGTCTTGCGCACGAAGAAGGATTCGAGGAAGTCCTTGATCGACTCCGTGTCTTCCAGTGCACAAATCTCGGAGACATCTGAGAAGAATCCATAAGTAAATGTCTCGAGTATGAACAGGGTGACTCACATTGATCTGGTCGAACGAGAACCATTGCCCCGACTGTGGGGTTTACACCGTACCTGGCATAAGCTTCGCCGTGTCCTGCATGGTAACTTTCGTCATCCACAAAAATATTCTGGAGGCCTAGATTTGAGAAAAGGTAAGCGTTTGTGACTCATGAAACTCAATTGGACGCCAGGAGCTTGTTTTACATTTGACCCTCCATCTTCCTCCGGGAGGAATGAAAAGGTTAGGAATCTTCTGCTCATCTATGCTCTTGCGATCAGATTTCAGTACTAGTATGGGATTCAAGACTCTGTCTGTGTCATTATGAGACTCATTAAGCCGTCCCAGAACAACTTTGAGACTATTCGCAAGCTTGCGTATATGTCAGCGATCTTAAACTCTCTGCTCTGTGTATGAGACATGAACAATAAGCATACCTTATGCAAACGTTCTTCCGAATGCCGCTGGGTAACGTCACCAGGAAAAATCACCAATGCCCATCTAGAGTCTGCGTGTAGAGCTTGTGAAAGCTGCATAGCTCTAGCATCTGAGAAGCGAACAACCTGAGCGCTCGGGAAACGCATGCCGGTTTTCATACCACGTGCCAAGTCATCACGCTCACTAGATCGTACCAGCATAGAAGGCTTGTACTGCGTCGCAAGTCCAGCGGTGTACCTGCCCGACTTGATGAAATATTCTTGGAAGTCCTTGGTGGAGTAGCCGTGCTCTTTGCGGTAGGAGGATGAGAACATCTTGGCGAATTGTCGGTCAAAGTCAATCAGGTTCTTGGCGGTTTCGTGTCTCTCAGAGACGTAGGTCTCCAGAATCGATGGCTGGGCCTGACCTCGAAGAACTGCAGCAAGTTTCCACCCAATGTTATAGCCATCTTGCAGACTAACATTCATACCCTGACCAGCCTTGGGGGAGTGTGTGTGACATGCGTCTCCAGTAAGGAATACTCGGTGATCTTTTGTGAAGTAGTCGGCAAGACGCTGGCCGATCGAATATGCTGAGAACCACGACGTCTCCGCAATTTCGACATTGTAAGGCTTGAAAATTTTGTCGAGCCGTTCTTTGACTTTCTCGGGAGTGACCTCGCCTGGTGTAGTTACAGGCATCTCCATGTAGAACCGGACTTTCTCGTCGCCCTCTCGCGGAATGATAACGAGGTTGCCTGCATCAGACTGAAGCACACACTTTTTGCGGATGTCAGGGAAGTCAGTCCTCGGATAGACGTCCATAACGGCCCAGACCACATCGGTGCTGTCCCCTATCATTTTGAACCCTAACGACTTTCTGACAGCGCTATGAGCTCCATCACAACCCTTCGTCGATGTCTTAGTCATAATGTACGCAAAATCCGGAAAGGAAGACTCACCAAAGCATACTTTGCACGATATGTACGCTCGACTCCATTTTCAGTCGATTTCACGGTCACGCAATGAGCCCCGTGGTCCTGGGCGGCCTCGCTGTTGACGATGACTTCACGAATGTCACTTCCGTATTGGATGTGCGATTCTCCTGATGACTTGACGATGTCCTGGATGAGGAGTTCGTTAATCCGGGCCTGATTCAGGATGACGTGAGGGAGATGACTGAGTCCAGGCTCGGTATCTGGTTCGAGATGCGACCTGCGTATTCCACCATTGCCATCTGGTGACCAAAAGGCTAATTCGAGAACATGATAGGCTTCTTTTAGGACGTCCTCGGACAAACCGAGATGCTCGAGAATCTCGACTGTGCGGACTTGGACACCATCAGCCTGGCCCTGTTTGAGCATGCCTTCACGCCGCTCAAGGATCTTGAAATTGATGCCGCAACGAGCTAGCCACACTGCTGCGCAGAGTCCGGCCGAGCCGCTGCCGCAGATAAGAACATCGTACTCTTCAGACATTTTGCACGCTGAATGTCCCTCATAATCTTCAATGAACCTTGTTAGATTCAGAAAACGGGGCATTACTTAAATACGTCCGATCACCGCTTACATACTCCTACAAGAGCCGTCTACCCGAATTCCTCTACCGAGGTGCGGGGATAAATGTTATTTCCCCGAAAGCGAAGAAGGTAATTCATGCGGGGGAGAGCTTTGGGCGCCCCTGCGTCGAATGTTCAGCTTCCGAAGAGAGATCCGACTTCCGTCCGGGATGTGTAGTCGGCATCGGTGACTACATTCTCATCATGTTGTTCATGTGGATCGGAGTCGGCGTGGGTCCTTTTGGCGACACCGATGGGGCCGATAAAATTTTGCAGAATCCGGCCTTCCGGCCGAAGATAAAAGCTCATCAGCGCGATGTCGTTTGTTGCATTACCTACCAAGAGGAAAAGGCGTGTACCAATGTCGCGGGCTGAAAGCCCAAAGTACACCTTGAGTAAGTGCCCATGCGCTCCAGTTACCCCTCAATCACCCCTCAGTTCGCACCTCAGTAGGTATGACGCTTGCAATCGAACAGGATGAGCAGAGACAATAGGTAGGGCAAATGGATGGCACTCAACCAGTCAAAATCTGCATCGGCGGATCATATTTCCATTTCCACAATTTTACGTCATCAAATAAAAGAAAAGAATTTCTCTTCATTTTGGTACCTGTGCGTCATCACTGAAATCTGCCCTCATCCCAATTCGAGCCCAAACACCAACAAATCATCACGATGTCTTCCTCTACCATTCCCACCTCTACCTCCGTTGTTGAGAGCGCCGTCATCAAGGCTCCTCTTAGCCATGTCTGGCACTTTATCAAGCGTAAGTGCAGCCATTCATGTGACTTGACGGGGTACACGGTGAATGTCCTCGAGACTTGAGCAAACGTTGATATTTGTGTTATGGATAATAGTCCAAAACTTCCAGAACTTCTGGTCTGCTTTGAAGGGCAGTGAGTTTGCCAAGGCTCAGGAGGAGACTGACATCGTTCGCTGGACTTTCAAGGATGGCACCGTCCTCGAGGTCAAGCAGGAGGAACACAGCGTGAGTTTACATCACCATTTCATATTGCAAAGGGGGTATACAAGATATGCTAACCTTTAATATCAGACCATCAACCACTACATCACCTACAGCGTGATCACTTCTCAGCCTGAGCTGTCCTACACCAGCGTTGTCAGCACTATCCGCTGCTACCCTGTCACCTCCGGCGAGAACGAGAACAGCACTTTCGTCGAGTGGACGGGCAACTTCTCCAGCGACGCTGATGCTGGTACGTAGAATCCTTTTAAACCTGCTCAAATGAGCTGTTGCTAACATCACTTCCACAGGTGTCATCCAGGACGCCAAGTTCAAGCGTCGTGAGGCCCTTGCTGACCTTGCCAAGGCCGCCGCTAAGTTGTAAGGTTAACGTAACGTCATGGGTTGGTTGGTTATTGGCACTGAATGCCTTATTTGACTGATTCAAGTGAGATACTCGAAAGAAGTAAAAGATACCACATGCAATTCGTGTTTGCAATTTAATGCCCCCCTCCGCCTCGAGACAACGCGTCACCAACGTACTATGCACTCAATAAGTACTTACACTTTACACACCTGTGAAACAGCAGGTGAAGCTGCCACCACGTGTTACTTAACGTCCATTTTGCCACTGATAGCCACTGATAGCCACTTTCGCTATTGCCAAAAGTCTGATAGAGATATGTATGAATAAACAGATTGCTAATTTTAACTAAAGATATACTTCGTCGGTAACACCCAAAAGCTTGTTAGCTTGCAGCTTAAATGCGTCGAAGGAATATCTCTAGAATGAACCCTTGGACGGGAACTTGAGAGCTTAAACCCTGTTGGTAACCGCGCCTCAGTTAAGTGCCTTGGAGAATTTTCCAAGCAGTATGCCCGGCAATATTTGCGATAATAATCTTAATTGCTGCCAGTAGCGGTTACCAGCTAATGGGTTACGAGTGAGCCCGAAAAAAAGGCACAAAACGTATCCAATGAGAGCTGTCAAGGCAACCTTTGGCAAAGTTCGCTTGCCTCGCCCTTGATGAGTTGGGCCCTGTAAAGTGTCAGTGTAAACAGACTCTCAAACTTGCTAGTTGTAACTTACACTGATCTGCAGGTCTTTGAAGTTGGGAAACAGGCAGCGGTACCAGAAGTATGCCTGAGAGTAAGGGTAGGTTGACCCGTTCCACTTCTTGCCGTCTTTGGTATCTTTTAAGTACCAACTCGTGCATCCGGTGAACCAAACAGTGTTTCGCATGTCCCTCTGCATCTGTTCCACGTATTGTTGTTCTGCCTTGCGGGTTACTTCGATAGCTGTGCCTTTACCGTCAAGAAGTGGTTTGATGATGCGGAGAGCAAAGTTTGCGGAATTCTCAGCTGCGATGACGGCAGATGTATGCCCCGTAAGTGAGTTGGGCCCTATCTAACCATCAGTTGGTGCTGTAGGTGTTTCCAAGGTTGCGCTTACCAAGGAGTATGAAGAAATTGGGGAAACCGCTGACGATGGTGCAATTGTAAGCTTCTGGACCACCGAAAGATTCCCAGTGTTGATCAATCGTCTCCCCTTCACGACCAATGACCTCCAACCCCCCGATGGCATTGTTCGTCACAAAGCCATTAGCCATAACAATCACATCTGCCTCTACAACGCCGTTTCGTGTACGAATGCCCTCTGGCACAATCTCCTGTACAGGCTCATCTAACAATGTGAGGTTCTCCGAGTGAAGGCTTTCAAGGTAACCAGCGTCGAAGATACGTCGCTTGCATCCAAGTTCGAAATCGGGAATCAACTTGTCGTGGTATTTCGCTGGTGCCGTTTCCCTCATGTATTTCTCTGCTTGAGCCCTGGCTCTTTGACGATACTTATTACCGGCATCTGTCATGTAGAATCCTCGAAGAGCGTCCTCTGCGCTCGCATAGCAAATGAACCGTTGCAATGACATCGTTCCCGGAATATATCTTAAAAACTTTTTCATTAAATCTGTGTTCTCGGAATCGACGGGTGGCATAAACCAATGTTTTGCACGGATGACCTGTGTCAGATGCTTGGTTTTGTCAATAATGGCGGGTACAATTTGCGACGCGGTGCATCCATTGCCGAATACTACCACCCTCTTACCCTCGATTTCCACACCCTTATCCCAGCGGGAAGAATGGAAGATACGGCCTTGAAAGTTGCTAGCGCCGGGGACATCGATCTCCCGTGGCTGCATGAGCTGTCCGGTGGCTGCGAAGAGGAATTGGCACTCGTGATAAAAGATCTTGCCGGTTGCATATTGGCGAATCGTCATCCGCCAGCGTTTGCGCGCTTCAGACCATACGCATCGTTCGACGTTGACCCCGAACTGCATTTTGTCGATGAGCGAATACTTCACTGCGACATCGTGAAGATACTGCCACAACTCTTGTTGCGGAGACAACACACGGCTCCAGTCGGGGTTCGCATCGAAGGAAAAACTATACAATGCGCTGGGAATATCACATGCGCATCCTGAAGTCAAAAATTAGAGTCCGTGTCGCCCAAGACTTGTACGACCCGATTTCATACCGGGATATTGGTTGATGAACCATGTTCCCCCGAGCTCGCTGTGTCGTTCAAAGAAACGAACGTCATCAATGCCATACCATCTCTTCAGCGTGGCACCAAGCCCAATGGCCGAAAATCCAGTGCCAACGCACGCGAACTGAGTGTAGCTAGCTGGGGCTGAGGTTTTTGACATGATTGATGACAAGTCGTTGTTTTGTGACAGGGACTGTGCCTATAAGTAATCGCCAGCTTCACGTCCACATCTGTATTCGACTTGGTAAGAGTTAAGAAGCATCGCAAGTTTTAGAAGATGGCTAAACACCCGCGGGATCCGTTGAAGGGACTGCGGGATGCGCGGATATGGTATAACTGACCGGGGCCAATGGGCAAATCGCCCATACCTCGGCTCGTCACATATTCATGCATGCTGTCCAAGGGTGGTGGCAAATGACCACATACTAACCGCGCTAGTTATGAAACTTTATTCCTCTCAGAAGCTCGCGTTATGGCAACAAGCTTGGGCGCCCTCGTATGATGGAGGAGCAAAGTGGGGAGCTATGACCAGGGGATGAGCGGAGATGGGTACGATTGCACTTGGATGTAAATGATCCGCCCCGTGGCGTAATAGCCATTTCTGGTTTGGAATGCGTATCTCGGTCCCTTGGGAGCTCATACTTTGGTAGCTCACTTGGTGACATAATGACTATCTCATATATTTTGTGCGACATGCTAGCCCCCATTTCCAAGTATCAACTGGTGTTATTAATCTTGCATAATCTTCATAAGAGCATCCTAGCTAGAATCCATGTATCTGCGTCTTCGCAGATTCTGTTGCTTCCAACTGACCAGTCATGTCGTTGATCTTCTGCCGAGGCGTGTATGTAATGTCCTTCGCACTTGCAGTGGTCTCCCGCGCAATGCGCCACAACCACTCTGGGCCAGCTCTCTGTGCATCTGTTAGCGTGGTCCTGTGGACGGAGAGAATGTTTGAGTACTTACCAAAGCAACAACAGATGACATCATGCCAGGCAGATAGATAGTTCTTCCGAAGCCACTGTAAAGAGAATTTACAATGGCCTCGCCGACAGAGTCGACGTGGAGCAGAGGCACCATGAAGTGCGGCTGGCCGGGATCGAAGGGAACAAGTGGCGTGCGGATGAAGCCAAATATTCCAAGCGTTTGCCGAACCTTGGGCGCTTTGTGAATGTACTTCAACTCCAATTGCAGCGCCTATGGGGAAATTCAGCAAGAGCCAGAGCGTCGGTTATCAGGGCATGCCACTCACTTCGTGCATTGCGGTAAGCCCAGCTTTGGTAGCTGAGTAGTCGGCAATCCTTACTGGAGGAATTACCGAACTCATAGATCCGACGTTGACTATGTGTCCGTGGTTGTTGCGAACCATGTACGGCAGGAATTCTTTCGTGAGTAAGAATGGTGCGATAAGATTGGTCTTGATGGTGAGTTCAACATCTGCGTACGAGCCATCCATGATGGTGTAGCCCCGTGCGATCCCCGCATTGTTGACGAGGACGGTGGGATCGCCAACTTCAGCTCGGATGAGCGTACAAAGCGACTTGAGCGCCTTCGTGTCCGTCAAGTCGCACTTGAAGTAGTGGATGTTTGAACCTTTCGGAGGCTCCCATGATAACGGGGCGAGGTCAACCACGACGATATTGGCCCTAGGATTTCTGGCCAGGATGTGCTTAATGATACTGTGACCAATGCCACTACTTCCCCCAGTTACGACAATAATTTCTCTGTCAAAGTCCCAGGTGTCGTCCGTCGTCCAGTTGTTTGCCGACCATTTGTTCAGATACTCTGTAGTTGATAGGACGACACTAGCCAAAGCAGCCAGAAATGCTATGCGCTGAGCAGAGTCAAATCGAAGATCCGAAAATCCAGCTGCTCCATTCTTCCTCGCAGACACCACAGCCAAACCGGTGGCAAATGGAATCGATAGATATGGGTTGAGGACAGATTTTCGGACCCATCTTGCAACTACGTCTATGGTGAAACCTTCTCGTGATAGAAACATTGTGAGAATCTGACGTGGACCATTGATCCGTACAAGCGTGGAGAGTGATAATTGAATGGATAATGAAGGCTTCTTATCCAGCCTTTCTATCGGATTGAAGCTGGTGGCTTAAATCTTGCAATCGAAACAGGCACGTTTCAACATGTGCCGAGAACGACCCTGTTTCCCTGGAACGTGCCATTGATGTGAGGAGCCGAGGTCCGGGGACACCACCACTAGATCAAACCGACCAATCCAATAAAACAATTCGCACAAGCATGAAGCTACAAAACCCAAGTTCTCGATTGCTGCAGATCAAATGAGGGGCATCCCACTCAACAGAAACAGGAACTAGCTTGAACTGGCGATATGATGATACATTGAGGAACTGCTTGCTAGGCTGTGTACGAATTTACGAGTGCGAATGCGCCTTTGAGCCTTCGCACTTTGTAAATAGCCTCGGTCGGCACCCTCGGCATTTGATGCGCTGCGGACCCCAGCCCGTGCCTCTGCGGACGGACATGTCACTGACACTTCTGAGCCACGCCTCTGCGTTTCCTGCGGGCATCAAGCCGCCTGTCCGAACGTCCTTCAGCATCCAGAGGCCACTCAGCATTCTGTGCTGGCTGGCTTACTCACTCACATAGCAGTCTTTCACATTTATGTCGGCCACACGACTAGAAGGCAGACTCGTTGACACCAGACGAACCTAGGTGAATTTTCTTTTTCTCTCTTTGGGCATCAACCGCGTGCGACCGAAGGAATAACTAGCAGTATGGCGGCATCAAGACCACAGCTTTCGTTGTGGGAGAAGCGAGACTTGACTTTTCGTCTGCTCTTTCGCGGTATGTTGACTTTAGACCATCTTTCAGTGAATGACATTACTGACAACGCCTCGTTCGCAAGCTCCTTTGCAGTTGATATGGAACTTTGTGTGTGGCATGCCTCTTGCCATTGCGAGAGGCATGTCGATTCGGCTTTTCGCTTTCTGCGCCTACTATCGCTTCGCACTAGGATGTATGCGAGCGCGTGAAATCCAGTTCCTGCTCCCTCCATCAGTCACAACTTACGAGAAATGGATTGCCAAAAAGATCAAGAGACACCCGGAGCTCGCAGATAAACTGCAAAAGAACATTGAGATGCTTCCAGCTAACGACGGCTCAATCATGTGGATCGGCAACAGGCAAAAGGCAACAAAATTTGTTTTGTTCTTTCATGGAGGCGGATACGTCGTGCCCCTACTCCCTGGCCATCTCGAATGGTGCTGGGAAGCATACGTCAACGGCGGTCCAGGAGCTCACGCGGAGGTGGCAGTCGCCGTGCTCCAGTACACGCTCGTTCCTGAAGCGCGGTACCCTACTCAGCTTCAGCAAGCCATCGCAGCTCTCAATCAACTCATTTCATCGGGAGTTAAGCCCCGGGACCTCATCATCGGTGGCGATTCCGCTGGAGGCAACCTGGCTTGTTCGGTCATTCGTCACATCTGTCACCCATGTCACCTCGAGATCCCGGCGTTGAGACTCGAGACCCCTCTTGCGGGCACCTTCCTTGTGTCGCCATGGCTCAGCAGCAAGACAACGGCCCCTGCTTTCAGAGAGAACAACTATGTCGACATGATCACAACCAAGTGCATGTTCCGCGCCACAGCCGAGCTCCTTCACCCACGATTTCCCGTCAGGAGCAAGTCTGACGAGAGTGATCTTGCCATGGCAATGCCAATGGATGGCGATATGGCGTGGGTTGATGAGATATCGTTGGCGACTACGAGCCTCTACGTCACTGGAGGCCAGCAAGAGGCTTTCAGAGATGATATCAGGTCCTTCTCGGAGCATGTCAGTTGTGGAAACAATGACTTGGATCTGCTTCTTGAGCTGTCAGAGCACGAAGCTCACGACTTCATTCTGCTTGAGGGAAAGACTGGACGGGTTGGAGATGCGACGATTCGAATGAGGAACTGGGCAGCGGCGCAGCTGGGGACGGGGCGCGCGTCGGTATGACACGGGTATTTGATCAATCCATCATGATCGCAGTCATATATTCGGCGTCAGAATGACGTTTGATTCATTCCCTTGATTCTCATAATAGTGAAACAAGAGCGATAACTCATAGTCATCTCTATGCCTTGTGATCTGCTGTACCAAAACTTCTCGCTAGTTGACCGCTGGGGGGAGGAGGTGAAGTTGGAGCTCTCGACGATAACTACCGCAAGTAGGCAGACAGCGCTGATCTGCGTTGGTTTGATTGGATTTAGACTGTTGACAGGATGACAGTGGCCCCTCCAACAACCCTTGCTGGTTTAGTGCTTTGACCCCTAGTCAAAATTCCAGTAGAGAAGAATGGTCCCTTCAATCAGAGAACAATAAAGCATGTATCTTGCCGCAATACCTTCTCGAAAGGGATATCGAGTCACACCAACGGCCTAACCTGGCTAATCGAGGCCTGGTCATTGGAGCCACTGCCTGGAGCGGGGTGAACGTAAGCAAACGCGTCGCGTCGAACAAAACCTCCAGGCAGCATATGCCTCAAAACATCTTAGACTGACTTCTTTCACGACAACGTGCGTGCCGATTCATTGATAAGGTGTTTCTCTCTTTCGCTTTGCTCCGCTCGTGAGTTTTCGCCATTTTTCGTTCTCAAAGTAAAATACACACATAAACACCGCACACAAGCATAGCCACCATGGTTCTTCCTGAACAGCAGCCCCTCAACTGCGCCTACAACCGCGACGATGTCGTCGCGGGCCTCACTCAATACTACCTCACCCTTACGCGCACTGCTTATATCCCGGCATCCTATGTCGACTTTCCCCCGCCCGGCGGTTGGACTGATGCAGAACTCGACGTAGGAGCTCTGCGTGCTCTGCGGCGCTCCGAAACGGTTATCGACCTGCTGCGCCATCTCCCTTACCCCAGGCCCATGCACGACGGACCGCGCCCGGGTCCCTGGAACGTCACACCAAAATCGAAGGCTGTGCGCTATCTCCGCCATATGGGCAGCTTCAGTCAGTGGTCCGACCGCGGAGACGCGGGGCTTCTCGAACTGGCAGCTTTATCTATGGGCGATACGCCAGCTGCGCCGATGAATCTGCCACCGGATGCTGTCTGTCTCACGTTTGGTGAGCGGATATTGCCGATGGCAGACGCTAGACCATACTGGTGGATCGTGGACTGCAGTAGAGGTATCATCACGCCATACCAGGAGCGCATTTACAGTGTCGCAAAGGTTCCGCGCAACAAGCCCTGGAGAACCGCGCAATCTTACTCTGTTTTGGACTTCTTCGCCAAACTTGTGCCAGATTTGGGCCAGAACTTTTTGCCAGTCCCGCCTACTGAGGATCTCGACGCCGAAGTGCTTGGTCCTTCTTCGACCGGTATTTGTCGTGAACCAGCCGAGATCTACCGATTGCACGGATGGCCGAACGCCGACTTCAGGCACGATGAGTGCATAATCGCCCTGCAAGCTTGGCGTCGCCGAGTGCAGGAGCAAGAGCGGCAGATGATTGGGGAGGACGAGGACGACGCCGATGATGAGGACTTTGAGATGGACGATAGCGAAGACGACGATATGATGGACCAAGGTGATGCAGGCGAAGCGCTTGCCGAGGCTGTGGCGGACATGGGGGTGGATGATCTGAGGGCCGAGGTTGCTGCTTTGGGGGCTGACATGAGTCCTGAGGAACGTGCAAGGCTGAACCGAGGAGATGGTTATCTTCCCTTTGAGTGGATCGACTCCGAGTGATGGAACCAAGTGCGCAAAAGCGGAAGCTGATGTTATCTAGGTGTAAAATCAGAAATACTTGTCCAGCCGGCAACGAATACACATCGGAATCATCATGAGAATCCGGCCATGGGATGTTGCAACGGTTTCATTTGCAATGGGCGCATAAATGAACATAATGAGTTCCAGAAAAGGTACCACCATAGAATATATGCTCTTCTACGCTTTGAAATCCCAGTTCAAATCTCGATTCTGGACATGCTTCTTCAGCAAGGCCATGGCATTCCGTCTCAGAGCATCCGGCGCAATCATCGATCCCCGAGGATCTTCAGCCACAAACTCTTCGTAAGGACGGGACTGCGCCTCTACCACCGATTCCGGACAGTAAGGAAAGTCGGACCCAAAAACGATGTGGGACAGGTCGGCATAGTCAAGCAATCCGTTGAGTTGAGCCGGGCTTGTGCTGAGAGCGGTGTCGTAGTAGAATCGAGCGAAGTCAAGTTTCGCCGTCGCATAATCCATGGAAACAAGACCCCTGACAGATGGGACCTGAAAGCATCCTTCAACTCTATTTGCCAAGAACGGCAGAGCCCCTCCAGCATGAGAAAGAATAACATCCACGTCAGGAGATGCGTGAAGGGTTCCGCTCATAACCAGATCTACTGCCGTCCTAGTAGTTGCCAGGGGATAGTCCAGGATTGGCTGAGGAAGAGTCGAAGCTATAAGCTTGGGCGTCACATCCAGTACAGTCGGATGGAGAAAAACCAAAGCTTTGTGGGCTTGCAGTCTCTGCCAAATGGGCTTGAATACTGGATCACCCAGTAGCTTGCCTCCATAAGATGTAAAGACTATGACACCGAAGCAGAGTTTTTGTTGTCCAAATAGGAAATCGAGTTCTTCGGTGGTTCCTTGAACGTCTTGCCAGTCCGGTAGGGCTCCAAAAAAGCCCAATCGGCTTTGAGAGCCCGGGTCCTGTGTTTGTTCTGCCAGATAATCGTTCAGAGTCCTTACCAGCTTCCGCCCAGCTTCTCCTGGTCCAGCGATAGATACGCCTGGTGCCGAGACCGATAAAATCGCTGAGGAATAAGTGTTAGCTGGATTTAAAGATATAGGCTCGGAACTATTATCTCGCCTGTCGATGTCCCAATATCGTTCATCAGTCTTATGGTAGCACCTAAAGACCATTCAGGAGATTGAAACCCAGAGGGGTCACCTCCTGCAACCTCCAGAGCTTCCACGTATGCAGGCGGGAGGACATGGATATGTGTATCAATCTTTTTCGACATGGCAGAAACGCAATGATATGGAGCAGTTATTCCTGTCTAGGTTCACATGAGGTCTTGGGCTTGATTTTTATCCTCGCATGATGGCATTCATGATAAGTATATGTTCTCACACCATCGTCATACGATAGCACAGCATTAAGTTACGCAGTCCCGTATGTCCGGAGCGCCGTGGAAGACACGATCAGCCCCCATGCAAGGTCAGACTAAGTCCGGCATTCACTTGTAGCGGGGTTCGGTGCGAGATAGTGCCGCGGATGTTATGTCGGGAGAGATTACCGCCGTGCCGATGGGTAAATACGGCCCCACCTAGACGCGAACGCGCGCTGGAGCTGATTTACTACGCATAGGCACCGTCACTTTAGGCTGTCGCAAAGAACGAAAAAAAAGTGATGTTGTGATTTCTGGGTGATTCCTCCAGCTAAACGAGATAATGTATTGCCTGTTCGATTCGAGTTCCTTGAAACTGCGATCTAGTAATGTCGCATGATACACCTCATATCAGGGGCAAGGGAATGTTCATGGGCAGAGTTGGCATGTAATTATCCGACCAGGTCATTGGTAAATGCAAATAAACAACTACATCTTCCAATTTCATAAATAGGTCCCCCGACGAAAGAGAATGGCTGGGCCTCTAAGCAATGGATACACCACCGTCATGCTCAAACAATTGCGAAGCGCTTCCGGGGTTACGTCAGTATTGCTATAGAAAAATATCTAGCGGAACCTAAATGGAAATATAGATCTTGCTTCCCGTAAGTAGCTTGAGGTGCTTCTATCTGAGGACATCCTACAATGATGTGTGATGCATACATAGTAGCCATAGCCGAAGCAACTTAGAATCCTTTCTGTCTTAGCTAAAACTGGACTCTCCCGACGGTTAATGTGAGAAAGAGGAGAATTCAATTTATCAGGCCCTTGTTCCTAAGATTTCGAGGTTGTTTTTTTGTTTCATCAAGTTTAGTTGCCTTTGTCGTCTCGTATTACTTGGACAACGCTAGGCTGGCTGCACACTCCCGCGTAAGGCAATTTCAACGCTTGGTCGACGGTGGCCTGACGGTCTAGAACGCCGAACACATAAGAAAGAGAAAGATAAGATGTTATAAATGTTTTCCCAAATGTTTCCCTTCCCTAACCGCTAACTGATCAAGGGATCAGATCTTTTGTTGAGTTTGGTTTGTTAGTCGTTCTCTTCTAACAGTCGTGCGGAGCAACCTTCTGAAGAAGTCTTGATACATGGTTCTGAGATTCCTCTTGTTGTTGTCGCTATTTGAATGACTCGATTTGATGTTTTGAGGCAGAACGTGCTGCTGCAGTTGGACAGGTCCTTACAGCGGCTGTACGGAACCTTAGGCAAGGGCGCCACGGATAGCTGTTGATGAATCCATCACCCCGCACGCCGGCCGGCTTCTCAGAAACACAGCAAAGCCTAGGATTGGGGCCAGAGAACTATCACATTATAAGTGCGTTGGTGTTCAAGCAAGAGCTCAACCTGTTGTTGCTCCACAGCCCGTGCGCCATCCCGTTGAATACCTGAGACATGTCAGTCAGCGTAGTCAAGGCAGAAACTTCGGCCTCAAAGCTTAACCTCACCAGCAAACTTAAAGTCATGCTACGAGCAGACGCAACGGAACACCCGAAGAAAAGAAGTCATCCGTATTGACGCTGCCATAAGATGCGTCAGTGACTCAAAACCTCCCCGAAATTGCAGACGTGGAGAACGGCCGATGGTGCAGTCGGGGAGTGATTCCGATACTAAGCCCCATCCATGCAGTCTGTCGGACTTGGGCCGCGAAAGATTGAGGTAGCTTGGGCAAACCTTGCCACGAATGATCACGCTATTCGTCTCGGTCTCGGAGCCGCGTTAGTTCTGCGTCCCCGGGATGTTTTATGGGTTATGGGTCTGATCGTCAGTCAACCTTTGAGGAAAGTTTGATATTACGCGCCAACGGTCTCGAAACCACGGCAAATCATCCAATGAGACGCGGCGCTTTGCGATCGCAATCCGAGCTTTGTAGTATTTCTGGCTACGTCGGGCCGTCTGTCAAACTTATTTTAGTTTCTCCGAAGCTATTCTGGATTGAGAATGACACAAGGCAAGCCTAATACTCGAGAGAAGTCCACCTGTTAGATGGACAGCTCCGAGCCAGTAGGCCTGTCCGGGTACGTCTCATAACCTTGACGCAGTGTCTGATGCCCCCTTCTTCAAAGTCGATCATAAAGATCACCGTCCCAACGGGGTACAGTGCAAAATGTTACATGGTGAACTTTGCGAGTGCCCAGTCTAAAACCTTGGCGCAGTCGCTAATGCCCCCTTCTTCAAACTCCCAACAGTTAGACAATATCTCTTTTTGAGCCAGAATTGCCTTCTTCCAATTCTGTGGGTAAATCAACCTGGTCGGCATGTTGAGCGAAGGTATAGTTTGAGCCCGCTCCGCAGCCGTTAATATCAGAGAGCATGTCACAAAGCCTCGTAGCTGAAGCCAAAGACCGTGATGGGGTGTCGATGAGGTAGCCTGTATTCTAAACAGGCAGTACTGCAAGCCTCTGGATGCAATCTCCGCTGCTCTTGTGACGGTATGCTCTGACACTGTTATGCCAATGGATATTGTCGAGGCCAGTCGCACAAATGGTCTGCAAAGTAACTCTCGTATTGCCAAATACCGCGAGCGCAGGACTTGACACAAGTCATCCGCCAACGGAGAAATTTCCCCCGTAGGAATTTGAAATGAGATTGGCGGAGGCAACTGCTCGTACCAGTCCGTTAATTGGGCGTCAAAAACCTCAAAAACCTCGAGCATGCGATCAATACCGGTCTCAGTCGGATGCGGAGGCGACCTCTTTTGGGCCTGCCCAATACGGTTGATGAGGTGCCTCGCGGAGATCTCGGCTAAGTAGTAATACCAGGATCTTTGTTCCATCATGAGCCCCTTATTGTCAAGATTCATGACCCCGAGGTTGGGGGGAGTGGGAAGGCTATACGGATAATCTACCCCGGCCAAAATCGAGCCGGGAAGAGACAGCTCGAATGCAAGCTCGCTAAAATACGATGAGCCAATGCTTACCTATGATACAGAATATGAGTAAGGACTGAACATACCACTCGGACTTGAAGCAGGTGAAGTAGAGGATCTGCTCTAATGAAAGTGACTGAGGAAAGTCCGATGGTGTCTCGGATTTTTCGGAGGGCATTGTCAGCCTGCAGCGCTTGTCAGCTAAGGATCACCCACACATCGTCAAGGGTGTGGTCATACTTGGTCGTGAGCGAGGTAGTATACCATGTGTTGCTCGCCATACTGAAACACTTCCACGCTTGTAGAGGATCCATGTTATACATGTGCCAGATTCTGTCCTAGTCAGCCCTGTAGATTATGGGAACTAGTTGAGCAAGTACACGGGAGGGGCCGTCTTACCCTGCAAGGCACAAGCACTGCACAGATTCCCAACCAGGTGATCCCATGGAAAACCCCAGCCGCTTCTCCGCAACAGACCAGTATCTAGACGCCAGATGACGGTTAGGCTCCACGGAGTATCCACGAGGAGTCCCACTAGGTGTTCGCTGTCCGGGTCTCTGGGAAATGGCACCAAGAGCACAGGTGAGCGCGACAATACAAGTTGCAGCCGACCAGTCAGGCCCGTTCTCTGCAACTTGCTTCAACATCTGACGTAGCACCTGAGCATCAATGACGGGATTCATGGGATGAACGTTGGCAAGGAAAAGGTCTATCAGTCGAGATAGTTCGTAAAACTCCATTGCTGGCGGTGACCTTGGGGAAAACACTTCCCCCCGCGGAGAGGCATGACTGAATGGATCTATTGCGAACGGCACCGGTTTGGGAAATATTGGCCACTCAAGCACGGAGTCCAGGCCAGCGGTGTCCGATAACGAGAGGTTTGTCGACTTCTTTGCCCCCTCGCCAGTGCTGCCTTGACCAAGAAAGTTGGATTCCTGGCGTCCGCCCTGGAAGGTTGGACTGTCTGGGTAGTCGCTGGAGTCACGGGAAAGATCGCGGCTCAGTTGCGGGATAGCGCGAAAGTTCTCCTCATTGCGTTGAATGAGGTTGGTTAGGTTCTCTATTGCCCCCAGCAAGCGCGGCCCAACCCCTTGGCATCTAGTCGTCACCCACGCCCATTAGTATCCGTCCATCATGCCCCATGGGCAAAGTGTAACCCGATCCGAAGAGGTGTGCTCCGAGAGAACCCTAAGAAGACAACTTACAACGATGTGGCAGGGGCTGAGTCTTCGATGTAGGTACAGGTTGCGCCAACTCTCCTGCAATAACCGCATATGGGCCGTTCGTTATCGCATTTGGTCTTGCGTCCACGGCAAGTCTGGCAAGCTGATGACGCGCGGGACCAAGTTCTCTGCTTCGGCATCCTGGGATCAACTTGCTCGGCATGCGCGTGAACTACACCAAGATGGCCGGGAGGCGATCCGCCGGACATACCCATTTCGGGGAAGCCCCGACCGGTGTCCATTCTCATCCTCTTTGGCGGTGGATCCATTGCAACGATAAATGACTCTTAAGAAATCCGTCGCTCGGGAGGATCATGTGTCGGGGAGAACAGCGACGGAGGGTGAGGGGAGGATGGCGAGCCCCTGGGAATCGCGAGTTTAATTATCGCAGCATTGATCGCCGAGCCTCCCGCAGAACCGTTTCAGGACCAACGCAATGGCCTCCAGTAGTTTCGCGCCTTCACCTGACTCGTCAGTTGCATGTCTTAGTGTCTGCTTAGCATTCTAACTTTTTGCGCTCGGGGACTGTCCCCGATGAAGGAGTTTATTGTTTACTGTCTTTATGGATTCTGTCCTCCGTGTGAATGTGGTTTTTCTTGTCATGTTGGCTCACCGTGAACTTATTGTAGCCTTTGACCGAGTGACATTCTAGCTCACCTCATGCTAAGCGTTCATCCCATCCGAACCATCGTAATCTGCCATCCGATTCCCGTGTTCCGTGAAGAAATCCTCCACTCAGGGTCAGTCTCCAAGCTAAACTCCAACTTGGGGAAGAATCCACATTTCGTGGGGAAAGATCGTGCATTACTGGAATAAGCTGGGGTAAACAAGGGATGGCGTCGATTACATGCTGGCCCGTCCAGTTACAACGGTATTCCGTTGGCTTTGCATATACCTCTTGCCCCTCCTCCAAACTTTATCAGCTTAGAGTTGATCCTGGCTCGGAAATCTCACTGCTTCCTAGATTAGTTGCTACGGTAGCCGTTGAACATTCGGTAGCTTCCAGTGCAACTTCGGTTTAGCCCAACCAAAATTAAGATGGGCTTTCTCAAGTCAAACTAAAGCAAAAAGACGGTTGTACAGGCTGTGGGATCTGGTTTGCTTACAGTACGTTATTCGTCCAAATCCTTCAACACCAGACGACATCTCTCAAACTCCGTCATCATGGACTCTGACATTGGCCTAGGTCCTACCCGAAAACCCTCCACCATGGTACCGCACCAAGCACTTGCTTCTGCTCAACTTGGCCCTCCTAGTCTCAATATTGTCGTCAGCATCGGTTGGTTTTGATGGCAAGCTTACCTTACCCAAAAACAAGATTATGAAGCATCGCCTCTGATATATACAACCAGGTGCTATGATGAACGGTCTACAGACGCTCGGGCAATGGCGCGGATACTTTGGTAACCCGAGCGCACCTATACTCGGAACGATGAACGCTCTATATCCCATTGGCAAGATCATGGGCTTGTTTCCGACAACATATATGGCAGACAAGTACGGCAGAAAAGTTCCGATGTGGATTGGATTCTTCCTCCTTCTCGTCGGCGCGGCTCTCCAGGGTGCGAGTACTAGTCTACCCATGTTTGTTGTCTCCCGTTGGCTACTTAGTGCCGCTACTGCCTTCATTGCGCAGCCGGCGCCGATTCTCGTTGCCGAACTTGCCTATCCTACGATGCGTGGCAAGATAAGTGCGCTCTACAATACCTTTTTTGTAAGTAGGCATTATATGCCATTATACCAGAGCTGAGCTGACCAACAGCCATCAGTTGCTCGGGGCCATTCTCGCGGCCTGGTCGACTTACGCAACCTTTCGTTTCCCTTCGACGTGGAGCTGGAGAATCCCGTCTATACTGCAGGGTTCCCTCCCCGCAGTTCAGTTCGCCTTCTTCTACTTTGCTCCGGAATCTCCGAGATAGCTGGTTGCTTACTAAAACATCGAGCAGGCTAGAGAGGTTTTTATTCGCTATCACGCTGGTGGCGATGAGTCCTCTTCGCTTGTTGACTACGAAATCAAGGAGATCGAGGAAAATGTTCGCCTCGAAATTGAGGCTGTTCAAGAATCTTCTTATCTTGAACTTGTCAAGACAGCCCCAAACCGCCGCCGGACGCTTATTGCTTTCATTGTTGGCGTTGGCGCGCGGTGGAGTGGATCGAACCCGGTGTCATACTTCTTAACGTTAGTACTGAACACAGTCGGAATCACAGAAACCAAGGACCAGGCTCTTATCAATGGTCTTCTACAGTTGTTCAACTGGATTGCGGCGGTTTTTGCTGGTGCCATGATGGTTGACCGGATCGGCCGCCGGAAGCTCTTTCTCACATCAACAGGTGGTATGCTTGTGTGCTACATAGTGTGGACCATCCTCACTAGCGTGTTCAGCAACACCAAGGACGAGAGAGCCGGCTACGCCATTGTGGCGTCTGTATTCGTCTATTACTTATTCTACGACATCGCCTGGTCACCTCCCCTAATGTCGTACCCAGTTGAGATCTTCCCATATACCCTGCGCGGAAGGGGTTTGACAGTTTCCCTAGGGTCTACCTTTACCAGTCTCATCATTGGACAGTTTTGCAATCCAATTGGACTGGCCAACTTAGGTTGGAAATATTACATCGTCTTTTGCGTCGTCCTGGCGATCCTCTTGTCTTTGATTTGGTTTCTTTTCCCCGAAAATAAAGGGCGCACGCTGGAACAGATTGCTGAGGTGTTTGAGGGCAAAGACCATATTCTTGGTCCTGGTGATACCATCAAAGAGAAGGGAGAAGGCAGCTGACGAGGACTTTGTGGAGGTTGAAAGCATTGCGGAAAAGAAAGTTTGAATTGGTTCGCTAGCAATTCTTACCAATCGTACTATACGGGCTCGCCCATATTCTTAGGTCGTTATAAGATCTCGATGATGACAAACTTTGCATGTCCGGGAGCTTAGCACAATATCTGAGACGTTTGAATTTGAAAACTCGGTTAATTGACAAATTCTCGAACAACTTGAAACCCATGAAATCAGGGTCCAGGAACTCGAAAGGTGGATTTTCCAGAAGCCTTTTGCGAATCCACACCATCCAATGCTATATCTCGTCAAGGAACCTCATCGACAGCCCGGACTGACACAACATCTGAGAGACTGTAGCTGGTTCCCGGATCTGCTGCCCCTTTCTTGGTGCTTGTTTATTACCTGACGTGGCATATTCGCGTCCTGTCCCCAAGATCCAAGCACCCATCCCATCAACCAGCGTGGCGACTGAGCAGAAAAGAGCGTTGCGGACGCTGTGCTCCTCATAAGTAGTAGACCAATTCAAGATTTGACGCATTGGTACATTGACGGGGGTGGATCTCATGTCCAGCTGTAGCTTTTCGCGACGTCTCAAGCAGGCCCCGGCAGAAGTCCTCTCTCATTGCACAAGCGAAGACCCCCACTACTGCTGATGGTCCTTGCGCAGGCAAATGGTGGAATTTCTCGTCGTCTGTACGACCTTCCTGCTTCAGCTCAGATCTGACAGGTGTCAGATACAACTCTGGGCTGCGAACCCAATAGATTTTGGTTAAAGGTCAGCCCCTTGACAGCATGCGGACGGGAGTTCAATAGAAGGACAAGAAGTGATTACTGGTAGTCGAGAGGTATTGAAGAAACCGGGGTCGACAGGGTATGACACGCACAGCACCAACTTGAACGAATCAGATTGCGTTCCGCTCTCCGCATTTCCGCGGGTACCATGTTCCGATCTTCGCTTCTTAAGTCTGGAGGAGTTCTTCAAGTTAGCTCGGAACTCGGTGCCATCCCCAGACTCTCAACTTTCACTAAGCAGACATTCCACCCGCAAAGTTGGCTTATTCTCCGCAATCTCTATCTCATCTGCGCGACCACAAGCTGTCCGAGATCCATGACAGGGTCTTAGAACCCAGAACTGACGGTTCCGAGATTGTCAACATCATTCCGAGCTGTATCCTGTTTGGTCCGCCCCGGGACTCTGCTAGGGACTGTGGTACTCCATACGCGTCAGTGTCGCTGCACCTGAGGGTCTTTGGGAAGGCGTGGAAAAACAATGGAACCGAAACCTAAACGGATCAAGATTGATGTGGCATGCGAGGCATGCCGAAGAAGGAAGGTCAAATGTGATGGGGCACGTCCAGGTGAGTCGTCGATGAGCAGTTCCTACTTTGTGATATGGACCTTTGGCTCTGATCTTTATTGCCCTTGAGGTCATCAAAGATCAAGAACATTGTGTGAAGAATACTGCGAAAAGTTTTGGTCATTCTTGTATGCTGGTTCGCAACATGGCAAAGGCTCTTCAACGGTTTCAACGCTGACATTAGGACACAGCATGCGGAAACTGCTGGAAGAGAACCGATCTGAGAGACGGATGTACATACAGCTCCGAGGCGACCGAGAAGTCATTCTCTCGGGAAAAGACCGACAATGCAGGCCCTAGAAGCCCTGGGATAGAAGTGTCTAAGATTATGCACACTCCAGATGCCAACTTCGCGCAACCTTTGATGCCTCCTGCCTCTCGGCCACCACCGTATGCGGCCCCCAAATCAACAATATCTTCGGGGTCAGATGTTGCGAGGCGAAACCGGATGGAAAGGCATCCAATCACCCCATCCGATGCCAGCCCCTCGGTTGTTGACTCAATGACCACAGTCCGTGAAGATGGGATGGTCACTGGCGAATACTTTGGTAGCAGCAGTGCAGGATCTTTCACGAACCAAATCAAAACTGCCATCGATGCACGGCTGGGCTCAGCGATGGAGAACAGAGGCGTGAGGAGCTCGCTCTTCCGCCCTACATTACCTCCCAGCGGTGGAGGTCCAGCAGGCCAGGCAGACTATGTTCTACCGGCTCGAAAGCAAGCGGATCACTTGATGGACCTCTATTGGTACTACGTTGACCCGTTGTATCCATTCCTAGATCAACAAAGATTCGAGCACTCTTACAAGGCACTGTTCGCCGGAACTTCAATCGATGCTGATGAACGCATCTTCGTGAGCATCCTCAACATCATTTTCGCGCTCTCCACTCAGCTAATTGAGTCAATGCCCGCCGACCAAAGAGATTCGTTTAGCCAAAGGTACTTCAAACGGGCGCAAGATTTACTTCAACTCAGTCTGTGGGACACCGGCTCCATTGAGCTCATTCAGTGTCTGCTCATCATGAGTCAGTACCTCCAGAGCACCAATAACCCACACCAGACGTGGATGATTATCGGTTCCGCGGTGAGAATTGCACAAGGCCTTGGGTTGCATTTGCCAGAGACGTCTTCGGAGCTATCAAACGAGTCTGAAAAGGATCTTGTTAAACGGATTTGGCATGGATGCCTTTTGATGGACAGGTAAGCAGATCTTCGCACCCAGAACATCACCAGACACTTTTCTAACTTGATGAATAGGATGATCGCTATCACTCATGGGCGGCCGGCCATGATTTCAGACCGACTTGCTGCGAGCGTCGTGCTGCCTTTGATACCAGATATGAGTGATAACACCGAGAACGGAGTCCAACTCAACGCTGATTCATTACATAAGCGTCGGTATCAAGGTTTTTTTCATAAGTCTTTGGAGCTCTATGAAATCATCAATCATGCGGTCTTAGCCTTCTACTCCTCGACCTCGCCCCTCAAGTCGCCCGCATATCCTGGCGGCGTAGGACAAAGTAATCAGCGTCCTTCAGAACGACCTGAGCTTGATCTTGGTATGGCTTTGCAGCTAGACCAGCGATTGACAAAATGGGAGAGGAGTCTCCCTAGCTTCTTGACAGTGGCCCAGCCCGAAACGACTTTAGGCGACGTCTTTCGAAGACAGACAGTTATTCTTCGCATCAGGTGAGCTCAATTCCTAGTCTCAATTCATGCACGGGACTGGGGTTCTCTAACGCTTCTTCAGACTTCTTCACGCTCGCATGTTACTACTCAGACCAATGCTTGCCTGCTTTTGTCTACCGCAATCGCCAGAACCCTCACAAGTTCACGATGACCTATCTTCACGTGTTGTGCAACAGTGCGCAATGGTATGCGTTGAAGCTGCGCAAAGCCTCATCTCATTCATCGTGCAATTCCAGCGACATGATGGCTCTCTCGGCCTCCTTCCGGCTTGGTGGTATCGTGTCTTCTACATTTACACAGCGGCAACAGTTCTCATTGCGGCGAGACTCCGACCAGCAGTCTTCTCGTCACTAGATATCTCTCGCTCATGGAACCAAGCGATGGGGCTTCTTCACGATCACGAAAACCTCGGACCGTCACCAAGAAGATGTGCCGCCGCGTTGCAGATCCTTTCTACAAAGATGTTTCAGGAACAACATCCACAATCGGCTACTATTCCGAACTCAGACGTCAACCCAGCGTTATCGAACATTGCCAACAACCAGCAAGAGCCCTTCGATATGCCGCTTCCCTATTTAGCGCAGGATACTGCTTTCGATATGGACGCAATATCTTTTGACGCCAACGACTTTTCATGGCTCAACAGTATGCCCGGAAGTTTGTAAAGCGCATTTAATCTTTATTAATTATATTACCATGCACCTAGACCTCTGAATACCCGGCTTTGGGGCTATCTGTCTTCTTGCAGAGCTTGTGGCTAAGGATTCATAGCTTCGATCCGTTGCGTTTGTACTACTCAAATACCATCTTGTTTTTCACACCACCAAGCTTACTGATCCTTACCTCCACCACGTCGCCGTCAGCTAAGTACTTTGGCGGCTTCATACCCATAGCAACGCCTGACGGCGTACCTGTCAACACAACGGTTCCCGCCTCCAAGGTCGTACCTTGGCTGATGAAGCTCACAATCTCTTCCACCCCAAAGAGCAAATCACCTGTACTTTCGTGCTGCCTTTCTTTGCCGTTGACGAAGGTCTGCAGTACGAGACCGCTGGCGTTGCCGACCACCGCTGGGGACACCAGCACCGGGCTGAAAGGGGCAAACTTGTCGAAACCCTTGCTGAAGCTCCATTGGGGGACTCCGCCAGCTTTTGCTGGATCTCTTTGCCAGGCTCTCGCAGACACGTCGTTGGCGGTGAGGTAGCCCGCAACGTACTCCAGCGCATGCTCTTTGGGGATATTCTTGCCAGTCTTGCCGATCACAAAGGCCTACTAAAGTCAGTCTGAGCCAAGGCACCGGTGAGACTAGTCCCTTACTAGTTCACCCTCATAATCGACAGTCCCGTCTTGAGCGACCTTTGGAATCGGCACGTCCTCATTCCAAGCAGCAACTGATGTTGCAGGTTTGATGAAGAGAGAGGGGTAAGGAGGTGGTGTTCGGCCACCCTCTTTGACTATAGTCGAAGTCAGACAGCTGCTTACCCGTTACTTGATAAGGGTACTGGAGCTTACTGTGGTTGACATAGTTTAGACCAATACAGCGAACGATCGGGACATCCTTTGGCCTTAAAAGAGGCTTCAGTGCCTTTACATGCATGCGCTCACCTTTGACGAGGGGTGAGAAGGGATTTGCGCCATCGTAGGTGACCACCCATAGATCAATCCTGTCATGAAGCGTCGAGAGATCTGTTTCGTCTTGAACCTGGGGCTCGCCGAAATGTTCAACGTCATTGTCGTCGACAAAACGGATAAGACGATTCCAAGACATAGTGATTAGGTAATTAAATGATGAAACAGCTGGAACCAATAAACGCAAATGATAAGATTTCGATTTCTGACAATAGGCTGTGTGATGCTATTTTCAGATTAATATAGCTCATTCAATGTCTCTCCAAGGAAATGGTACAATATGCCCCTCAGATGGGTTATATCAAAATTGGCCAATGGGAGGACGTTCCGGCGGGATCGTTCGGGCTGCTGTGTGACATATCGGAACTCGGAAGTGCACCAATTACCCATCCTAGACCCTGTTCCGGATGCGCCGCCGCGTGACACAGCCGGGCAATGGAAGCAACAATCTGGGGATACCGGGGGAACGGGCCTTGATAACCTCCTTTGAACGTCTCTTAAATCCCCAACTTGCATGTAAGTAGTCTTATCTTCACCTCGCAGTCGCATCTACGGCAAAACCCAATTTCATTCTGCCGTTTTTTTCAAACGCTGTAACCACCAACGTTTTTTGCTAGTAACGTCTAAGCCCCACCAGCCGCTAATCATGATAGATTCCCCTCACGAGGATGACAAGAAGACTAAGGCTATGAACGACTACTTGAAGCAGCTACCATCACAACACCTGGAGCCATTATGGTCACAGATGAGTGCGATGGTCCCCCTACGCCAGCGCCGGTCGCAAAGCCACATATTTGGAAATATACCGACAACTTGCCTCTCTTACACAAAGCTGCCGAGATGGTAGGTGAGAAGGAAGCTGAGAGGAGAGTTTTGATGCTGGTTAACCCTAATATGGGTATGTTTCCCTCGGTCAGGTTGGATATGAGACTTGAACTCAGCGCAATCATGATTAGAATCGCCCTACACAACGGACACCATCTACGGCGGACTACAAATCGTTAACCCCGGCGAGACTGCTCCGGCGCACAGACACATCGCTTTTGCCCTCAGATTCATCATTGATGGTGAGGGCTTCACGGCTGTTGAGGGGAAAAAGATGCGCCTCCAGCGTGGCGACGTCGTCGTTACGCCGACGTGGCACTGGCACGACCATGGAAATGAGAGCGACGCTCCCATCATCTGGCTCGACGCTCTCAACTTGCCGCTCTTCAGGTTCACTCCAGTTCATTTTGCAGAGCAATATCACGAGAGCCGCTACCCTAGCATGTAAGCCTGCTGCAATGTGCATGTTGACGTGATGGAAAAGACGATCACTAATAATCGCAGATTGACTGACCCCTGCGAATGGAGACATCCTTGGGAAAAGGTTGAAGTCGAGCTAAAGGCTCAAGAAGGGCCGTACGCCATCTATCATTACACAAGCAACGGCAAGCCCTTGTCACCTATTCTCGGAGCGCAGGCCGAACGTATTGATGGAAACTACACCACAAAAGAGGTCTGCGAGCAGGCTTCGTTTCTCTATCATTGTTATAAAGGACAGGGGCAGACAATTGTTGAGCCTCCTTCGGGTCCTCGTGTAGTCTTCAAGTGGTCCGCGCGAGACACCTTTGCCGTGCCGGCGTGGTCCAAGATCCAGCACTTTAACAAAGATTCCACTACGGCTTATCTTGTCGCCGTTAGCGATAGACCATTACTCAGTAGCATTGGGCTGATCAAGCCGCACTCATAGGGTCGGAAGGCTCGAGAGTCTTTGAGGTGTTGGAAAGATTTCACTGAGAAGAGCTGTGGGCCCAATCACAGTACCAATTGCAGCGGATACCCGAAGAAGTCCAAAGAAATAAACGGAATACTCCTAACCCCCAAGTTATAAAATCTACGACGAATAGTTTTCCGTATGAACGCAAGCTTCATGTGCGGATATAAAGGCTGATGAGGCGTGTTGTGAACATCAGGATTATCAGAACTTTGCTTCCCATAAGTGTGAATATTGGAACAAATAGCTCATTCAGATGTCATCCTGTTTATTTTGTTGGGCTATTGAGTCGTGAACACATGAGGTTTCCACAAGAACACATCATAAGATTATTGCTTTGAGGACGACTTGTTTTCTGTTGAATGTTGAGTGTTGACCCACAAGGAGCCGAAAAGCTTGGCGCGTGCTTGCGGGCTACTCCTGTACCTCGGCCGGATTGCTCCTTATGTAAATTGGTACGAAAGGCTCTGAATAGCACGTTTAGAATAACCAAGTTCTGTATAAAAGAATTGCCATAAGAAAGTGAAAAGCCCCAGTTCCAATCAATTAAATCCGCGGCTTGGACCAACACAGTATCATGTTCTACTCGAAAGCTAGCAGCTTCAACTCCATGTTCCCACCACGGGGTACAACCTCCATGCTTGCGGTGGTTATCGTCAGCTACATTTCTATCGTTGGTAAATTACGGTACCGTCGTAAAGAGGCAATCGAAGCTCCGTTCACCACTGGTAGACGGTCGTTGTCGAGCATGACTACCAAAGAAGCACACGATATCGCCAACCAACTACAAGTGCTTGAGTTCCCTCATGGGTTTTCGAAAGCCCGCAGATTCGCTCTTCTGAAAGTTTGTGCAAGTTATAGCTTTGAAAAGCATCTGGATCTAGAAAAAGGTTGGACTGACATCGACCTTATCACAGGCTGGGGGCATCCCTTCAATGTCTAAGCTCTTCGCGGTAACGGGCCAAAACAAGAGACGAAACGCGGGCAAATGGGCAGTTGATACTGAGATCCTTTTACGAGAAGTTTAATCGAAGAGTAGAGACTCTGACCGCTACGCGACAGCCGTGGTAAGGATGAATTACCTGGACGTCCCCGCTCACTGATTCCACGACAGATACGGCTAATAGGTGCTGACATGGACATCCCTTTCGATCCTTTGCTTTCGAGCAGCGGAGGCTGAACGGACGGCCTCCACTTTGCAAGTGATCTAAGAGAGTGGGAAATACACTACGAAGCGGAGTTGCGAAGCCGACTGCCACCAACGATCAGTACGTCAGAGTTTATGTGGATACGGCGGTATTCTCAATGCCTGGCTTTGTGAGGGTCACGTTGAGAAAGTCACTTGGTGCGGACTTGGACGACGTAATGAGATCCAGTCTCTAGTGCGTGAATAAAGGGTGGAGGTCCCGAAACCACTTGATGCTAGTGCCAACATCTCATACCTTTCCACAAGTCTCAAGTCCCCCGGCCCGCTTCTTTTTGCATTTCTGACTATCATTCGCAACCTACGAAAGTTCTATCTTCGACACCTCACCCCCCCACGGACAACATCTTCGGCTGTCAGGCTGGTTGACGACGTGCCGAATGCCGAGACAAAGGTTTGCAAATTTGGATGAAAGAGCCTACTATGCACAGTCCTGGTATATGAAGCCAATGGTTTGGTCGACGTGCGGCCCGGGGGCAAGATTGGTGCGGATCTTTGGCGGCAGAATTCCCGGCTCGCGGGGAGACAGGCCTTTTCCACAAGGATATGACCTCGTGACGATTGGTTCGAAGCCCAAAGTGGGAAGGGGAAATATGAGATGATCCCAGCCATTAAGGGTATAAAGGCCAGAGGCGTGGCTACCTGCCTGTTCTCATATGCCAAGGCAGAGTCTATCGTCCCGTGTAGCGGCCTATGACCAACGAAATGTTAGCCTTTCGCAGGGAAATTACTGAAAGTGGGCATAGAAAACACAAGCTCGGCGAGTGGATTAGAGTTGACGCACATGGAAGCTATGCCTCAGAGGCTGACTTCATCGACAAGAACGCTCCAGAACCGCCCATGAGACTCCCAAAGTACTCTCAGCGACCCGTGGGTCCTCCTACTGATGACTCTGGGAACATCAGTGAATAGATGGGTAAGCCAAACCAGGAAATGTTGTTTAAGAGTCAGCCCTGAGCTTAGCTTCACTTCAATTTGCTTGCTACTGCCTCAAATTTCGCGATTGTCATCAAGCGGATGCTTAAGACTCCAATTTGCTCCTACCCAAACTCAATCTCGTGTACCACAGCATGGTTTTCCTCTTCTGTGTTGCAAGCTTCGGAATGACTCTGAACATCCTCAGCCTCGGAAACGGGATTCGGCCGTCCTCAGACGCCCCCTCCAGCTGATCGAAAAAGCCCATCTGGTCGACCTTGTACAGCGCTTCCACCGTCGGTTCATAGCTGCTATTGAAGCCCTCATCGTCCAAATCCCATATTCTTTGCCCCAAAAGCTGGGCCTAAGTGAAAAAGTCCCTCACAACGCCAAACACGAGCCGCCATGGCGCCTTTCCCCTATTGAAGATCCTTGCGCAGCGGTTTTTTTGATAACAACATGCCACATGCGCTCACAGAGTTCTCGCGGCATCGTCCATTCCCTGTTTAGGTTGCCCCTCCGCGCAGCCGAGATGACGGTCCCGGCCTCCCTGCAGTTGTCCATTATCCCACAGGTGGTGGGGAGCATGGACTCATCCCAGATGAGCTCCACGGCGTCCTGTGCGGGGCTGAACTGAAAAGTCCGCGGTCCGGCGTGCCGAAAAACGCCGTGGCAAGCGCTCTGATTGCCCGGCAGACGGCGTCGAGTGGGATGGCGTCCTATCTCCTGATTGAGTGTTGCCGGAAGTGCGCCTGTAGGCCCCGCCACCATTCAAGGTCTATTTGATGTCGTCTTCGATAACGAGAGGGTCAACTGTCATGACCAGGATGTTGTCTCTGAGTTTTTTGGGGAGATTTATGAAAAAAAAAAGGGGGGGGGGGGGGGTGCGGGCTGCCCGGGATCCGGTTCGGGTGGGAGTCGAACGTTGTCGACGTCACCCTCATCTGATGAGCTTGAAGCATTTCCCATAGAACATCTTGTTCAAAAATCGCGATGTCTTCTCCAATGCTAAGGATGGTATCGCATGTGTCGCCTCGTCTGGTGAACGATGCTGGGCCGCCTCTCACGGTTCCTCGCGTCGATGGTGATCTCATGATTATCTTTGACCTCGAGCTCACTTTCCTCTCTGGGGTCTAGCTCTTCTACAGAGGTGGAAGACTCCGACGAAACGAGTTCAGTCGTCGCGAGCCGATGCGTGGCGTAGTGGTGGCTTGCTGGCCTCCTTTCGTCCTTGGTCCAAGAGCTGGCGCTGACGAGGATTCCGCCGGTGTGTGGCTTCGCGAAGCCTTCATCAGCATTTTGCCTCGGCAGTTGGTAGTCAGGCGCCGTTCTCACGAAAGCGCAGAAAGCCACAGACCGAACCTCGCAGCCTACGGAGAATCCATGATAATCGACTCATGGTAGAAATATTGTAGGTCGAAGGATCGTGCTGAGAGGGTTGGTTTACCACCTCAGCTCTTCAGCCACACGTTCGCGGTGATGGGTGTGGGAAGAGGAAGTCACAAGCTCCATGATGCCAGGACGAGCGGCCGTCATCACCGTTTTTCGGGACCCAAAGCCACTCAACAGCCATTGCGTTTTTATTTGCCCACCCCAGGTCCAAATTAACAGTCTTTGGCAAACGTTAGCGTGCCGCGTGGGATGTTCTTCGAGTCCAAGAAGTGTCTTTCTAGTACACCCCCAAGGTTTTCGCGATACTTTCAGTCTTTTAAAGCAAACAATGCGGCCCGGTGGGAGCGAGCAACAGACAGCCACACGAACAGGTGCATAGGCTCGCAGGGATCACTTGAACTTTCATTAGTCGCGTCAACAATCACGAGCTTCGAGTGCGCGACTTTGGCGATGAAGCCGGGTGATGGGGTGCGCTAGGAATGTTGTCGCAGGATCTGGCGTCAATCCCCCCGTGAGAGAGACAAGAGAGTTCGACCCCGGTGCCTTGGGAAGCTAGATACAATTAGCGGACCGGCGTCACGTCTACCCACGCGTGGAAACAGTCGCTCGGCTGGGGGAGCCTGGGTACGAGTGAGACAAGCCACAGCAAAACCCAATTAATCCCCCACGTTCCAAGTCCCAAATTGCCTTGGAGAAATGAAATGAGAGTCGGAAATTGAGGCTGAACGCGCGGGCTACCTTTTGGTTCAAGACCTTCTCAGCTGGAGAATGGTGCGGAACCTCTCTCAGACATTTTGGGCCGTGGTTCAGCGCCTGGACGCGAGGGGCACTCGGGAGACGACATGCACATGCAAGACGGATGAGATGATGGGTTCTACTATGTTCGTAATTTGTTCCTAAGTATGTACACTAGAAGGTAAGAAGAGAAAATAAAATGGCGGATTCTTGTCCGCTGGGTATCCCGATAGAATAGAATGCTGTGTTCCCTTCAAAATCTCCAAGCCGAATGTGCCGAGCCGTCTTTCTTTGGGCTAGCTTCTTTCCCGAATCTCTTTCCACATGTATCCGTGACCCCTCTCCAAAGTGATAAGAATGTTCATAAGCGTCGTCATCAAAGCGGTCAGGAAACCCTCTAAGCCGCCACAATCTCTGGTCTCAAATGCTGGTTCATCGCCATTGACGAAGAACCGGTAGAAGGAAACGCCGGGCGTCTCAGCCGCAGCTCGACAAAGTGCCCGACCACGCTCCGGACCTGCTCCTCGAAGCTCTGGAGCAGGAACCCAAACACCTCCTCGGTGGCGGAGGCGTCGAACTCGATGTTGACGGTGCCCACCGAGCCACTACTGCAGACGAGCTTGCGTTCGACGGCCTCGGGGAAGCTCCTCTTGGCGATGAGCTTCGCGTCATTCCACCGCGCCTTGGTGCTGAGGATGTAGCTCCTGTTGCCCGGGACAGAGGGCAGAAGAGCCTGCACGTGTGCGCGGGCGACGTCGTCGACGTGGACGGTCGCACCCGCGTAGCTGCAGCCCCATTTCTTGCCGAGAAGGGTGGCGAGGATGACGGCGTTGGTGCCCTTCATGGCTTCGTTGGTCGTGGTCGCGATATCGTTGCGGCCGATGACAAAGGACGGGTGCAGGTGGACGACCTCGAAGCGGGGCTGCTCTCTCGCAATCCAGGCCTCGGCGCCCTTGAGGGCTGCGACCTTTGATGCTGCGTAGGCGGCGAACTCGCTCTCGTACGGCTCGGGCTTGAAGCCTGTCCGCTCATTGGGCTGGACGGGGGTTTGGCGGCGCTCGCGGCCCTCCATCTGGTCGACCGAGGTGAGGGCGACGATAGAGCTGGTGATGACGACGCGGCGGACGGTACCGGCGCGCTTTGCGGCCTCGAGCATGCCGAGGGTGCCGCGGACGGCGGGCTGGATAAAGTACTCCTGGTGTAGCTCCCTGGGCACAGAGTCGGCAGTCGCTAGGGGCGAGGCGACGTGGATGACGGAGGAGACGCCACGGATGGCCTCGTCGTAGGCGCCATCGGCGGTGATATCCGGCACGATGGTGAAGTTGAGCCTCGCGCGCGCCAAGTTGAGAGCGCGAATCTGGGGGCGGGAGCGGATGAAGGCGGCCTTTGCCTCTGAGCGGACGGCGCAGCGGACGGTGTGGCCAGCCCTTAGTGCGTGGATGAGGACGGCGAAACCGACGTGGCCGGTGACGCCTGTGATGAGCAGAAGCTCGTCTGGGAGGATACACAGCATGGTTGCTGAGGTCTGGTGAAGGTAATGTAATAAAAGTCTTGGTGGGCAGTTCGATGAAACCGGACGTCCTGGGAGTGAGAGCCAAATAGTCGTCCTGTACGGGGGAGGACGATGCAAAAAATATTCAGTTCTCTGTGAGGTAGTCTTTTGATTAGAGTTAGAGGACCTCTCTAAGTTTGGAAAGCGGTGCGAGGGGAGGCTTGATATATATTTTCTAGGAGCAAGTTGTTCCCACCAACTGGGCTCCCACCCTCCTCCTCATGCTCGTTCTTCCTGCCTTGCTGCTTGAACCTTCTCTCGAGTCCCTTGTGGCGACCATGGAGGCTCAGATAGGTGAACGCCACGTGCAGCAGAGGGGTGAGGCGAGGAGAGTCCCCTGGCTCATCTCACGCCCCCCCCAGAAACCCTTCACAGCACGGCTTGGACGGGCAACGACGGGTAACAGTCGTAACCATATTGCCCGCGCCGACATTGAGGGACGAGAGCCAATGAAGGTGGTGGCTTCCCCGTGCTTGCGCGGTGCTAGCGTCAGCACTTTTTGCTGCCGTTGCTGGATCGCTGGATCAGCGCCTCCCCAGCTCTGCTCTGCTCTCAGTCGGTCAATCACTCGCCCACTTGTCTCCGCGCGGTGAGGTAACACGGAGGCGGCTGGCATGCTGCTACCTAGGTGAACTGCACATGTAGGGCTGGCGTGGCTCCCCGCTAGCGGGCCACGCAGTCTTCACGTAGCATGTTAATGGTCGGTCAGCTAGGCGAGCGTTGATACCCGACTGGTCGAGAGCCAGGGTGTCTTGTGGCGCCCCATCGAGCCGCACTGACGGACCCGTCCAGCATCATCCCTCCAGCGCGAGCATAGGATCCTGCGGGGTGAACGCGGCCGAGGAACCCTGATTGGTGATGGATAACGAACCCACCAGCCAGCGATGAAGAAAGAATAGGGGGCCAGAGTACAAAAACGAGGGCAGCTGCATAGCCTTGGCCAAGACCGCCCACACGTCGTCCGAGGAGGGCTATGTAGTGGTGGGTTGAACGATTCACGAGGCTCTTGACCTGCAGACACGGCGATGTAATAGGTTCATGCGCATCACTGGTGAACTCAATGGTTTCCTCTCCTCAAACTCTCTCAGCATATTGGAGGGGCTGTACACTCAACCGATCACAACACCATCACGCTCGGAAAGTACCGCAAGGTTCGAGTCTACTCAGTTTAGGCTTGTATCAGAGTAGCTCGGCCAAGGGAAGCCACGCGCAGAGATCAAGCATGGCGCCCAGCCATCAAGCCAAGCTGAATGACTAAGGTCGACCAATGGCGCTCCCACGGCCAGAAAGCTGGGAAGCTGGCATCCAAGCGACCCAGCTTGGCCAGCATCGCGACGCAAACTTGCCATGGGACTGAATGGGCGCCAGACTATTCCAGACGACCCGATGGAATGCAGTGGCGCAACCATTCGGCTGGGCGGCGAGAGAGGTGTCTCAGTGGCAAGCTGAAGCTAGGAGCTCATTGCTTCTTCCAGCTTTGCATGCCATTTGTCGAAAGCTGAGAGACGCGGCGCAAACGACAGGGAAAAAACCTTGAGACGGTAGTTGTGGCAACAAGGGCCCTACCAGCGTGAGTCAAGCGAGGCGGGAATTTCCCAACCCAAGCTTTTTCTACTCTGCCACACTGGGTCATTGGAGGGAAAATGAAGAAAACAAATAAAAACAATCTCGGGCCCGGCCAATAGTGTCCCATAGCCGAGCACGCTTGCGCGCTGATGACTTGTCGACTCGTAGCCTCTGCACACGCGCCGGCGCTATTGCGTTCGACCGCCCCCCCCCTTTTGGCATCGTCATTGCCAGCCTTTCCCCCGCAGCCCTTGGGTGGCATCGTCGACGTCGGGAGATCGGCAGAATGCCGGTCCACTCAAATCCTCGGTACCGACTGGTTGGGCCGTCAGAAGGCGCCTCCTTGCCAGTGCATCTTCGTCGCCTCCTCCCCTCTTCTGATGCATCCTTCTCGTCCCCCTCCCCCCTTTTCTCTCCCCCTCGCACGGCGTCCTGCCTCCGACAAGAGCCTGGAGCGGGGAGACAGGGAGAGATGCAGAAATGGAGAACGAATGAGAGCAACCCGTTTCCCGGGTCTGGGCCGTTACGGGGGTCGCCGGCGGGCGGCCACTGAGACAACGAAGGAACGCAAGGGCGACGACTGGGCGAAACCGCAGCGCGCCACACTGTCTCATCATGAACGCCTCTGGTCCCAAATAAAGCGTGAGAGTATCAACAATTCGCTGCCCAAAAAAACAAAAGACAACATGTCCCCGCGGAAACCGCGTCTAGAAGTGTCATGCTTGTCAACTAGTCAATGGTGTGTGCCTCGCTTGTGAGCTGAGGGTGTGGGAAGGATCGGTGAACGGAACTTGGGAAGCACGAGAAAGGCTAGATGAGCCGCCAACACAACCAACAACACCATCACTTTTAGTTCCGACCGCCGACATTTGGGAGATAGGAGAGGAGGGTGAGGAAGGCCATGGCACGGGCCCCTGCCTCATGGCCACACAGTTCTCGCGCTCCGGCCATCTCAGTGAGTGGTCTGATCTGTGCTCCTACATAAGCCTCCGTCTCAACTTGTTTGAGTTCTATTAAGGCTCGGGGTCAGACACTGAGGGGAAAGAAGGGAAGGATGCGGCAGGAAGAGAACCAGGGAAAAGAAAAAAGTTCGACCCCTCAATCTTCCCGGGTCCCACGGTATCACGAGCACCAAGCAATAACAAACCGCCGTGACACGGCAAAGGAATACGCGTGCAGGCAGCCGAGGGTCCAGTTCCGGCTCACGTCGAACCTGAAAGTGCGTATCCGTTGGGTCGAGTCCCTAGTCCAAGCCGCTCCTTTGGCTCGTTGGGCAATGAGATGAGCCCGGCGCGCGAGAGGATCCCGAGCGCGGCCACGTTTGACCAGTCGCGGAGGAGAGGAAAGCCCAGAAATCATGCATGCGTGTCTTCGGACCGTTGGTCTATCAAGACGAAGCTCTCGTTGTGAGGTCGGATGAGTCGTGAGGATCATCACAGCAGCTTGGAACCTTGAACTGGCTTGGCGTGAATCGTTGGTGGTAGATCGGACTGCAGGGTGATGCTTGGCTGATGGATGACCCCCTCTTCGCTGCCTGACGTTGCACGTCGATACGCATGCAACCGCGATCTGAGCGTGGGGGGCTAATGCAACCAAAAGGGATGAGGTTGAATGCTGCGGGAGGATTATGGCGACGCTGGAGGGATCATTTTGCAAGACGTGTTAACAAATTAGGGAACTTCAGTCTTCGGATGGAGTGTGACGATCTACGATTGAGGGTATTTCTGGTGACATGCCGAGCTCGTGTTTGCTTATTCCTCGCCGAGGCCAGGACCGGGTCTGCTGCCGCGGGAGGGCTTGTGAGAGCTTCAGGGGCTCAACTCCCTCGTGGTGCTACCCTCTTTATTTTTTTCTTTTTCGTTGCTTTTTCCTCACGAAACTTTTCAAGGGGTTAAGGGTCTCTGAGAGATGATTCGCCTGTTGAGAACTCGGATTTCGTGCTACACAGCTCGTGTTTCTTTTTTTCTTTCCTTTTTCCCTCAGTCACTGCCTTTCTTTTCTCCGTCAAGGTCGATCACGTCGCTGACTGAGCGGCCCGCCGCCGTTTGAGACCCCGTCCCTGATCAGCGTGGTGAGCAGAACCGGACGCGCGTTAGAATCTTCGCCAATCGCGCCGCATTGCGGGAGACAAGATGGTGGCGAGGGGATGCGACCCCAAGACGGGCAAGAGGCTGCGGAAAAGGCTTTTCAAACCGCCGGATCTGAGCTGGCGTCGTGATCGGCGTGTCGAGTGTCCAACCAGCGCCTCCTCCGCCAAGCAGCAGGCCGACGGAATAGGCTGCTGCTGCCCCTGGGCCCCGCCGAGAAGAGGAGCCCCGCTCGAAACTGCCGGAAGTGGGACCCGTCGGCCCCCGTACCCGTCCGTGGTCCTCCCGCCCGGTGACTTTGTTCCGTTGACGCCCTCGGAGACCCTGGATGTGAGCCTGTGCTCGGGCGGAAGAAACCGATACAGATCATCTGAATGCAGCGGAAAGTCATTCTATACTAGAGGCATGCAGCCCAGCGAGTAGGGCCAGTAGACTCGCCAGCGCAAAGGCAAATGGCTCGTCTTTGAACCCGCCGGGCCCGAAGGTGAACTCTGTCGGCGGGAGGCGGTTAGGGATACGGCATACTGACATCACCCCTTTGTGGCTTAGGGGGGGGGGGGGGTGAGCTCGTCAATTGCCTCTTCTCATGCTGGACACGATGACTGCGAGTTTGTGACGACGGGCCCTTCGGACGATTATCTTTGGCCAATTGGCTGCATAATCGGAAAAGCCAATTCTGCTTCGACTCAACGGTTGCCTTGCTGCTGGCTGGATAGGACAGATCGGCTAGGTTCATTGCCCCTGTGGCCCGCGTCGAGTCATCGTCACCGGCGGCAGACACAGATGACAGGTCCGAGGCAAAATGACAGTACGTATGACGCCGCCCGCAGTAGCTCTGCCACGCGCTGGCTGAGTTGGTAGATCGATAGCGCATGCCGCGACCGCTTTCATACCCGAACGTAGGCATCTACATCGTGGTCTTGTTTTTCGCTCACCGAGCTCCAAGACGCACTCAAGCAGGACTCTATGCCGTTGCCTCGAGACTATCGCCGACTAACTGGACGATATGTTGGTGTCCAACTCTAAAATCTGCAACGGGGAGCCAGCCGGCGATCTCACATCCCTAGACCTGTGCTGTATCGTCGATCAACCAGGGCGACAACAGCGAATCTAGTCGCAATGTGAATGTTGTTCCCCACTGATTCACGTCGCGCACTTGCAGTCACACACACTATGCCGTACTTGCATGCAGCTTAATTCGATGGTGAGTTTGACCATGCCTTGGGAGGGGTCATGGCGGGCGTTTGACAGACACCCACCTTGGCAGCCATCATCATCGTCTCGGGGAAGAGCAGCGTCCTTCGGTCCCGGTAGGAGAGACGGCCCGGGCGCAACGCTTCTTTCGCGACCAGCACATGATCATCGCCGCGCGCATGTGTGACGATCACGCGGCGCCGTGACGCCGACCTCTCTCGACTGCTTGCCCCACGCCAAGGCCACCCAGCCTCTCCCGGCCGCGCTGCCGCCGCCGCGTCGATGTTTGGAGCAGCCAGGGACCCCAAAACGCCACCCCCAGAAATCAGATGTCAGCAGGCAGAAGAGCAGCTCTCTGTTTTTTCTTGTGCTCCGCCGGAACCTTCAGGCACAGCCGGTTGAGAGCGGCCCCAGCCGGCGGTCGGGGAGTCGGTTCGCGGCTCGCCACCCGGGTGTCAAACTGCACCGCCTCAGCAGGGACGTCGAGAAGAAAGAACAAATGACTTGAAAACCTTTCATGATGGGGAAATGCTGAAACATTGAGCAAGGCGGAGCAGGCGAGCGGGATGGAAGGAGGTGGAAGAAGGAAGTTGTTGGGTAGACTCTTTCTTTCTTCTTCCTTGTTTCCGAGAATATCAGGTGTACAGAGTAGAGTACACGTTGCCGATGCCGACGAATTGAACACGTCGCCGCCTCATATCGCCTTCCATCATGAAACCAATGTAGGGAATCTAGTTGCCAGTGTTGGATGCCATGATCCACCACCCTGTGATCGTGATGATATCCAGTTCCGCTGTCAAGGGATTGAAGCTTTGCGGTTGGTCGCCGCTTGGCGGGTGCATCCAATGGTCCCCACGGAAACACGGCTGGTACACCAGAGGGTGGTTACATTCGGATGGCAGGTGGCAGGGAAGGAAAACAATTGCCCGCAAAGCATCGTCAGGTAGAGGGCGGCGGGAAGGTTAGAGTTGGGGGGAGAATGGAAAAGTCTGCGGGCGCGTGTGCAGTTTGCGACGAGATACCGGTAGATGCGGCCCATCTGGATCTGGACCTGAGCGGGCCTGTGACCGGCACCTTCTCGTTAGCTGAATGAGGGGTATGGCAGCATGCAAGGTGGGTGCACGTGATTGAGACCTTTCCGGAGCGTCTTTGGTGTCCAGTGCGTTGGGTCTGGACCGGTCCGCCACTGCATCCCTCCATGCCAATGAGACAAGCGAGAGGACCCTTCAGCAGAGGGATAGGATAGGGGTTCGGCGGTTGCACAGCGCGCAGGAGGGAAAGGTCGGAGGAGGCCACGAAGCCCCGGAGGCATGAAGACGACGGCAATCGAGGTGCGGCCGGGAGGGGAAAAGAGGTGCACTTTGATCGCACATACGCTGGACGTTCGTAGGGGCGATGAACCTGGCAGCCGTATCCGCAGCACCGTGTTTGGTGCTGACAACATGGAATACACGCATATAATAGCAGGTATGTACATAGTGGGAACGTCCAGAGTCCCTAGGTATACACATAGTGGTGTTGAGATGCAGTGTCACGGCATCTGGCTGGTCCGGAGTGCGATCCGCTAGGTCCCCACATGCCGTTTGTCGCATGCGGGGCCGCGCTGCCCTGTCCTGTGTCGACTTCCCAGATTTTGACACGACTCTCTCCGCTTCCAGCTTCTCGTCGTTCGGTCGCTCCCCATATCTGATACGACGACACGATGCGATGCGGCAAATTCCACGAGACTTTGACCGAGACGGCAGGGTGGCACACACCGCGCACGCACAACCCACAGTGCAGACAGTCGCGGGGGGGGGGGGCGCATGCCACATGATTTGGCATACTTGATACCTACCGGTATACTGGTGTGGCCTCGGAAGGCAGCGACCCCGCGGCCCTTGTCTACTATGAGCCAAGGCCAGGCGCGGTCGATGCATTTCGGAGAGGGTCTAGACCAGAGTCGGCGGTTTCGATGGCAGGGCCGGTGCAGGGAGCAGCAAGTCGGCAGGGAGACAAAGAAGAGCTAAATGGAATCAATGGGGATGGAATCAATTTGAAAAGCACGTCAACATTTCGGCGGGTTGTGTGGTATACGGCAGATGCATGCTGCCGTCCTTGTGTGTTCAGACAGTGCCAGCCGTATCGTATCGGCCGTGATTTGAGGATCCGCTGCGGGTAAGGTGAGAGAAAAAAGGAGGGTCGGGGGATCGAGATGCTCAAATGCCCATGTTCTGTCCCATTTCCCCCGGTCGCATTCGAGATGCTGATGTAAGAAAGCGCATCGATCGAAAGAACACTGTGCTGCGCACTGCTAGTGCAGGGGCCACATCTTCCAGGGTCTCCACTGATGGGCAGCTACCGTCCGTCGAGGTCACCGCCAATTCCAGGCCGCAAACACGGCAAAGGCGGGCGGAATCCACCTTCGCCATCTGAAAATTTCCATGGGCTGACATGCCAAAACGAAAAGGGTTCCCAGGGTAGCCATGGTTCGGTCTCGCACTGTGAACTCATCTTATCGACCAATCGATAAGCGAGAATCTCATGCCTGGTGGGGCGGATTTCGTGCAGAGGCCTGGAAGCCCAGGCCCAGAACTGGCGGGTGCACCTGTGCTTTCCGCTGCTGCCCCTCGCCCCCCCTCCACCCCTTGCTCGACTGGGCGGAGGAGCTCAGCTGTCGCTGCCACTGTCTGTCTGTTGCTGCACACTCTCCAGTCCCTCAACCATCGCCACCGGTTTCTTGCAAACTCCATCTCGGAATTCTCATCACTTTTCGCATCGCCCGCGTTCCATCATTCCTCTGCCATCCAAGCCGCCCGCTGCTGCCGCTGCCGCCGCCGTCATCTGATTTTTCGGTCCCGACTGCGATACGCCCTTCTTCTCCCATCGAGATTTCTCTCCTTCTCCGCCAACTGTCTCTCTCTTTCTCTCTCTCCCTCTCCCTCTCCTCTGCCGCTATGGTCTAAGCGCGACATTTCCCATCGCAGCGCGCGTTTACCATAAGTGAGTGAGTACACCTGATCCTGCGCCCTTTCTCGCCCTTTGCATTGGCTTGGCACCTGCGCGCATGCCTCCGCATTTGTTTGCCTCTCCTCTACCTGCCCGAGCCGACCTTTTGACCGCGAGGGAGTCTCATCTTGGTTGGCCGAGGGTATGGTGATGTGGTGTGGTGTACCATCTTCAAGGATCCCCAGACACATCACCCCGAGGAACATCCGGGGTAGCTTCTCCAACTCTGGTTTCAGCCCCGCCACCGATTTCCAGCGGCCTTGTGTGGACATGCTCGACCCTTCTTCCGTCACCGCCGCACTCTCCCTACGGGTAGACACGATGTCGGGCCTGCTTGCTGTTCATCGTATTTGGCATCGCCGACCCCTCACCATGTCTGATGCTAACACACATCGGATCGTAGGTCGATATCTCGCTTGCCACGCCAGTGCGCAAGCATCGGTCAAGCATATCTCGCTCGGTCGAGAATCGTCTTCGAACCTCCCACCGGCTTCCTTGCAAAAGGAGGCTGACATCCGGCATGATCGACCTTCCACCCGCTAGGGCGGTCTCGGAAAACCGTCGTGAAAGGGAGACCTTCAGGTCGGTAGTCCTCCTTTCCCTACCTCCCCATGCTGCTGCCCAGTAGGCCTCGCGATCACCCGTCTCGCCATTTCACCGTCCCGCTGCTGATGTCTCGTCATAATGAGACCCGCGTGTCTTCCAGCCGTGCCTGTACTAACCAAGCACCAGATATGACTCCTCGCTCATTGCCCAGGCCGTCTATAACGATGCCAGCAGCTTCATCCCGCCATCGGAGCTGAGCTCTTCCTCGGACCCGGCCCTGACGGCCTTCGCAGAGCTCGGCGCTTTACGTCTCAATGCCAGCCGTGCCCTCATCTCGTTGTTCGACAGCAAATACCAGTACATCGTTGCCGAGGCCACCCCGTCTCTGGCACTGACTCCCAAGACCAAATCCGAGGACCTTGAAACCGGGGAGCACTTGTTGCTCTCCGGTACCGCTCTGCCACGTTCGTCCGGCGTGTGCGAGATGGTCCTCGCAGTTCCCGAGTCTTCCGACAATGCGCCTTGGAGAAATTCTGAACTCCCAGTGACCGTAATCCCCGACCTCACGAAAGACCCCAGGACGGCAGAGCGACCTCTCTGTCTCCACTCGTCAGGCAACCGCTTCTATGCTGGCGTGCCCATTCGTTCCCAAAAGGGCATCAACATCGGTGTCTTTTGTGTTTTTGGGCAACATCCTCGCGAAGGGCTGGACAATGTGTCGATGCGGCTTTTGCAAGACCTGTCCATGGTCATCGTCGATTACCTAGACGCCAAGCGCAACAGAGACGACCATCGCCGTGCCGATAGAATGGTTCGTGGCGTCGGTAGCTTCATCGAAGGCAAGAGCACCATGTCTGGCTGGAGGATGAGGAACAACCCGGATTCCTTCAACGACAACCCCTCCTTCGAAGGCGGTCTCAACAAGAATCAGCAGCAGCTCCAGCGCGATAACGAGTTGATCGCAGCCGAAGATTCTCAACGAGAAGCGGCAGCTTTAAATGATTGGCAGCGACCGAGTCCTGAATCGAGAGATTACTTGAAGTTGACGGAACCTCATCAACGGACAGGAAACCAAGCGCTGGTGCCGTCTGTTTCCGGAAAGTCTTTCAAAGCCTCACGATCCGGGTCAGGCGGGTCCGCACACGAGAACCGGGACCCCCACGATACTAAACTCCGCCACATCTTTTCAAAGGCGTCCAACATCGTTCGTGAGGCCATCGAGGTTGAGAGTGTCCTGTTTCTGGATGCCACCATTGGCTCATTTGGTGGGCTGGCTGACTCCAAAACCTATCACGTCACATCGACGGGTGCTAAATCGCCATCTTCATCGAGCGATGAAAGGAGCAGCTCAGGCTCAGGGAGCGGTAACAACAGTCTTGTCAGCCAGGAAGACGCCACGTGCCGTGTGCTGGGCTTTTCAAGCTCGGCCATCTCGAGCATTGACGGCGACCTGCCCTCCCAAAGTCATGCCTCCATATCTGAAAAGTTTCTTTCCAAGCTACTGCGGCGCTACCCTGAAGGCAAGATTTTCAACTTCGACGAGAGCGGCTCCATTCAGTCTAGCGACTTTTCTGGAGATGACCACACCCTGACTGTGCAGACGCCCGTTGATGATGCGGCCGAGCCTCCGCAAACACCGATCGAAGACGACCGCAAACGCCGAAGGAGACCCAAAAACCCTTTTTCAAGACGCAACGAAGGCAAGCTTCTCAATGACATCTTTTCGGGTGCACGAAGCATTGCGATAGTTCCTTTGTGGAACGCCCAGAAGCAACGCTGGCACGCCGGTGGTTTCGCCTGCACGAAAACCCCCACGCGCGTTCTCACCGTCGAGGGCGAGCTCAGCTATCTCCGGGCTTTTGGCGCGGTAATAATGTCCGAAATCCATCGCGTCAACTCTATGCTAGTGGACAAGGCCAAGACGGATCTACTGAGCTCGCTTTCTCACGAGCTTCGATCTCCGCTGCACGGCATCATCCTTGGTTCGGAGCTGCTTCATGACACCCCTCTCGATGCGTTCCAGGGCGAGACGCTGGTCTCGATAGAGAATTGCGGACGCACACTTTTGGAGACCATTGATCACCTTCTGGACTGGAGCAAGATCAACAACTTCATAGGCCCTTCGAAGCGTCGCAACAGCACTGTTGACGTCGGCGATAGAGGTCTCAGGAACCGGGACCAGAAAATCAGCATCGAAGCCGGCATGATGAGCATTACCTCTAATGTGGACCTTGATGTGCTATCCGAAGAGGTCGTTGAGAGCATATGCGCTGGGTTCAGCTACCAACGGGTATCAGTTGCTCAGCTCGCCAACAACAGACCAGGCGAGCACGCAGATACGAGTGCGATACGCAGGCTTGACAGCATGCAGGCGATGGAAGACATGGCTTCGGGGACAAACAAATTCGGAGATCTTCAGCTCGTTCTCGGCGACGTGTCCGTGACGTTTGATATCAATCCTGCGGCATCGTGGCGCTATCATACCCAGCCCGGCGCGATTCGCCGGATTATCATGAACTTGTTGGGCAACTCACTCAAGTACACGAGCAAGGGCTTTGTCAACGTCCACGTGACTCAGATGAGCAGAAAGGAGGAGAATCCTTCGGGTAACGCCAAGATCCAGATCGACGTGGTGGACTCTGGGCGAGGCATCAGCGAAGACTACCTCCGACATCGCCTCTTCTCCCCTTTTGCTCAGGAGGACAACCTCTCTGCTGGGGCCGGCCTGGGCCTGAGCCTGGTCAATCAGATTGTCGCTAAATTGCGCGGGTCCATCCAGGTTTGGAGCAAGGTCGGCCACGGGACCAAAGTGAGGGTGCAGCTGCCACTGCAGGCCGCCGTCCAAACGTCGCCGACAATCAGCCATCCGAACACTATCGGTTTCGACGACTTCCGGGCGTTGGTAAGCGAGCTCGGGGGTCTCCGAGTCAAGCTCTTGGGTTTCCCAGACGACTATGGAGTTCAATTGGTCGACGACTTGTCGAGCCACACACGGAGCGAGGGTGAATTGGTGGCAAACATCTGCAGGGACTGGCTTCGAATGCACATCATTGACCAATCCGTAGAAGAACAGCTCCTCCCCGACCTGGTGCTATCTACTGAACGACACCTGGACCAACTCCTCTTCGAACGACGTCAAGGCATCATTTCCACGCCCGTTGTGATTATTTGTCGGAACGCCCTGATTGCGCGGCAACTAGCAACTTCGCCGCGATTCACTGGCAAGCGGGTCGTTTTTGAGTTCATCTCGCAGCCGTAAGTTACAAGACCGCTTTTGGTGATGGTGTAAAACTGACGTTCGTCGTCCAGCATCGGACCAAGAAAACTCGCCAAGGTCTTGCTGCTGAGTTTCAGAAGATGGACTCGATCGCAAGCCGGCGTCATTCCCACGCCCACGCAGTTGTCTCTGACAAGCGCAGCCCGGTCCAATACCAATCACAACACGCCTACCGGTCGGAGCCTGGGAGGCAGTGCTGGTGGAAGAAGCACGGAGTCTCTGCGAGAACTTCCCAATGAGGATGAGTTCAAGCTCGACAAGCAAGAAGATGGTGGCTCGGTAAACAGGCCGAGGTCGAACGGCGATGACCGACTAGAGGGCCTCGAAGAAGGTAAGGAGTCGGGCGCCGAGGATATAGTTCTTCCGGATCGACCGAAGCGAGAAGAGACACCTGCTTCAGACTCAAAACGCAGCGGACGTTCAAAGAAGGACGGTAAAGATCGATCTAAGTTTTTATTGGTTGACGACAATCCGCTCAATCTCAAGATACTAGCATCCTACATGAAAAAGTTGGGACACGAGTTCCATAATGCCATGGACGGGCAACAAGCTCTGGAGATATTCAAAGAGGGTGCCGGACAGTTCCAGTGCGTCCTCATGGACATATCGATGCCCGTGATGGATGGGTTCGAAGCGACGCGCCGCATCCGCGCCATCGAGACGGATCAGGGCTTTAGGCGTTGCCACATTTTTGCGCTCACGGGTCTGGCATCAGCAAGCGCGCAGCAAGAGGCGTTTGCGAGTGGCATCGACCTGTTTCTTACCAAGCCCGTGCGACTGAAAGAATTGAATAGGATTTTAGAGACGAAGGGGGTTGCATGATTTTTTGAGCGAGCGGTCGGAAGTATGCGACAACAATTAGTAAGGCGAGGGTGGAAAAAGCATAGGCGCACCAGGAATCCTGGGTTTTGGGCGCGATGAAAGAGATACCCATCTGCTGGACTGTAAAGCACAGTCGGCCAGAGTTATTAGACTTAGTTTTTGTGTGGTATATGGGCTGGATCGATGCCTCATAAGCGTTGTTATTCTGATGAGTTTGCATCTCCTGGTTGCACTACATAGACGAACATAATGAAAAGAAGGCCGCTTCGGTGATGCAAACGGCTTCCGTCTCAGAATGAGGACGGACGTGGCGCCGCGATGATGCGTCCAAGACCTGATGGCACGGAAACGCACCAGCAGTTTGTGGAGGCCTTGCTCGAGGCATCAATGTTGTGGTGATTTGACACCACGGTCCCGGAGAACGAGGCGGATGCTGAGCAAGAGCTTTGGGAACACGCGGCATCATGGTCCGCAATACTGCTCCGAACATCGTGGTGGCCAACACCTAGTGCCCTGAGATATCGCTCTGTCTGTTGCCGTGTTCTTCGTTACCTGGGTTTCTCCCCTTGTTGTGTGTTGTGTCTAGAGCACGCTAGTAGAAAGAGGTGGTGGAGAGGGAGCGTCTCATCGAGTGCGAGTTGGGCGCCAGCACGTTTGCTCAGTTCTTCCCATCATTCTACTTGTCAGGCGGGGGACGGCGGATGACGCTGCTCTCGGTGAGGCTGCGGATACCCTCGGGATGATCAAACCCCATCCGCCACGAACTATAGGCTACTGGGAATCCCACGTGCATCCACCCCTTATCGCACAACAAGGCTGGACGCCAGGGAACCAACAGACAGTTAGCAACGAGGCAACCAAACCAGTAGGTCAGATGGGAGTCAGCACCTTGATATGCGCGGCATGACGCCGACAACGTGGGGAATTAACCAGGCTTGATTGGCAGCAAGTACTTGTTGTTGCCTTGAGTCCATATCGATGGCTGACCACTTGCTCATCTGAAAGTGGCAGGTGTTTTTCACAATGCTTGCTTTCGGTAAATATTTGTGGGGGCAGAAACCCAGCAAGTAGACACATCCGCCTACTGTTTGCGCCTAGCCCTTATCAAAGTTTCATCTCGGGCTTCGGGAACCTGTAGTTAATGTGCTCATAGCTAGCTTTCACTTCTTGGGCACAAGTAGCATAGCTAGATGATAAGAGCTACCTCTCTCGACTCCGAGTGAACAATGTAGCTTGATACACTTTATGATTAAATAGCATCAATGCCTCCTTGAGTTCGGCTTTCATCTTGCAAAGTCGGGTGGTTGTTTAGTATTAGAACTATCAGTATCAGCCGTAAAGGTCAATCGACAACACTTGGTTACCTCATTAAGTTTATCAAAGCCAGTATGCGTGAAGGAACCCTCTACCGTTACGAACCATTGAAGCCCCGGGGCAAAGAAATCAGAGTCTTCATCTTATACCCGGGCCTCTTCTTGGACGACGTTGTTGCTGAGATTCGCCACGTCGAACTCGGCCGGAGCAAGTACGAAGCCCTATCATATACGTGGGGACCTGCGAACCAAGACCATGGCAAGATATACCTCCAGCAATGCGCGCTTTGTGATAGTGACGGCCTCGGCGCTCTCCCGTTTGTCAACGTCAGGTCCACGCTCTTGACAGCTTTGCGATACCTTCGACTTCCTACTGTGCCACGAGTCTTGTGGATCGATAGTGTATGTGTGGACCAGGAGAACCTGGTAGAGCGGAATCGAGAGGTTGCCCGAATGGGCGAGATATACAACAAAGCAGAGCAGGTCATTGTGTGGCTTGGGCCTGACGATGATGACACCCCCGTCGCAATGGAGACAATCAAGTTTTTGAGTGAGGGGGTTATTATGGAGTGGCATCGTCGGCTGTTTACCACCGTCCCTGGAAGCGAAGCCGACCTGCTTCGGACCCGTTCTGATCAATCGACGTTGACGCTTGCACAATGGACCGCATTAAGGAGTCTCCTTACGCGGCCTTGGTTTACAAGGTTGTGGGTCCGGCAAGAGGTCGCGCTGGCATCAAGAGTTGTCGTCGTCTGCGGTGGTTTCCAAGCAGCATGGGAAGACGTCGAAAAGGTGGCAATCCTGCTGGAGCACTCCTCGACCAGAGTCCACATCCGTTTGAGGGACATACTCTTCGTCCGTTCGCTCTTTCAATTCCAAGGCTCCGATGAGCTCAGTTACATTCTGCACCGCTCCAGCTTCTGCGGATACTCGGATGCTAGCGACCTCGTCTACGCAAATCTTTCCACCTCCTCGGCCATCAAAGCGCTTCGCGTTGAGCCGAACTATGACATGTCTGTTGCTGCGGTATACAAGGACCTCACTATTCAATACATGCAGCATTTTGGCAATCTGGATATCCTCCGTTCTTGTGGTTCTCGGGATTTGCCGCCCGATTTCGAATCCTTCGTTCCCGACTTCGCTGTTGCGAAATCCGAGTCTCGACTTGTCAACGAATATGCGCATGGAGGCACGAGACATTTGCCAGTGATTGCTGAAGGAGGAATCACACTCAAACTAGAGGGGAAATACATTGGCAAGGTCAGCCATGTCTCCAAGTTCCGAAGGCCACTGGCCACGGGCTACGCTGATCGCGACAAAATAATTGACATCATCATGACCTACCGTCGCTGGGAACCGGCAGACCTCTTTACCGCGCCATATCCAACCGGAGGGACTTTGTTTGATGCCTTCATTGCGCTATTGGCCGGTGGTTCTTATAGGGAGGTCTACGGCGGGCCTCATTATCCAACAAAGGAGGAAGCCAAAGAGGCCTTCCTGGCAGTTGTTTGGTCCGGCGGACATGCCGACATGGTCGCTGAATCCAGATTCTGGGGTTACATTGGTGAGATTACTTCGGATCGAAGGGGCGAGCATTACTTTCGCACACGGGAGGGTCACGTCGGTACTACGCCGGGAGACGTCCAGACAGGCGATATTATCTGTGTACTGGCTGGAGGTAGTGTGCCATTTTTGTTACGTCCAGCGTTGGGAAAGACACAAAACGGGTGCTACCAGCTCGTGGGACCTTGCTACGTCGAGGGTGTCATGTTTGGAGAAGCGCTGCTTGGGCCGTTTCCAGAACCATGGCTATGCATGAGGGACGGGGGACTGGGCCGCTATTGGTGTTTCGACAATCGACAAGGCGGTAAGCGAACGTTGGAAGACCCCCGGCTCCGGCCTCTGCCTTCTCCATGGCAAGTCCATTATTGTGACATGGACTCGGAAAATGGTCCTTGTGGTGGAGATTGCCCGGAGCATCGCGACGACTACACTTTGAGCAGCCGCTATTTCTTTAACAAAGAATCCGGGCAACGAAGTAAGAATGACCCTAGGCTTAACATAGCTGGCCTAGAGGAAGGTGGGATCGTTCTCGATACTTTTACATTGACTTGATATCCACCAGGCTCGAATTCCGGTGACTGAGTAACTTCAAGGTAATTATATGATTAGCTGGGAACTTTTTATACATGCTGCGCATGATTTGGTGACTAATGGTAAGACATGGCCTTCTAACCCTTGGTTGATAACAATACGAAGATATGTTGAGTTGAAGAAAGGGGAGGGTGGGTTTGTGTAGCAGCCGTCAGGAGAAACTTGTCTCTGTAGTGCTGTGTTGTAGTTATGTGCATGATTGGTTATCAACAACTATAATCAGCCTTTGAGACCTTAGCCCACTCTTACTATCAATCTTGAAGCAGTAACGATGGGAGAGTCTCAGCAGAAGGTTAGGGTGGATTCCGTGGACGATAGTGCCATACTGCATTTCTATACACCTGACTTGTTCGATATTAATGGCCTTAAGAGCAGAAAGTCCTCCATCCAAGCCGGTTCTCCAACGAGCCCAACCGCGGGCTGAAGCGATACAAACAAGCAAGTTTCGGGTTAAACCGCCGTAATGATGGGGTATGGGCGCTCGATAGCAGTCGTATGGTGCTGCGAAAACACGAGTCTCTGTGGGGACGGCGATAAAGCAGAAAGGCATGTCGGTAACCACAGTCATGTACAACGTCGGGGCACTGCATCCTGTATGTTAATTCAGCAGTCAGATTATACGGGGAATCAAACTCACATGTCCCATGTTCACCCAGTCCAGATCACGGTTACCTTCTTCTCATATCGAACGGCCACGCCGCCTCGATCAAGACCACCAGTCAAACGCATCCTTCTTCTTCTTCTTCTGCAAAGCCAGCTTCTGCTTAATCATCTTACGGGCCGAAGCGGACGCCTTGGCCCGGCCCTTGACGTCCGACTCGTCCCAGATGTACTGGTTCTCGAGGAACCAGACATGGTGAAGTTCGTGTACGCGCTCCTTCTTGGCCGCGAACTTGGCGCGGATCTTGTCGCTGACGGCCTTCATTCCCTTGGCCTTCCACTTGTTCAGCTCGTTGGGTCGCACTCCGAAGTCGACCATGAGGACCGAGTACACCATTGAGAGGTGGGCCCGATCGATGCCGGAGAAGCACTTGTCGAAGCCGAAGTCGGCGAGGACGCGCGGGTCCGTTGGGATCTCGTCGTTGCGGAGGGCGGCGGAGAGGCCGTGGGCGGTTGTGTCTCTACCTGCCATCTTGCTCTGGTGCGGAATATGTCTTCGAGGTGTATTGCAAATATGTTGTGCGAAGGTGCGAGGTGCAAGATGGGGATGTGGCGATCGTTGGGAAGGTGAAGGGGATATTGGATTTCCGCATAGTGCAAGAAGGAGCTCTGGAGGAGGGGTCTTTCTGGAAGGAATCTGGTTCTGCCTGGTCAGCGGATGAGGTGACGACTAGGCGACGATACCGCCTGTCACCAGGCTGAGATGCAGTTGAAGTGCAGCGGCACCTCCTGTCCCGGTTGTGCTTACACGACATGGGCGGAGTTGTGAAGTTTCCAAGAGATCTCGTAAGATTAGTGTAATACCAGTTCAGATCACGGACGCTTTGCCGCCCTCATCTTCAAGTTTCCATATTCGAGTTCCAAGTAGAAGGTCTCATAGGTAAGAAAATTCGAGAAGGAACATCGTCACTGTCCGTATTCTTTGTTCACATTATTGTTCACAATAAAGAAAAAACCGTAGGGCCCAGATACAACACAGTCCATCATCTCATCCAGTCATTAGAGGTTCGAACACGGGTTTCGAACAGCTGAAATCACTTTGTGGTTCTACCAATACTACCCGGATCCCAATAGATCGGTCCGCCTTCCTTGTAGCTTCCCTCATCCTTGCCAATCTTTTCCATCTAAGCCAAGAGTCCTTTCGTTCACGTCGGGTCCGACTAAGGAGACATCAATGGGTATTTTCTAGGAAACTGCAGGTCTTACTCATATGAGAGCTGGTCGATGGATGTTGGGATGTCGGTCAGCTGAGACGTAGCGTAAACGGACTAAGCAAGCCGGTCTGGCTTGTCAAATAAGAATCCCGACTGCTGGACCACGTAGCCATCAGCCCTTCTAACCACCTAGTGAGAAGAATGGCACTTATGCTTAATTCTGGTCCATGGGCCTTAGCAACTGCTGCCTGGTTCTTAACGTTGCTTAGTCCTCTGACTTTGCCTGTGCGGTGGATGGCTCGGCCGCAGCAGCCTTTTCCTGGGGCTCAGGAGCATTCCATATATGTTTGGCTTGATAAAACCATAAGAGGAGAGGCTTATGAACCCTATGGGATTTCAACTCGAGCTTTTCCCGTATATTCGCAGCCAGATCTTTCTTCCCCTGCTTCATCCATTCGTCCAGCGTCTTGGGCTTGACGCCGATGTTGACCAGCAGCGTTTTGTATACTCCCAAGAGGTTGCTCATATCACTGGCAGTGTGGCAACGATCGAAACCATAGTCCTTCTGGATTTTGGTATCGGTTGGGAGCTCGTCTAGAGCGAGAACCGAGAGGAGGTCGTCCGCGGTGGTCTTTTGAGTCATTCTGCTTTCAAGGGATGTCTGTAGTGGGAGGATTTCAGTGACTTCCAAAGCCAATATGGACGCGAGAAATTGACCAAAGAACGATATGACCTGAAAAGAATCGATGGAGAGGTGCGTCGGGCGTTGATGAGAAACAATTCTCTTGGGCAGTAAAGGGGTAATCTAGTATATATCTCCCCAGATAGAACCTGGAGACATCATCGCGAATCAGTGACCCAAAAGGAATAGACAGACTGACTCACAATGCTAACAAGGTTGTTTGTGAAGAAACAGAAAGTTTCAATCGGTTTGTTCACATATTTCCCCAGACAAGCCAGGAAGAAGGTGTTGGTGCGAACCAAGCCCGAGACAACACTTTTCTTCCACAGCTTGCCAGAAACGTCTTGCAAACAGCACAAGTTATTGACATTTTACATCAAGCGAGACTCTTTTGTCTTTGTTCACAACACAAACGCCTGTTAAGCGTCGCTTATGACAGTTATAGAATGCTACAGAACAGACAAACCATAGTTGCATCCTTGGTTGCGTGCCAGTGGCACCGGCTAACGAACCTCACAGCATGCTAATAAGGTACGTTGTACTCTCCGCTCTTCCACTTGCGTGCCATTTCGATCAGCCAGCACTCCCTCTCTATCTCCGTCTCAAAACCTGTCTCCATCCCCCCATCAGTCTTATCAATCGCCAGCTCGATCTCCTCGCGACTCATGCCCTTCCACTCGATCGGCCACTTTTTGCGATTCTCCAAGGCGTCAAACCGGAACACGGGAGTGTCGTGGCCGTACTGGTCGCACCGAAAGATGGACTGGTGCTCCATGAACCACGTCATTCGCTCCTCGGAGATGCGCATGGGGTTGGCCTCGAAGACTTGCTTAATGTTTCGGTAGAGCTTAAGGTCCGTCAACCACACCTGGATATCCCGGTAGTCCCAACCGAGGTCGAAGACGAGGGTGTTGTAAATGCCCAGGAGGGCGAGTCGGTCGGCTTCGGACTCGAGGCGGGTGAAGTACCAGGTCTTAAGGGTGTTGAGATCGTGGGGCAGCTTACTTGCGTCCTGCATCCGGGAGAGAAATTCGGGGTGAGCCAAGACGGCAGAGTGGTAGTCCATCTGATTGTTTATTGTATGGAGCTAACTGGGATTTTAAGATGTTATATAGGTGTGTTGATTTGAGATGAGTTGGAATAGAGATTTGAAGTTTGAGTAGGAGACGAGGTACTATTTTATGCCAAACTTCGAATGTCTGAAGGAATAGCCCCTAGTCTTCATTGGTTACAACAGGGTAGAGAATCGGGATGACATGAAAATTTGATGGCATGAGAATTGTGTTCTGAGGATTTTTGCTTTGTCAATTTATGTCCAAGGTTGTCCATTCAGAATCGATTAAGAACTTCCAATGTTTCTTCCCAGGGAGAAGAGACCCATATGAATATTTAGCTGTGGCCTTTGTTAATGTCAACATCGCCATGGTCTGAATACTGAATGTTACTAAAAGGGCTGTCGTTTCAAGTCTTACAGGATCTATTTAGGCAGAACACGCCTTTGAAAACCAGCTGTATTATTGACTTTATACTAAAGTGAAACCTCAAAGATGATATTTCCGTCTCCGTCGTCCTTTGTGTCCGCGATAATTATTAAGTAAATGGGGCTCAATCCACAATCTTAACACTGGCTCAATTAGGGAATCGACCGATTTGGATAGATCGATGGATATTAGAGGGCCCAGCGATTCAAGGGGGTGGCGCCAATGCCCATTTCAGCACGAATCACATTTTGACCAAAGTACATGAACTCACAACACCTGGAATGCAGGACAAGAACCTCGCCTATGGACCCGGGCCAGCGAAAGCGCCTAAAAACTCACAGCTTCTGGTCCTTGAGGCTGATGCAGCGATTTAAGCCGAAAGCCTTGGCAGTCTGCGGATTGGTCATAACCCCTCCCAAGTTGATGTCCTCAACTTGATTCACGGAGGAAATAGCCTGCACAGAGGTAGCGTCGATTATCTCATTGTGTTGACAGGTTTCTGCTGAGGAGCGTCGTCAGCGTTGTCCCATTTCGATATTAATGTGGGTGTTGACCGTCTGCCTATAGAAGACTTGCTCTAGAGAAAGCTTACTTGATAGCTCCATTGTGAACATCTATGCGATGTGTGTCTCTGCTGACTTGAAGATCAATCTGTTCGATTCTGCATTTCTTATCCGGTCCTCTAAGGTCGATCTTTGCCCGTCTGTGAACGCTTTCTGCTTCTGTATAAGCTTTTACCCCTCCTCGTTTATTTTTCCTCCTCCTCGACGGTTCATCTTTCTGCCTTATAGGTCTTTTGCGAACTGGACTTTCTTCGATCAAATCCCGAAATTTTTGCCTTCAATAGATTCATAAATCAAAGCCACTAGGTAAAATCACTCGCCAATTGAAGCAATGGGCAAAACCACTACTGAAGGACCGGACGTCTGTAAATGCTGCTTCTTGACATTGAATGCCGTCGCTGAAGTGCCACATCCATATTTGGCTGCCCCTAAAATCCCTCACCCCCAATCACTTTCACCGATCCCATCGACGCTAGCTAGCCTGGCCAGCTGCAACCGCGGACGCTAGGCTGGGGTCTAATAACTAGGTAAGGGGATGCAGTTCCTGAAGGATCGAGTTGAACATAAGTCCACCAGACCACACTGATATAAAGTGGGTTCAACACGATTCCTTCAGTTCAGGTGTCCTTGGCTTTATCACTAATTGGATAGCATAGATTGCCTGTGACGAGTGTAGGATAAATAGGAAGGTGGTTTTGGGGTTCGGCTCGATCTATTGGCCAGGTCACGCTATTCGACAACGGTTGCAGAATCCTTCGGCGTCAGAAATTAGCATTGTCACGGTTGTGTTCTACGGAACGTACGACAGAACAGTAAATAGTACAGAATATAAAACAGCGATGAGTTCTGATTGGAATCAGAACACACGGTATAGACTCGACATCCATGTGACCTACATGTACTCAATCACCTAATTACCAGTGAACTAAGGATCACAAATTCCCCGACTTTGGATATTGCAACACCAATAGCCATCATGAAGTTTTATAGTCTCGCGCTTCTCGTCCCCTTTGTCTCGGCAGCGTGTATTCCAGACCAAGACCACATTAGCATCGAATTCATGAGGAGCACCTTCAGCGAGTATGAGACTCAAGAGTTCTGCCTGGCTCCTGGAAGTTGTGGTTAGTCTACTTGTCATCGGGATCGCCAATGCTCGAGCCTACCTTCGTGGGTCCCAAATACCACCATTTAACCTAACGAACCTTTCTAGTGAACATGCAGAGTGTTCCTGATAGCTGGGCTCAAAAGGCGAACTGGATTATCATGAAGGGAAACACTTGCGTGACGTTCTACAAGTAGGTTGCCTCGATATAAATTCTCTGTATATCTTCTTTCTCGCGAAGAAGCTGACATGCAACTCACAGGGACTACAACTGCCCACAAGGTGTTGATACTTGGGAACCACCATGTAACAGTGTAGATTGGTCAGCATTTATCCTCCAAGACTGGCAGAACGGCGCGATGAAGTCGTACACAGTCTGGAAGCAGTGATGTCAGCGGCATGATGCTTTTTGCATTCCTTATAGCCGTATCTCTTCATGTATATCCTGCCAGGAAAGAATGCTAGTAACAGAAGTTTGAATAGACGTGACAGAATGTTTGAAATGCAGCTTCGTATTAAAGCTTCAAATGGGTTCAGCTTACGAGCCCATTACGAGACTTTGAAGTCGCCAAAAATTGCACAACTAATACTATGCTCTGTATTGATGGGTCTCTTGGGGCCGAGACTGCAAGAAAAAATATTCAAAAGGCGGCTTAATATGCAAATTCACGATGGATGTAGCACTGAATCCTGAAGAAAAAGTTCGGAAAGAAACCAGCACACTGTTCGAATGCTGCTATTGGTAGATATGCATTCAAAGATGACTGCTGTTATCTATGTCTGGAAGGAATCCAGCCACGTCAAGTGCAGCATCGCAAAGCAGCTTAATGGCTATATCCCAAACTCCTTTCGCTCTTTGGTGAACGGCCAATCCTGGATCATCATAGCCAGAACAATAACTTGTCTAGAGCTTCCAGTTTCGGCCGCTACTCCATGGGGCTGTAGATGTTTCGACCCTGCATAAACATAGTTAGCACCAGTATGAAATGGGACTCCTAATGGCTCACTGTTGCGTCTTCACCAGCTAAGCCAGGATAACATTGAGAAGTATCGTGCCTTCCGGTATGGCAATTGGTATTTCCATAGGCGATTACCAATCGTGCAATGAAATAAATCTCCGTCTCTTTGCAGATGAACCACAAAGGATACTATACAATTTAGGTCAGTTCATTTAAATTTCACATGCGTTGCTGGTGTGAGCTTACCTGGATGAAGGGCCGAGCAACGCGCCCTTGCTACCCTTTGTTTAACTCATACCACTTCCGGCGACTTTTTCTGGCAGTCTTGGGTTGACGAAGAGTCCCGGGCAGGTCTGGCTTCCTGCTAGTTTCAGGTATCGTGTTCTCAGCCGCTTTCGTGCTTTTCTTTTCTCTGGACTCAAAACACTTGCTTGACCGATAAGACAAAGCTTCGTTCATGACTCTACCAGAAGACCCTGCCTCTTCCGCTGCTTGCGGTTTCTCCGGAAGGTCCCGACGTCTACGCTCAAGTTGCCTGGCGTATTCCTGACCAGCCTGGGCCCAGGCGTCGTGATCGCATTCGAAACCCCAGACATAGAGGTGGTCCCTGGCAAATTGATATTCGCTCGGCGCGGTATGACGCCGCAGCTTCAGTGTCGCAATAATATTCTCGCCCAGGTTTTTGTGGCCCTTGGGGGCCCACTTGCGAAGAGTCTTGGACGGCACATTGAGGGATCTGTAGACGCCGAGCAACTTGTATTCGTCATGAGGCAAGAAGCTGAGGAGGTTGTCGAAGCAGAAGTCTGATCTTGTCTGCGGGTCTGTGGGTGGCTTGTCCCTTGAAATAGCTGTGGCGAGGACGTTGACAGTGGCTATTCCGTAAGCGGACTTGCCTGAAGTGAGCTTGGCCTTCTCGTTCCGTGTTGCCGAAGGCTGCGTATCGTCCTTGTTGACGCCTTTGATTTTTGAGACGGAAGACATATTAGTTCCTTTCTAACGTGTCAATTTTATGCGGTGATCATGGTTAAAGGCCAAAATGTTGATAAGAATGCTGCTGCAGGCAGTCAGACAGCTCGCGGTTTTTCTGTCTAGCTGAAGAAAGCCTAATAACCTGCAGATTCAAGAGGTATAAAGAAGTAACTTGAAATTGAGGAGCATGCTGGCCAGAAAGCGAAGCAATTGAGCTGTTGGAAAGGCGCTCAAGCAGTAGCTCTTGCCTAAAACTGGTTGGTCAGACATCGTGGTGCAGAGACGATAGGTTCCCCGAGCGATAAGTCGGGCCTGCACACTCCAATGAAGAGCAACTAGAAAATGAGGGAGATTGATCATAAGCTTGTTTCCTGCTTCCCTCAGCGTCGACCGCTCTTTCCTTCTTCGTGTTCTACCTTGCTAATTACCAGCGTTGTCACCAGATTGCACACCGTATTTGACAACAATACTTATCGTAGCCTAACCTACAATGCGGGCTTGATTTCCCAATTATTCCACTCAAGAGAAATAAAATTGGTCATCATGCATGGAAGCAACATGGGAGAGTTCAGCAAAATGCTGCTTGAATACGGTATATCGGAGCCGAGCATTATTTCTTCCTAGAGCTCGGCCGAGTGTTTGGATGGGGGAATGAAATGAGAAAGCGAAAGAAAATAAGGATGGACACATTGCCCTATCCAAGCATGGGAATCAGGTTGACCATGAATCTTTGCGATGGAGTAAAGATCGCCACATGCTTACGGGTGATTGGTTGGGCCAAGGTAATAAAAAGCTAGGTAGGCAGGGGGTGGCTAGCGTCTTACAGAGTCTTCGATTGCTCAATCGACACTGTTGGCCAAGCTTGACAGTGACATTGCAGCTCCAAAGCTTGGCTAAGTCTGGCTCAGCGTGTAGCCAACCACATCATCCCATTGATTGTACAGTAAGTCAAGCGAGGATCCCTTGAACCAAGAATCCTGCAACCCTCACGCCCAAGGCTGCCTTTGTGGAATGCCCCCTCCAACCCCTCCCGCGATCCCGATCGCATAATCATGTGGTTGTTTTCCGTTGGAGTTTGCCCAAGTCATTACACAGGCAGCGCGGGGCTTGTTAAGTATTGCATGCGTTCAGTGAGCGGCAGCCTAACTTCTGTCAACTGATTAGGAATGGGGTAAGCCTGGGCTACTATCACCAATCAACAAGTATCCTGGCTCGCACCTCGCCATGATTGGAGGAGGCCCTGCCGATCACAACACCAGTTGAAGTTTACCCTGCTGACTGTACACGGCTGTAAGCGTTGAGCTTCACACGCCACCCAAAAGCAGACCCCGTGCAAGACCCCTCTTTTTCTGGAATCGATTCCTCTTATAAGCTCGATGCCCCATCCCCTCAGCGCCCGATCCCTCACAGAATTCTCGATCTCTACACCACATTCCCCCGTTTTTGATCGTCCTACTATTTCCTCATCTATCAGCGCCCCGCTCTTACGCTTACTCATCCGCTCTTCTCACTCATCAACGGATTCTACTCCGTATCTTTCGGCCGAGTCGCTTCATTTCAATGACTTGCTCCGAAACTCACACTGCCGTCCGCACCACCACGGACTTGGCCATTCCTATTCGGACAATTGACATCGTCTCCATTGGACAGTATCCCACGCGCGATGTGGAGTGCTCTTCCGACTCTCTGGTTCCCCTGTCCCTGAATCAACTGAAAGCAGGCGAGATCATTCAACGGGTTCGTGCTCCGCTTCCACATCATGCAGGTACGATCACAGAACGCTGACATTTCATCAGATGCACAGCGATGCGAACAACCTCCTCTGTAGCATCCAGGGTCTGCTCCATTACCGCACCCTATCCGCAACCGGCGGCGGACATATCGTCCCCAATACTATCCTCGGGAATCCCAAGCTGCTCAACGTACAGCGTCTATCACAAGAAATCACCGGTGACATGGGCGAGCTGGTCGCACTCTCGCGCAGGGAAGCGAAAGACACAATGCGAGACCTTGGACAGGCGCGCAAGATGCGGCGTAATCATCGTGTGATGGAGCGCCATAGGGCCCATCACCCCGACATGAACAGCCCAGTCCAGCTCGTCTGCCACACCTGCAATGCCAGGCGCACTCCGCAATGGCGCAGTGGCCCGGCCGGTCCCTGCACCTTGTGCAACGTGTGCGGACTAATCCACGCCATGCGGCTCCGGAAGCAGGGACGCATTAGGAGCAAGAAGGTTTCGGCATCATCCTACATTTCATGAATGCCACGAATGCTGCGTGTTTTTACAACGGAGGGTTAGCTTTTGATTACCTTTTCCCCTTTGTATCTCTCGCCCTCTAGGGCCATGGGTTTGATTTTGGTTCTGAGTTTTGTTGCATTGTTTCTGGGTACGATACCACATGATACCAATATTTGCTTGCGGGTCAGCATCGGCGTCCAGGGAGTTGAGGAGAAAAAAACAGGCGAGACTCCGATATCACAGAGCGTAACGGACAGCCGAGGAATTGATTTTTAATGAGATGTTTAAGACATCAACAACAACTTTGCAGAATCGCATCCTTTAAAATCTGTATTTAACCGCACGGTGTCTCTTGACGCAATCTCATGCCGGGGTTCTCTCGGGGGCATCTCCTGGTTAAGGCTTGACAGCATCGCCTCGATTATATCCAAATCACAGACGCAGCTGCAGCCTGCGCATGTAGGCTGGTCCCTACCACCTTCACGATGGAGGGCGGGAAGGCGTTTGCTATTTAGTCGCTCAGGTCGGCAACGCTTTCTATTGGTTAATCCGGGAACACGCCTCAGGTTCGGGCAGTGCTGGATTTGACACACATATGTCAAAAAAGGATGCATCCAAAGTTCGTCTCGTGTATAGCACCAACTTAGACGTCCTCAACCACAACTTTGACACATAATAGCCTTTTCTATGCTGATCGCAACTTGATTGGATACGTAACCAACATCTGACCAGGTTTCTAACCAAATTTAGTAAGTAGCGCAGAAATGTGCTTTCAAACCTTCTTGAAGGCTCAATAGATCAATTGGATGTGACTATTTGCATACTGAGTGCGCTGAGCTAGACCTGAAAAATATATTTGTATCACCTGGAATAGACTGGGAATCCCCTGAACATCCCCCGCTGGACTCCTAACGTGACGCAATAATGTTGACGTATTCCAACTCCCCGGTTGTCTCTCAATAGCAATCGAGAGCTCCCATCGAGAGGTGTCACAGCCATGCCTTGACGCTTGGCATAGCCGGCTATGAGCACTGCTGGCAGACTAGTTGAAAACTCCGCTCCAGTCCTCATTCTGGCAGTACTCCTTGAATGTCCGTGGCTCGCGTGCTAGATTTGCCCGGTTGCTGTGGATATAGGTAGCTTCCCAGAACGTGTCATGGAACTTGTACATCTCACTCATGTCGTCGATGATGTGAGGTGGCAAACCCGCCTTCGACATAGCCGTTCTGCTTTCCTCCTCCGTAATTTTTTTGTACGAGATCTTCTTGCCGATGACTGTGCCAAGCATTCGGACCTGTTCTGTCAGGTCAAGCCACTCCCCATATGCCGAAATGACTTTTCCGTCCCCTTTATTAAACTCGTCCGATTCGATTGCCAACTGAACAAAAAGCCCGAGATCATGAGCCGTGTCGATCAGGGGTATTTTCGCGGTCTCAGACCAGGTGCCGTCTATGATGTAGGACCCATCTCCGCCAGGTCGCGGTCTCATGAAGGTTGTATAATTATTCATGTAGCCACCAACATGGATGTCAACGAATGGAACACCGACCTCGCGGGCATAGTCCGAGATGGCCGCCTTAGAGTCGAAGTGATACACTTTAGTAAGCCTCCCCCCTGATGCTTTGGTAGCGCTTGGCTCAGAGGAGACGAGAAGCAACTTAACGCCAACCGCTTTGGCACAGTCGACCATGAGTTTCCCTTCCGCCTCTTCTCTGTCCTTATCCATGTGTTCCCAGTAGTTTGTGACGATCTCAGGAGAAAGCAGTCAGCACTGGTAGAAGGGCACCGCAGTCTCGGAAGGGTATTAGCTTACAAAAATATAGGTCGCACCACGAAAAGCATTCTCGATCTCGGCCGCATTTCCCACGACGAGGTTACATGATGCAACCTCGACGCCTCTGTCGGCCAAAGCCTTTGCTTTCGGTTTGGATGAGTCTCTGGTGATTCCTCGCATACGATAAGACCTCGCCGACGCTTGCAAATTATCAATGACACTGCCACCCTGTATGCCAGTCGCACCCACGACGACAATGAGGGGAGCAGAAGAGTCAGTTGAAATGGTCATGTTGGTTACTGATGGTTTAGGGTGATCACGAAGGTATTATTTTGGTATGGAAACAAGGAATTGTGTTACCTTGGAGCGATGAGGGCGTTTGGTAGGGAGATAATAAATGAAAGGCGAATTTATCAGAAGAATATCTGTAGACACAACAAGTCTAGCTTTCAGGCCTACAAGGTACTATAACACCTCTTTTCAAAAAGCTACTGCAAAGCATTCCATGGGTGAACGGGCTTGCCGTTAGGCTTCGGGACCGACAGAAAGTCATTCCCCGAAGACCAACTTGGCAGCGTCATAAATCGGATAAAGAATTGGGTTGATTGATAATCAGCCTACGCATACAATGAACGTGGGGACTAAGGCGGCATCCACTTGACTACTGGTGTTGGCATACGGACATTCGAAATTCCATGTGTTCAATCCCGCGGGTCCCGAGCAGCGGTGCGCCGATGCCTCCCACAACTGCACAGCGTTGCACCTTGGCTTGCATCGAGGGCGAGCATGGGGCTTCAAGTGCCAAGGTCACGAGCCAGTAGCTTAGTTTACGCCAATGCTGTGAGGCTTGTGTTCAACATTCTGCGCTTGCATGTTTGTTAAATGGCGACTTGTAGTTTCCAAGAGTTAGAAAAATGAATTCTTGGTCTCCTACGTTTCTTAGATCTTTTTGGGGACATGTAATGCCCACTGCGGACTCAAAACACCATCTAGGATTGGGGTTTTAGAGCAAGTCCTCGTATATCCGGTGTTATCCCTCGTATTATGCGCAACCTGTTGGTTTCCAGGCTGCTGGGTGAGAATCATTACCCCTCGTAAGGTCGTTTTGCTAGCAAGCTGTTCCTGTAATCAGTGAAAGACGTTGCCAAGTCGCCTCCTTATAAGGAAGGCCGGCTTCACATGTAAGCCCGGCAACAGAGCTAGTGTTCTTACTGTGCATAGACCTGAAGCAGCGGGACCCTGCTCGCGCTAGCAGAGAGCCCCTGCTGAAGAGGGAACGGCAATCCACCGCCTCGTTCTCGTCGAATTGAAGAATGGAGAGAATGGTTCAACGCAGTGCTGCTAAAAGTGTCGCGAACTGTTCCCTTTTTATCCAATTCAGCCTAGGAAATCTAATGATTCTATCGTTACTGCCTTCCCTTTGATTGACGTTGTCTTTCATGCAGGCCGGTGGCTTCCACTTGCAGAACTACAATCGTATCAGAAGCCTTGTTGACCAATTGCGAAATCCAGCGCCAGAACACAAAACATTTGAAGCATCGGGTCTGCGATGACGGAATATAATTATCATCTTCCTTCAAGTGAAATTGTGCTCAAGCTCGGTATCTATCTACAAAGATTGACTCTTTGGTCATCAGAGTATGCGCTGACTCTGCTTCCATGAACCCACTATGCTCATCAACTTGAATCTCGGCCATAGCCTCCAGAGTCGTTTGATCCTGAGCAGTTCTCCCATTAACCCACATACAGGTGTACAAGCTGTAGTTGCCTGTCTCCTTCATCCCTCTCTCCTTGCGCAGTTCCTTCACCACTTCTGCGCTATCATCGCAGGGGTGATTTCGAATGTACTTCTCGAAACCCATCACCAACGCCCATCTACGCACCAAGGGCGCATGGTTGTTGACCCAGTACTTCATGCTCGAGCCACGGGCTATCTTGGGGAAGGCAAAAGCAAGCCAGGTACTGTTGTACTTGGAGGCAATGACCTCAAGTCCCGGGCTAGCCATGATTTGAGGGTGTTCAATTACGAAGAAGAGCTCTGAGTTTCCAAAGTCGACATATGGCTCTTCGTCTTCAAACAATGCCCGCCAGATTCTCCTTCCTTCCTTCTTCGGAACGATAGAAGGCGATAAAGTCGTCAAGGGAACAGTCAAAGGCGTATTCGTCTACGGCATTGAAGGGTGGCTCATTCTGAACTGAGAGACGGGGGCGGCTACTGCGGATGGCATCGTCCAAGTTGCCCGAAACACGGTGTGATTGGGTGTATTTAACGAGATGAAGTGGTGTTTGGAAAGACGCGACTAACGGACCGTGGTGATCGCGCCAACGTTTTTGGAAGTCGTCCACAGAGATGGAAGGCCTTTGGCGGATGGCGTAAGTGAGTTTGACTACCATGGTGTCGGTGTTTTGTCATTAACATTTGAGACGATATGTGACCTCAAAACATTGAAGGACTATCTAGGGCAGCGGGTTTTATAGTGTAGGTGAGTAAAGCCTTACCGATCAATCGACTGGAAGCCGGAAGGCTGCACCCCTCTCTTACCTAACCCGTTCCCCTGTAGTTGAGTAGTTGAAGGTAGACATGACTCGACCGAATGGATGCGTCGGTATTACAACCCAGTTAGGATGTGGTTTTGAGTCGGAACATGTACCCTACAGAGACTTGACCGAAGATCGGGTGAACCTAGAGCTCTGAATAGTGAGCCAAAAAACACGTCTATGGCGGCACCTGTATTTCGAGAAGTACAAGTCAGAAGGCTGGCTCGGGTACTTCAGGGACCTGTCATCTCCGGGTCCCGAGGCGAGGCTCAATAATGCCATAGCACTGCGAACTCCGCCTGCTCTAATGTACGAACTATTCGAGCCTGAGGAAATAGAAGCGGGAACGTGGGTCCTGACGGCGGAAAAGGAGTTTTCAGGAACTCAGCCCAAGCGGAGGACTTAGACTTACAAATCTATCCCACCGGGTGCGGCCCCCATGTTTTGCCAAGGGTGGCGTAAAGCCGATCAAGGTTATGGACCGATTAGACTCATCCAATCAAACCGAGTTCAAATATACTTCCAAATGTGTCGGCAATCTCCATTGATAAGTAGTGATATATCGTAATCTAGCCCTTTCCAGCTTCCAGGGCATCCCTAAGAAAGCGGCGCCGCATCATCCATTGGCCCACTGCCTACCGAAGCCCTGGTGCATACTGGAAGAAAAAGCTAGCACTAGTGTATGTCGTATCTTTAATGTGTAAATGATTCTCAACGTCTTTCATTTCCCGCCTTCACCCGATGCCGCTGCCCTCAACCTTTTCTAGAGAATGTGGATGTTGATATAGCCTTTATTTAATATGCTCGTACATCAACGCATGATCGCAGTCGGATTCAGACCAATTCAGTTTGGGCTGAGCAACCCATCGTGTGATTACAACAAAGCAATGATGTTTCTAGGCTATATTCGATCTCGTCACTACTGATACTCGAAATTTAACGAATCAAAATCACCAACCCGAAACCAAAAAACCAAAAGTCGAAAGCAGGTTTCTTAGGCGAGGCTTGAGGTGCTTTCCGAACATCTTGTCTCTTTGGGATTTTTTTGATGCTGTACAGTCTGTCATTTAAGATAGACTAGGGCAACTACTGACGGTTGGTTTTGCCACCGCGGTGTCAACTCAACCATATGAACCTTTTTCACGTAGCCCCGCACATACCCTGAAACCCAACCAGGTCTGGAACTCGACAAGCCTCAAAAGACATCTGGAAAGGCTTAATATGTGAATCCACGTGCGACGGCTAAACCCCACATCAACCTGTAAAGAATTGCCACACCTCAGAGGGCTTTTTTGCACGAACTTTATGCCAGGTCAGTAGCCCAACCCAAATCACCCACCAGTTTTCTGCTCTTCTTGGCTTTTCCCACCTAGCCCGTTCAAACTCGATTGCCATCTTGCGGTGAAGCTCCCACCGTTCAGTCCCGGCTAGGCCAATCCCAAAAAATGGAGCCCTCCAATCGTGATGTTGTGAAGCCAACTGCCAAAGGCTTCGAAATCGTATTCACTGGAACTTCGGATACCGCCTCATTACCTCTACGTATGACACACGGCAAGAATCACGGAAGTGTCTCAATCCCGTTGTCCTTGAATCAACTCAGGGCAGGGGAGCTTCTTCAGAGGGTATCGCAAACTCCACTGCTACTGCTTCAATACCCAGCAGGACTGACACTTGGTTGCTCAATGCTAGGTAAACGAAGATGTGAGCCTCCTTCTTGAAAAGATCCAGAGTTTACTTCAATCCAACTTCTTATCGGGCGGCAGCAACAAATGGAACAGGATACCTGGTGTGATTGTCAGCCAACCGAGCCTTATTCGTGCGCAGACGTTGTCCCAACACTTTGCTATGAACATGGACGAACTTGTGTCGTTGTGTCATAGAAACGCTTCGAACGTTGAGCGAGACTTTGAACAACATTCTCATTGTCAACAGCCACGGCGAATGCGTCGAAAACATAAAACGGACTCTGCCGCGTCCTACTGTTACCCTCAAAAAGTATGGCTGGCCCTGATTTCATACAAAAAAAAGGCATTTCACACTAACCAAAACGGTGCCTATCGACATTCCTGCATAAGCTTGTGATATGATTACTATGACATGACAGACTCAGAAACAAATGCTCGCATCCGGGCTTATATGCCATTCTTGTCGCATAACCAGCACCCCTAAACGGCGAAATGGCCCCGCTGGCCTTTGGCCTCTTTGCAACGCATGCGGATTGATATATACCCGACAGTTGCGTAAGAACGGCCGGATTAAGCGAAAACTACCTCTTTAGTCGCTCCATGATTGCGGATGCCAAACAGTAGCAACTGAGACCTCAGGTTTTAGAGAAACATCACTGGGACTTGCCAAGCGATTCACCAAGAGGGAAACAAAGACTAGAGAAAGCATCATGCGTCGATGGTAAGATGGTACGGCGGCAATGGCAGTAATACATAAAGGTGCCTCGTTATGACAAAGTCGTAGCTAGAGCATGGAGTTTTAGGAAACATCGATGTTTGGTCTCATGGCATTTGCGAAGTGGCATGTGTTTGTTTGGATTGGCTGCAGGGAGGAGTTGCGCTTCTCCGATAAGATAAGACACATGCTTTGCTTACATCAGCAGTCCAGTTTCAGGAACGTCACTGTAAGCGCTTAGACCCTCACCCTAGAATCCGAGCTCACGGTTCATGGCGCCATCCCTGCTTCACGACTCACACTTCACATAACATCCCCCCAGAACTCCATCCGATTGGCAATTCTCACAGCCCAGCACCAAGAGAAGATGCCGTCAAACAACGAGTCCGATGATGCCGTTGAACGGCCCCTCTTGGCGGACACCCATGAGGAGTACGGCGGAACCGACGGCCCGGCCCCTCCCGTGCTCATCGCCGAGGAACGCGGGGCGGGCACCTTCACGCGCAACCTTGGCGCCGTCGAGGCGTTCGCCATCGTCATCAGCATCGTCATTGGCAGCGGCGTCTTTACTTCACCAGGGTCGATTGATACGAACGTGCCGTCGCCTGGCGCCGCGTTGGTGGTGTGGCTCGTCGGCGGCGTTCTGGCGTGGACTGGTGCGAGCACCATGGCCGAGCTTGGAACCGCGATCCCGGGTGAAGGTGAGTCAGTCCTTGTATTCTATTCGCGCACGCTGTCCCAGTGCTGATGGACCTCGAAAGGCGGCGTTCAACCCTTCCTGCAGCACATCTACGGCGACGTCTTCGGGTTCCTTGCCGCGTGGACCTGGATCGTGGCCGTCATGCCCGCGACCCTTGCCATTCTCAGCATCGTCTTTGTCGAGAGCATCTACTCTGCCGGTGGCGTCACTGATCAGGCCGGTGCCATCTCGCACAAGCTGCTTTCCATCCTCATTCTCATCGTCATGAATGGCGCAAACTCCATCAGCACGAAGGCCAGCACGCGTCTTAACAACTTGTTCGTGGTGACCAAGTTCGTAAGCATCTTCGGCGTGGTACTTGCTGGTATTGTTGTGGTTATTCTGCAAGTCTCGGACCATGATCGCGATATTGGCGGCAGGGATTGGTTTAGCAGGCCTTGGTTCGACAACCGGAAGACGGCCGTGCCTGGTGGTGGTGAGGTTGACTGGAACGAGGTTGGCGCATGGGATATGCTTGGGTACTACTCGGCTGCCCTGTATGGTGCACTGTGGGCGTATTCTGGATGGGACAAGGTGCGCTCATCCTTATCACAACAGTCAAGCATCTTTATCTGACCCATCGCAGGCTATCTACGTTACAGCTGAGCTCCAGCACCCCGCCCGTCAGCTCCCTCTGGCCATCAACACGGCGGTTCCGACCATCATCCTGTGCTTCATCGCCGCCAACGCAGCCTACTACATTCTCCTTCCCTGGGAGGTCGTGTCCAAGACTGATAGCGTAGCAGTGGTAAGTATTTGTTCTTGGACGTCTTGGTTTTGAATCTTGCGCTGACCTCCCAGACTGCAATCAACCGCCTTCTCGGCCCCGGTTTCGGCATCCTCTCTGCTGTGTTGATTTGCCTAGTTGTCGCCGGATCCCTGTTGGGCAACTCATTCGTAGCAGGCCGCATGACCGTCGCTGCAGCCAACTTCAATTGGCTTCCCAGCTTCCTCGGCTTTGTCGGCCGCGTCGGCTTCAAATCCGAGGATAACTCCTCCGCAGACTCGACGGATGAATCGTTTCCCCCTGTCAAGGAGAAGTCAGACGCCCCGCTCAATGCCCTCTTGCTCTCGACAGTGCTCTCAGCGTTGTACATCCTCTTTGGTAACTTCCGCGCGCTCCTGACCTTCAACGGTCTGGGCGAGTACACGTTCTTCTTCCTAACGGTCCTGGGTGCCGTCATCCTCCGCCTCCGTGAGCCTAAGCTGCGGAGGCCGTACAAGCCGTTTGTGTTGATCCCTGTCGTATTTGCGTTGGTGAGCGGCGTCGTTGTTGTCAGGGGTGCCATCTTCGCCCCCGTCCAGGCTCTCATTCTGATTGTTCTCTGGCTCGTTGGCCTTGCGTTCTACTGGGCTAGAAGAAAGTACTACGCCCGACGTATCCGGGTAGAGTGACGGAGCAGCTACTTTCAAAATCTGATCTAAGCAGGGGTTTAAAAGTAGAAGATCGACCATGCTATTGTTACTGGTTCAAGAGACGCTGAAAGGTTGCAAAGACTGGATTTGTCACTATCGTGTCAAAGATTAGACTAGGTACAACTAAGATTCATAACAAAGGTCCTGGAGCTCATAATCTGTTATCCGCTCACAGCTCCTCGCTCATCTCATCAAGCTTGGTGGGATCGTCCAGATCCGCGAACAACTTCACGCCCCACTTCTTGCTCGGGTTGCTCAGCCTGTGCTTCTTGTCCTGCTTCTGAATCTCCTTGAGCTCCTCCTCGGAGAACTTGATCTCGAGTGCCTTGCGGTTCGAAACAATGTGTGACTCCTTGGTGCTCTTGGGAATCACAATGGTGCCGCGCTGAATGCCCCACGCCAGAACGGCCTGGAACACGGAGACGCCCTTCTTCTCCGCAATGTTTTTCCAGAACGAGTCCTCGTAGATGGCGGGGATCTCATCGCTGTATGTCGGGTTGGTGTTGGCCAGCGGCGAGTACGCAACGACGTTGATGCCCTTCTCCTTGTGCCAGTCGACAAACTCCTGCTGCTGGAGGTACGGGTGCGTCTCGAACTGGTGCGCAAAGGGTTTAATCTCGGCGACCTCAAGGATCTTCTCGACATCGGCCTTGGCAAAATTGGACACGCCGATGTGGCGCGTGAGGTTCGCCTTGACGAAGCCTTCAAGCGTCTTCCAGGTGTCGACGATGGAGGTCTTCTCGTCGAGCTTGTTATTCGGGTCGCCGGGAACGAAGGCGACGGGCCAGTGAATGAGGTAGAGGTCGAGGTAGTCGACACCGAGGTCGGCGATAGACTTCTTGATGGCGGCCTCGGCCTGCTCGGCGCGGTGGTCCGAGTTCCAGAGCTTGCTGGTGACCCAGATGTTCTTCCGCGAGACGCCCGAGTCGGCGATGCCCTTGCCGGTCTGGTCCTCGTTTCCTAGGGTTGTCAATGACTGAGCGAGGGACAAGGCGAGTGGGAAACCCTCAGAGAGAGGGGGCGCACTCACTGTAGATGAGGGCGGCGTCAATGTGATCGTAGCCTGCCTCGCCAACAGCAAAAGACACGGCATGGGCCACCTGGCTCTTGTCCGACAGCCATGTTCCCAGACCCAGAGAGGGGATCGTGTCCAAGCCGGGAAGGGAAGCTTGGGCCAGACCCGCAGCGGCGGTGGCGGAGACTAGCGCTTTGAGGTACACCATTATGAAGCTATTCAGTCCTGGTTTTTCCTACTCGTGCCGCTTGGTGGTGGTGGTGATTGATATCCAAATCGTAGATGGGAATTGTGCCCTTTTGACAGCTTCCCCTCTCTCGCTTCGGAATCGCATCATTGACCAGCCCCGGTTTTTGTTTTATCTGTGGAGGTGGCAGGGACATGACATCATCCATCTCCTCACTTACACCACACGCACCGTTGGTTTGATACGCGCAGTGTCGCAGCCCGCGCACGTCAATTGGCTTTATTTTTGCTGTGAAGATGCGCCCAGCAGCTCCAATTAAGCTGTATGATTATGGAATTATTACGGAAAACTTCGTTATTCGACTGCTCATTACAACACCAGCAAGCACATGACAAGTGCAAAACTGGCCAACAATGGCGCGATGCTCGACAGGGGGTCGAATCGCCCTGTACCCGAAGCGGAAGGTGAGTGCGATACCTCCGCAGCGGCCACAGCTCCATCCTGGACTTCAGACAAAGACGCTCCGCCATCGGTGCCGGCACCGGCACCGGTTCCGACACCGGACGCACCGATCGACGCAACCTGTGCGGTTCCGTTCCTTGTCGCGGCGGCGTTCTGCAACACCTCGGCCACAGCCGCATACGCCGGCTTGGGCTGCATGTTCATGTCGAACAAGCACGCGTCTCCGGTCCCCGGGAACGTCTTCGGGATCCAACTATACTTGTCCGTAAACTCCCATGCCACGATGCCGACGCACTTTGCATTTTCTACGCACGTCTGCACGACGCTCGCGTAGTCCTTTGCCTGTTGCTGCAGCGCATTGTTATCGGCTGGCACCTTGCTGTGCCTAATGTCCAGCTCCGTCAGCGCAACCTCGAGCCCCATGTCCGTGAACCGGCTCAAAACATTGGAGAGTACACTGCGCGAAGGCGTCTTGCCGACCTCGAAATGCGACTGGAGCCCGACTCCGTCGATCCTAACCCCGGCGACCAGCAGATCTTGCGCGATCCGGACGGCGCCATCCGTCTTTTTGGAGTTGAATTCGATGCTGAAGTCGTTGTAATACAACTTCGTATCCGGGTCTGCGGCCGCCGCGGCCCTGAAAGAGATAGGAATGAAGTCCTCGCCAAGAACGCGCGAGAACACGCTTTTGCGGAGGGAGCCATCGTCGGCGAGAGCCTCATTGACGACGTCCCAGGAGTAACAGGCGCCCTTGAAGTGGCCGACAACGTTTGCAATGTGGGTTTCGATGACGGCTGTAAGAGTTTCTGGTGTCCACGTGCCACTCGAAACTAGGCTAGTTGTCAACAACCAGTGCAACTCTAAAGGTTCAAAAGATAGGCTAAAGTTGCTCACCAAACTGCGGCAGCTGTGAGTGCCATGTGAGCGCATGGCACCGAAACATCTGCTGGTTCCCTTGCGCGAGGCCCAGCACCATATCCGCGTTATTGAATTGGAATCGTCCCTCTGTTGGCTCCGTTGCCTCCCATTTTTCACTGTTCTCGGGCACGACGAGTCCGAACTCGCCCCTTCTGTTGAGAATGTCCATGTACGCCGCATCATTAAATAGGTTCGTGTCCGTCGCCGTGCCAAAGAACAATAACTTCCCGCTGTTGACCGCCAGCTCATGAAGGCCCTGCCCCGAGGCGGCGGCGACTCCCCATATTGACAAGGCGAGCCAGCTCGAGATCTTGGCCATTACGTGCAAGGTTATGCGAGGCACGAAGAATTTTTAGCTTAGAGGCGCATTGAGATGCGATGAAATAGAGAATTAAGTAGAGGGGCTCATTCGATGCAACGTCTCAAAAGTTCGGATACAGACTGCCCTTTATTAAGCCTTCAGAACTTTCCGAGACGTGCGCATTGTATGAGAAGAGTGGACGAAGACTTTGATCGGATGTTTCAATACAACATGCCGGCTTAGGGGTTGAGGTCGTCAGATGGCCCTTGAGTTGCGTCAGTTGGGGTTTCAGATTCGACCGAACCGTACTTTCTAATTTGCTTCGCGGAGCTTCTAGCGAAACTGAATCCATTGCTCAGAGAGCCGCATGACACGTCTGACTGATTGATCCTTGAAATCTGATCTAGAAACAAGTGTCAGCGGCATTGAGCTAGGCACCATACCTCTCGTCTTGGCGGCAAAATGTGGATGTAGATAATGCTTACTCGCCTTCATAAAAGTCCAAGGAGGCTGAAGCCTCTTGAAAAAAGTAAAATGTACATTGTACGATCACCTCGCACGCATTACCTAACTATTAGTCAAAAGATGGTTCGATACCGCGAACTCAAGCGCTGTTTCCAATTTCTCGACGCGCTGCCCCTCTCGGCGCAACGAAGACATCCTGTACCAGCAGACTTGAGGACAAGAAACATGTCCTCAAACCTACCTTCCCACCCAGCTATCTAACCCGTCATACTCGCACTAACTAGGCGACCTCAAACGTCTCCGAATCCCATCCAAAATGATTCTTGAATCGTGACGAAAGCCTAAGCACATCGTAGCCTTCGAACTTGGTGGCGGTCCCGTGAGGACGATGAACACAAATGGGCAGCCAGTCTGATTCCTGCGGAGGCGTAAAAGTCGTTGACGAGCTGCCGCTCTGAGAATTGACCGCGAAACCCAACTCAACCATCGCTGATTCTAGGTCCGAAAAAGCTATCGGCCGGCGGTTCTGGGTCCGGTCGAACAGCACATCGAAGACGACGGCTGTGTCAGCGCTGACTTTGATCTTCGGCTTTCGGGATGCCGCCGGAGGTGGAGGCGGTGGAGCGTCGTCCGGGAGGATCGACCCATTTGTTCCCTCCGGAGGCCGGGTCTTGACCTTCTCCTTCCTGCCCTGCGCCTTGTCACCCTTTTGCGGTGTGATCTCGATAAATAAATCCCGACCGATGGGAACTGACGGAGAAGAGGAGACTGGGCCATTTTCTTTCAGCCGCTTGGCTTTGGCCTGCGCACACCGGCTCTGCAGCTCAGAGATGCTGCCTTCCACCACCTTGTTGTAAGCCTCGAGCACACCAGCTCCCGTTTTGTCTTTGTAGAAATTATCGAGCGCCTCCAGAGCACCAGCAGCAACGTTGGGCTTGAAGAGTCTCATCAGTGGCACGGTGAACATTGTAAGATCAAGCTTGTCTTTCAAGGCGCAAAGGTCCTTATCCAGGCGATGAGATTTGGAGACAAAGAGCCCTTTTACTCTCTTCTTCCCAGTAACTGGGGGGAGCGAGATGGCCTCAGTCAGGTCTCGGATGAATGAGAGAAGTGTAGCCAGCTCCCCAAGTACCTCAGCTTCTGCAGCGTACAGTCCAATCCTGAGTTTCTCATCAGGTTTAGTGGTCCATAGGTTGTTCAGCATTTTAGCCCAATCCAGGGCCCTATCAACCGTGGTTTCTGGTCGGCAGAGCTGCAGGATTTGCAAGAGTCCAGGATGGATAAGCGTCTCTGTATCATTCAAGTCATCGAGATTGAGCGTCAGAATCACTAAGGGATTGCCATCATTGTCGCACTCATCACACACACGCTCGAACCAACTACGGCCAGTGTACCTTTGGATATGTCTTTTGAAGACACTCTGAGCGCGCTGGAAAGCCAGATGGCAAACGTGCGCCATCTCCTGCAGGATAAGGTTGCGGCCCGGGGTGTCATCTTGCTCAAGACCTTGTAACTCCAGGAGAAGGGCGACGATGTAAGCCCAAAACACGTTGTTCTTGGCCAAGTCGTGCACAAAGTCAAAGAGACAAGGACTGAGGTACTTGCCCGTATTCACAGGCAGCTTCTGGCCTTGTTTGTCTGGAATCAGACCAGGCTGCGTAGTAAACCACTCCTCGACCTTGTTTGCAAGCATCCCTGCTTCCACGCCAAGAAGATTCCAGTGACGATCCAAGGACTTCTTGTGATGGCGTGCAGTATCAAGCACAACTTTAGCAGTGACGTTGTCTGATGCGCTTTCATCAGTGGCGTCGTCGCTCAAGTGGATGAGTTGCAACAGCAAAGCAGCGGTTTCAGTTGACTGCGTGGCTTTCAATTGACGTGCCTGTTCCTTTGGATCTCGCTCCCAGGTGTACTTGACCATGGAGTTTAGAGCCTGGAGTATGTGACCTTGCCGTCCAAGGACCAGCTCTCCAGAGGTCTGAGGAACACAGAGATGGGCCTTATCGCGCGGCAGCAGAAAAGACGCTGCGATCTTCTGGTTGATGGCGATGTAAGCTTCGCCGTACTCATCTCCATCTTGGAAAATGGTGTAAGCTTTTATTCCAGTTGGGAAGGGCCCAATGCCGGACTCTCTCATCCTACGGGCAGCGAAGTCAAAGTCGCTAGGGTTATTGGCTGAGCCTTTGTGGCATTGTTCAGAAAGTCTGGCAGTCGCTCTATATCTGATTATGTCGAGGAGGAACTCGGGCTTTGCCGCAATATCGTCCGCGTTCCACTCCGGAACATAGTAATCGTCCAGTTCTGTTGTATCATTTTCCTCCATCACTCGGGAGCGTTCATCTCCATTGAACGAGCGCCATGTGGCTTCAAAGGTCGGACCGTACCTCTCCCATCTCGACGAGAGATCCATAAACAGGTCTCTTACATATCTGGCGAGGTCGGAAGAAATCTGTAACGGGGGTGCTGGCTGAAGTCGAGGCGTCTGCTTCTGTTCCTTCTGTTTCACCATCCTGGAACTCTATGTGTAGGTAGTGTAATATCCGCAAGGCTGTGTCTCATCAACGAAGAGATGCTTGAGGTTTAAAACACGAGGCGGAAATTTTCCAGAGATATAATAGATGTCTTTAGAAAGGAAAAGTCAAAGCAGAGTATTCGATCAGTATGTGAAATGAGAGGCGTGTCGTTGTGCAATAGAGGTAGACAAAACGTGACAGGCCCAAGAGACAGATATACCCATCATCCTCGCCTGATCGATCAATTTGCTGTTCAAAACCATAGTCAGAGAGTCAGATATACTAGCTCAAGAAAGACAATCCAATGTGGCTGTTCAGTCTCTGTGGAGAACAAATCTATTATATGGCTCAGGCAAAAAGAAACCAAAGCATAGCTAAGAAAGAAACAAAAAGAACCTGAATCCCCCCCATCCAAAAAAAATTCCATCTGCTTTGTCTCGTGGGTATATCAGCACCGTCAAATGATGGCGGAACGCTCATCCTTACCTAGTAACCAACGCAGCACCAATATGGAAGAACATGTCACAGCTTCCTAGAATTTGAGTCCAATGCTCTCCAGAGACAGAACACTCAAAAGCCTCGAGTACCTCTCCGCAGACTCAACCGACCACAAAAGTTGTCTCATCCCACCCGTAAGCCCTCGTCAGACGATTGGCCATCTTCCGAGACCGATAACCCTCCACCCTTGTTAACCTACCATGGACCTCATGGAACTGGATCTGGTTCCAAGGCGTTCCGGAAGGGGGGATAGACGCAATGGCGGATCTCTTCTTCTTCTCCACGGAGAAGCCGATCTCAGCGAAGGCGGCGACGAATCTCGTCCAGGTAATGGAGCCACGGTGAATTCTTTTGTCGAACAACATAGCAAAGACCCCTGCCGTTCTTGCACTGACCTTCAAGACTTCCTTGGGAGGGTTGGCATCATCGTGATCGAGGTTGACGTCTGGAATTGCAGCTTCGGCAGCTTCTGCTCCAGTTTCTTCGTCAGAAGCAGCCTCATCAATGTCGTGATCATCAAGGTTCCAACCCCTGTCCTCCGCGTTATGCGCCTCGTCATTGGCAGTGACATGAGTCTCTTTACCTGCTTGGTCCGTAATGGAGCCTTCGGAAGCAGGGTTCTGGTCTTCAATGGGTTGGGTATGGGCCGCGTCGTCTTCCATAACCAGGCCGGTATTGTCATCTGATAACGAAGAAACAGAGCGCTCCTGGGAGAGATGCTCTGAGTCATCATCGTTCATGACGGACATGAGGTCTTCCCATATTTCATCGATCGACGGCATCGGAGCTTCGTCTTCCTTGCCGCTCTCTTCCTTGTCGTTTGGATCGTCTTGAGAAGTGGGTGAAGCTGAGGTGTTCTTCTTCTTCTTTTTTGTTCGCTTCTTCTTTGTAGGCTGGTTGGGTTGCTCGTTAGCCACGCCAGGAGCGGACGTAGGGACAACCGCAGGAGCGGAGATGGCAGCTTCCACGGTCACCTTTATCTCAGACAGATCAAAATCCGCAGCCTCGCCGAAACAGTCGCGAATGGCGTTTCTGTAAAGTTCTGTGGTCACAGATCCCATCCGCGTCTCTACGAGCTCATCCATAGCCTCCAGAGCCTTGCAATGCAGATTTGGATTTACTCCGCGATTCCGCGAGGGATCCTTGGCCATATTGCAAAGGTATTCGGTATACTTGGGTGCGCTTAACTGCCACTTGAGCTTGTCAAAGCTGACATATAAGTCGTCGGTCTTGCTGATGAACTCCCGGCCCTCGATGGCACAGGCTGGCGGCATTCGGACGTAATGGTGTAAGTCCCGGAGGAACCCGGAGACTAAAGTAAGGTTGTAAAGAGATGATGACTCTCCGTCTGTCATGCGAGGTATCTTATGAGCGTAGACCTCTTTGTACTTGGGGATCTTTTCAGCGCAGTCAAGGGCTTCGATAGGATTAATTTCCGGCTGACTTAGACGTAGGAAATAGTGCATCAGCGGGTTGCTTTTTACGAAGTCCCTTGGGTGGTTTTTCAACATCACGACTGGAGTACCGAAACCATCGTATGTGTCTGCTAGTCGTCTGCGGTACTTTCGGGCTATACCGCATTGGATGTTGCGTCTGAAGAAGTTCTGGAGATCGTAATAGTGTCTGTAGCAGACATTGGCCAGCTCTTGTAGGAGACGACTGCGTTTCTTTGCAACTTTCTTGCCCTGGTCAAGTTGGGCAAGGACATATAGAATAGTGCGGATGGTGTTCCAGGTCATGATGTTTCTGTCTATAAAGTGGATAGCCTCGAACAGACATATACCGAGATGCGTTTCCGTGCTTCTCTTGGCGCGAGACAAAAGGACGTGACCGTCTTTGTCGGCCAATCCTTCCGGCGCGGTTGAACACCAATTCAGAACCCAGTCACAGAGCATCATTTCATCAGTCTTGAGCCTCTCCCTGTAGTTGCTGGCTTCAAATTCTTGGTGCACAGCACCAGTAAAAAAGTCTACAAGCTTTGGAATTCGTGAGTTGATTACTGCTTCTGGTGGGAGAACTGGTGTGTTTTTGCCGGGGCCTGGCTGACTTTTCTTTGGGATGCAGCCGCTGCTTGGCTCAAGATGATCTGCCGAAGGGATCTCAGGCTCAACGTTGTCGTTGCCAAGGTTTTTCTTCGGAGGGTCTCTGACTGGGTCTGATGACAGTTTGTGCGAGATCGATGCAGAGCTCTCTTTGCATAACTCTTTGGTGCCGGTCTTTGTGCCTGGCAGTACTGAGGTTTGGTTCGGCTGTTCGATGCTGCGATGTGAGCTCAGGGTTTGCGACGGTGTATTCTGTTGTTTCTTGTAGCAGTTCAGATCGCAAGACGCCATGTTTGGGTTTTCAGTTGGTCTTTCTCTCAGTTTGCCCCATATGGAAGGAATGTAGCTTGATCCCATGTCACTGAGTGCGGTGAAGATGAAGAGATGAAGGAGCTTCATGACGGACATCTGTCGTAGGAAGATGAGTTCGCCAAACGGTTCACTCACGCACAGAATTGACTGCGAGAACGGGTCTGTGATGACGTTCAGGTAGTCGACAGATCGGTGTTTGTCGCCATATGTGTGGTCATTTTGGAAAAGAATAAAGAACCCAGTCTGAGCATCTCTGTGAAGCGGAAGTCCTTTGACAAAGTCCCGATCCCCTAGACTGCCGTTAGCCCCCTTGAGAAACTGCTGTGTTAGGGTGGTTGTGCTTCGATGCTTGAGCAGGACCAAGAGCAATTTCGACTTCGGGTCTGCGATGTCTTGTTCATTCCACTCAGGCGTGAAGATGTAAGTCAGTACTTCAGGTATTGCGGTGTTTTGAGGAACAGGGCCTCCTCCTACCATCCTGGACATGAAACTGACCCGTCGACCATGGTCAAGTTTCCGCCAGAAGTTTTCAGAGCAGGCTCATAGCGTTGATAACTCGTAACGAGATCGCAGTGAGCTTGTCGCACTTCACTGGATGTGTAGGGACACGTGAGCGGCTGGTACTGAGGTGGTCAAGGATCTGGGTCGTGACGTTTGCGTCTTTCCATGTTCGTTGTCGCACCACGCAGGGATGGGATAACAAGGTATCGAAGGATCGAAGGTGAGGCTTTGTCGTCGTCAAGATGGGATTTCAGACGTGAAAGAAAAGAGAAAGTGTGGTTGTGAGAAAATTTTGGGCTGGCGTTTAACGGGGGAAGGAGGAAGCAGACAGATACTGGCAAGTGGTGGGGCTATGGATGGAATTTCGGGTGCCGGCATCAACAACTTCACCTTGATACACTTTGACTAATTGTGTTTTTGGAATTCTGGCACTCTACTGTGTACTCTAGGTTCCTTCTCACTATTACACAAACCCCTTTTACGGGTCGTTGTTTACATGTTGGGCAAGATGTTCTACAAAGAGATACTACATACTCAGGGGTAAGCACGGGAACAATACAACACATGATCATATGTATCGTACACTTTGGTATTTGGCCGATATAGTTTCCCTCCAGCTCCATTCTTGAATTTCTGGCTGGGCACCATCCCACAACTCCTACTTAGGAGATACACATGGCTTTTTGCTTGCTAGCAAATTCTTTGATGTCGGATGTCTGTGTGCAACCAATCATGAACGTGTCTATGTGCGATAAGAGTCATAAGAAGTATGAATATTTGAAGTCATATTGATATACCGTATTGTACGTTGTCTCCAGTCATTACATACCACTATTCCATCATGGTGCGTTCCATTTGTCCTCCCAGTCCCGAACCCGATACCTAAAGATATTAAAACAAACATGTGCAGCCTCTATGGCCGCTTGGGCGATAAATCAACAACAAAGTCTATGTCTATCTACCAAATAGACTGAACCGCAACTTCCCCTTCCTAGGGACCGAGCTGTGCCCGCTCATCGGCCGATCGTCGTAGCTCATGATGCTCGAGGCCGGCCTGGGCGCCGTCCTCGGCGGGCTGTTGTTGTACATGTGCTGCTGCGAATGCTGCGGCTGGACCTGAGGCTGCGGCTGCGGCGGGTGGAAATCCCCGCGCAACGCCCTCTCGACGTCGAGGTGCTGGCGCTCGTACTCATCATGCTTTGTCTTGGCATCGACGAAGCGCTGCTCGGCGAGCCGCCGGCGCTCCTGCAGCACGCGCAGCTCCTCGTCGAACTGCGCCATCTGGCCCTGCGCGTCCTCCATGAGGTTATGGTACTCGAGCATCTTGCGCTGCAGCGGCTCGAGCACACTCTTGGAGATGCTGGGGCTCTGGACGCGGCTGATGTCGTCGCCGAGGCCGCCGCCGGGCGGAGAGGGCGGGCGAAGGCCGCCTGGGTTCGGGACCTGCGGCTGCTGCGGCGGCTGCTGCTGCGACGAGACGCGGGGAGGCGGGAGACTTTCCGGGCCGGAGGGGGGCCGCGGGGTGACGCGCCGCCGCTCATCTGGGGGACGGAGGAGGGCGGTTCCGAGGATCCCGGGACGCGGCTTCCCGTGGAGGACTGGCGGCGGGCGTGGCGCTCTGTGCGGCGGCGGGAGTAGCCGCCTGCGCCGGCACCTGCTGCTGCTTCTCTAGTAGCAGGGCTCCATTCGTCTGGGTTCTCGCCCATGTAGGGCGGGAGCTGCGACTGGACGGGCGGCGGTTGGGAGCGGCGGTTCTGAGATGCGTTGGCCATCGAGGGCGGTCCACTTCGGGGGCCTGCGGCGCGTGCTTGACCGTTGCGAGCGCCGGGGCCTGTTGGGACAACTCGCTGCTGCATTGAGGTCAGACTGTGTGTGCGCTATGATGAGGATGATTGGTGGAGGATGAAATATATGGAGGGAGGGGGGGTTGGGTTGGGGCGGTCTCATAAGAGGCGCTCAAGTGAGTGAGTGAGTGAATGAGTGGTTGGGTGGGCGAGTAAGAAACCAGAGTGAAAGTGAGTGTATTTTGCGTTGAGATTTTGAATGGAGGCTGGTGCGTGTTTCGCCCAGCTTTGCTTTTTTTTTTTTTTTTTTTTTTTTTTCCTTCCCCTCGTGTTTACTTGGCAGTGTCTATCCGAACTCACCTGTTGATGCGGTGCCTGCGCGAGTACAGCGTCATGCAAGGCAGCGTCTGAATTAGGTGTCCGCGGGGCTTCACCGCCTCCTCCGCCGACGGTGGTGAAGCGAGAGTCGTCGTCGAGCGAAGGCGAACGAGGTCGTCGATACCGGCCGTTTCGCCCGGCCTCTCGGGGCTGACGCGAAGGGTCGTTGTTTGAATCGTACTGCTGGCCGTATTCGACAAAGTCGCCAGGGAACATTGGGGGTGAGCCCTGGTGTTGCTGTTGTTGGATTCCCATGGCCATGATAGCAAACGAAACGGGGTCGACGTCCCTTGCGGCGTCGATCTCGGGCGGAATTTTGGTGGCGGTTGCCCCGGAGGTGCGGATAGAGTTGAATTGAGTGAGATGCACCAACAATAGACAATGGTAGCCGTTGTAGTTTCACTCGGAGACGGAAGCCAACTGCGCTGCGCAACGAGAAGAGCCGTTTGGAAGTCAAAAGGACGAGCTAACGAAACAGAGAAAGGACCACAGACACATTCCAAAGAATCTCGACGCTCTCGGACTTTCAGGGTCAGTTATTTTTTATCTCTACTTGAGATTCCAAGTGGCTGGGAAGCACTAACAATTTCGTTATCCACTCAAATCGCACCACATTTTATTATTACGTGCAGCGCTGCAGCACAGTGGTTGCATGTCAATGACAATTGCAGTGGCTGGGGATTAGGAGGACTCCCCACTATTTCATCCAACTCAACTTGCCTTCAGCTTCTCCAAGTGACCCCAGCCTCCGATTTTGACGGCTCGGTGCGTGTCGTCTGCCCACGCCGCCCTACAATTCAAAGACTTGTCTGCGCCGATACCACCGTCTTTCGGCCTTCCGGGCAGCAAAGAGGCGGGACGGGTGGGATGGAGTACTGGGAGTCGCCACGAGTTGTCGTAAATTGCGTCCGGGGTGCCACGGGAAGTGGGCTCTAGCACTGGAGAGAGCCCCGTCCAACTGCACTCCAAAGACCAAGGTAAAAATAGCACACTAGAGCAGATGATAAGTTACAAGCGTAGGTTCGAGTCTCACCTCTGGGAGACAACCTACTCTATTCCCAGCTTTACCACAACATCAGCTTTGTTGAGCTTGCCATCACGATAATACTAATAGTTACGGTTACTGCATGGCAATTAGTTGTGCAGGGTTTCCCGCTAATCGACACATGGGAGCGCCCCTTGATACGATGCCTTATTTGACGACACACCATGAGTTCGCCAATGTAGATCTCCACCGTTCGCGCTCTTTTAGCTTGAAATCCATCGAACATGGCCCCTGGCCATTCCCTGCTTCACTCTTTCGCGTATCGTTGCTATTGGTCCTTTGGAATATTCCCCCTTGAGAACCGGGAGGGTTTCCTTCTTTCATACAGAAATCCAGCCCTGCAAGTAATGTACTCTCCGGCAGGATATCCGAGCGCATTAGTAGTCTCCTCTCTGTCCAGAGTATCCTCTGGCAATATCGGTTGTACGGTATCTTATTGGCCTCTTTTCTCAGCCGAAAACGTTGCGATGACGATCAGAAGCTGCGGATTCACCCTGTTAAGCGATTCGCTGCCAAGAAACACCTGTGGAACCAGCGCATGGCAGATGCGGTTGAATTGAGTAGCTGTTTGAGTATCGTTACTTCGTCTTGGTCTGTCTAACATCTATTACACAGAATTGCCGAAGGCGTGGAAACCCTTAAGTTTTAAACACCAGTTAAATAAGGCATGCTTGCTGAAGCGACCCAGCGCGTTGTTGAGACACTCTGGAGAAACCAATGAATAATAAGTAACTAAATCGCCGCCACTGAGGGCTGGGTCTTGTTGAGGAGAATGTTGCGGGTCCATCTTGCCATCAGGGCATAGCGGCGGGCGCTCCCTTGGCGACAAGCACGATCGTAAAGGTTTCATGACTGATGCAGCCATACATCTCTACGAGACTCGGTGGCATGCGCAGCTTGTCTCCATGTTATTGCGGCTTACTGTGGCATTGAAGATTGTTATGAGATACGCGCCGTCGTTGTTGTAAGTTGATCAATGAAGCAGGTCGAATCTATGAAGCCAAAATAGCGGTATCACTATGTTAAACTGCAAGGTTCCGTGTAATCGAAGACGGGACGTACGGTGAATGCAAAACGGGCTTTCGCAGTGGTATTCGTAACTGTAGTTTAATTTCTTGTACACAAGATTCTAATGTATCTCGGACTAAACAAACAAAACAAAATTCGCCAGGTCTGAGGCTTTTCCCATTGCCTTATTTCCTCGAACGTTTCGTCTTCCTTCCGTCGCGATCATGCGGAAGCCGTTCCTTTCCTCCCGGCGCCGCCGTTACCTTCACCTTTCCTTCCCAATCCGTAGCAAACCCGAGGGAAGGGATATGTGGAGGTCACGTGCACTAGTCTTCCCGCCGGATAAGCAGGCGAGCCAATGGCCGACGGACTCAGCGGCACTGCGTAAATCCGACGTCACATCGCGTCGCGTCAAGCTCCCTCTCTTACGTCAGCAGCTACTCTACCTTTGTAGGAAAGAGCAGCAGCAGCAGCAGCGACAGCGATTAGCTCCAGTGGAAACCCGAGGCCAAAGCTCCTCCCGCGCGACTCAAGAAAGCTGACCCGGAAACTGGGACTGCATCTCCTTCATAATTTCCACCACTGCCGCCCATCACCAACAAGGCTTCGAATCAGTCCACCACGCTGTCGCGCCGCGTCGCAGATACCTCACTCTGCCCAAATTGATCGTTGTTATCGGCGGTTTTTCTTGGCCACCACCACCAAAAGCGAAGTGGGATTTTTATTTTTTTTCGCAACGTTGTCTTATCGAGATCGTGTAAAATCGGCCGGCGCAACGTCACCGTCTGTCTCCCACGGCATCCGAGAGCGCGCAAACGCCTAAACCATCAACAGTTTTCCCAGACCAAGTCCATCCATCCATCATGGCTCGCCTGACCGAATCACCCGCGCCGCCGAACGGCACACAATCCGTCAAGATGTCGCAGGCCACCTTGAGGAATGGTGCCCTTAACTTCCTGTCTTCCCCCGCCAGACCCTCCGGCTCGCAGTCGCCGCACCCGAGCAAGCGCGTCAAGAGCCTCGCCGCCACCGGAACCCCTCGATCCGATGCGTCGCGATCCCACTCTCCACCCTCCCAACGACTGTCCCCGCAAATTCCCGTCAGCCCTTCACCGCGTAAGGCCTTGAGCGACACCGCCGGCGACGACTTGGATGCTGCTGATCGCAGCACTCCCGCCGACACCGTCTCTGCCGCTGCTGCCGAGGAGCCTGCAGACGCCGCCACGCCCCCGGGACTGGTCACAGCCAAGGGCGCAACTCCCGATGTGGAAAGGACCTCGTCTACGCCGGAACCCAACGCACAGCGTCCTGGGACTAGCGTGCTTTCGTCTGTTCGGAAGACGTTCCACTCTGCTGTCAATAACCTCACCGGACAGCGCACCGGCACTACGACCATCACTTCAACATTCGAGCAGACAGTTGTCAGCCGCAAGCGCAGCAGAGAGCCCGAGGCTGATGAGACGCCTGCCCCTGGTGACAAAGAGATCGAGAACAACATTGATGCTGCCAATGGAACCGAAGGCAACGATACTACAATCCAGCTTGGTAATCAGTTCGAGTCAGAGGTTGCGGCAGAGGGAGTCCGCGCCAAGAGCCCCGTGAAAGAGGCCGTTCAAGGTAATAAGAATCCTGTCTTATCTGAAGTACAACATTGACTTAGTACAGTTGCCTCTCCTTCTACAGATGACGCCGAAATCAACGTCGCCACTGCCACTGATAACTCAGATACCGTCGAGGCCGCGGCACCTGCCCAAGATGCCCCCCTGAAACGGCTGATGACGAAGACGTGGAAATGGATGACCCCAAGAACGGCATTTTCGTGCTTGACAAGATTATCGGACATCGCCGTGATCCCAGGGACAAGACACTTTTCCAGATGCACGTCAGCTGGAAGCACGATGAGCCGACCTGGGAACCTGAGCAGAGCATTCAGGAGGACGCCGAGGAGGCGCTGTTTGCCTACTGGGACAGCGTCAAGGGCGGCCGGCTAGGCGCCATGGCTGATAAGAACCTCTGGCACGTGCTGAAGATCGAGAAGCACAAACAGAAGCCCTCCGGCGCTGTTCACTTTCTCGTGTACTGGATTGGATCGCCCGATCGGTCTTGGGAGCCTGAGAGCCAAGTGGAGGTGTATGCCCGCCAACATGTCGAGACTTATTGGAAGTCAAAGGGTGGACGTGACAAGAACATCAAGACTGCTGCTGCGCCGGCCAAGCGAGGTCGCGGCCGCCCTCGCAAAAACACTATTCCGGAGTCGGCGGCGGCTGGAGCTGGAGATGAAGCTGCGGAGGATGTTCCCAAGGAGACCAAGCCCAGGGGCAGACCGGGCCGGAAGCAAAAGCGCGACGAGGCGGCGGCTGAGGCGGAGGCCGAAAAGACAGAAGAGGCGGTTACTGCCGAGGGCACAACTGAGCCGACTACCAAGGAGCCGGTCGAGACTGATGGGGAGCCGCCCAAGAAGCGCGGTCGCGGTCGTCCCCGCAAGAACCCCGTGTCATGAGCTCGCTGTGACGATGGGGCCATTCTGACGGCCATAGTCAGACGTATTGGCTTACTCTGAGATTGGGGTATAGGCAATGATGCCGCGGACTCCCCGAAAAGACGATGCTCTGGTGACTGGAAAGCCGGGATGTGTGATAAGAGGACAGACCGGGGTTGTGTATTATACGCTCTTGTCGCATTTTGCTTGCAGCTTTGGCGTCTTTTCAGGTTCTAAATACTATGACGATTTGCCCTCCCACTTGTTTCCCGCCCACTCCTTCCCAGCGGAAGCTTTGTTCAGGCCGCAAGCAAGCAGGCATTCATGATGCCTGCTTGCGCTTAACCCGATACTCTTAGGCGAGAAGGAAAACTCCATGCTTCAATTGTGACGAGGGCTTTTGTCTCCTTGTGAGCCTAATGAACCTTGTTATTTATTTCAAGACGCTTGCATTGTCAAAGCCGGACTCTTGCGTTCTATAATGTGCGCTGAGCTCCCGCCTTTCATACACCTCGACAAAGGAGACGGTTATGCACAACAGTAAAGCAAGTGCTGGAGCATGTCGACAACTCCACAGAGCCTTGCCCTTAGGTACGTTCCTTGTTTGCCCTTCTGACGGCACAAGAGCATACTGAGAAGGTTCTCAACCATGGTAATATTTGGTCTGGGCCGCTGCACGGTACGGGCACCAGCTTCACCGCCGCTTCACAGCCGCCGCTCGACAAAAGTATTCGCAAGCTCGGCCTCGAACGAGCAATTGTGGCGTAGCCGCGTCCAGCGTCAACCCTCCTTCGTCCGAAGCCAGCTCGGCCACCTTCGTCTTCCGGCCAGGCGGGTCTATTCCATTGGGCAATTGTTTGTTTGCTTGGGGGTGCTTGGTCCGGGCGGGAACTGAAGCATGAGCCCATGGGCGCTGCAGGGAGGATGCCCGTCTGCTGTTGCAGGGCTCCAGTCATGAGATCCCCTTCTCCAGCTGCTTGCAAGCAGTTTGGCATGTCACGATGTTATATGCGCTGCCGCATAGCCGGTTTGCGTGTGTGGGCGTCCCAGGCTAACGGATCCCTCGCCCGTTTCGAAGGGGTAGGTTCCGCGCCGCGCCAAGCCCTACCCGGTCTTGCGTGTCAGCGCTTGCGCGGCGAAGTCCCAGACATCAACCTTTGATGTGTTGTTCTATTTTGGCAGCTGGTTGGTAAGGCGCTACATATTGTAGCCTGGTTTCAAAGGCAAGGCCTAGCAGATTGGAAGGAGGATCTCGGTGCCCCAACACTGGCGACTGACGTGAAAGACGACCTGCAAAAAAAAGTTGCATTCAAGCAACCGCGCACTGAAGCTGAGGGCACATTGCTCCAGCCTCTTGGCTGTCAAACTAGGCGTTTACTCCAGGCTGTGCTTTTGTGCGCTCACTGTTGCACCTTTTTGGTCATGCCGCCGTTCATTGGACGAGAGATAGTGTTCGATGGCACCCCGAATTGCCTGGAGGCCTGCCTGATCCATTGACCGTCGCGCACAGCAGTAATTGACAACTTAACGAGACCATAGGTATATGAGAGCATCTTGGAAAACAAGTAAAATTCAGTTGTTGTAGCGAAAAGCTCGTCGATGAAGTTGATGAGTATTGTGGTGTGGCATGTAAAAACGAGTCCCATGATGTGTACCGTTGCTTGAGGTGGAGTTTAACACTCCATCCTACTTATTTGTGATTGTGTACGCTTCTTCCAGTCCATAAAATGCCTCTTTTCCATTCGAGTTTATCTTTTTGTGAAGTGCACTCCTTGCTGTGTTTGTACAATCGAACTCCCATGCCAGGTGGATGATTTATGCTCAGATAGCCAAGGCAAACAGGAAGTTCTTCTGAGCATATCACGGCGTGACACGTTTCAGTACTTACAGTAAAAATCCAACTGAGCAAGGATTTTCTACGGCTGGCTTGAAGGTGGAGGGGTCTTCATCGTGAATGGCGTAGTTGGCCAGTTGGTTGTTACCACCCCCGCTCGTCGGGGTGCGCATCAACTGCCCGCATTGAACTTTTTCTACTTTATAGACCCGGCTCATTTATTGTCCCGCGCAGAGCCTTGAGGAGCGAGATCGTAGAGAGTTTCCATACCGCCGTCTATGCAGCTGCTACACGCATAAATGTTGCCGGGATTCAACCGCTCCTCTCCATAGTCTCGCCCACCTTTGCTCCAGGAACATAGACATGTAACGTTGCAGGGGGAGAATTGCGCGTAGACCTTTTATACGAGTATATAAACTATGTTCGTGTCGCCTTCAATTCTTCTAAGGGATGTTTCTCAGCTATGACACTCTTGATTTTCTGCCCCCATCCTCGATCAAGCATCGCAGTCTCCGAGATCTGACAGATTAAGAACGTCTTCAAAAGCCGATGGAGGCCGCCGGGCTTGCGGCTACTTGCCAAGCTCTGGCAGTAGCGCTGGGGGGGCTCGTCAAGTTCTTGATGAAGATTCACGATGCGCCGAAGGAATGGGAGCGATATTGTGCATTGTCAGATAACTTCTGCCAGGTAATTATGCCATGGTCTCCGCACGCCTACTCCGAAGCCGTATTAGACTAACTAGCGAGTTATAGCTATCGAGAGCAATAGAGAGTGTTACACACAACATGAACGGCCTCGACAAGATAATCATCGTCCATAACAACCAGAATGTCGGCCTCATCGAGTTTTGCGTAAATAATGTTCGAAACGCACGCGACGATGCAGTTGAGATCTTGAGCAAGTTTGAACAAAAAGGCAGCTCCAAATTTAGCTCTGTAACAAGATTTTTCAGCCGAATGGGCAAGCAGCTTCTGTTTGTTCTTCAAGAGCAGAACATTCAGGGTTACAGTGAGCGTGTAGAGACGGCCATGGCTGGGCTGGGCATCGCCCTCCACGTTGCCTTACTAGCTAAGACACAGGATGCGTGCGTACGGTGGTTTTTTCTGGTTACAGAATGAGACAAGGAAAGATGCTGACTCAAGTGGCTCTTTTTTAGGCACGACGATAACAAGAAAGCAATCAGCGATTTAACGAAGCACTTGGCTGCCAACCTGGATAAGCTGGAGAATAACCACCAAGAAACCCGTAGAAATCAGGAAAACAAGACCATCCACGTCGTTGTTGCGCCAGCCCACCACCGTTATCTTTCTTGGAAAGCAACCCAGCGAAGTCGGAGCAAACACACCAGGCAACCTCGGATCGCTCAGACCTCGACAACCGAAGTCCTAAATCAGCCCGTGGTGGCTTCCGAGTTACCTCAAGTCGGCTTCTCGCCGGGTCCGCAACGAGACCTTAGTGTCGAGTCAAGTGGCTCGTCTGACGGCATGCAACGATTGCCAGAGCATGTACGTGAGAGGAGACTTGAGTCTCTTGCGCATGCATGCCGGACCCCGGACACAGGCTGCGAGCTCCCGCCGCTCGACGAGCAAGCCGATAACATCGAAGTCAGGTGTGAGGATGGCAGTGTAGCTTTCATTACTGCTGAAACGACCCATGACGACACAAATGAAGTCATCGATGCCGAGAAAACACGGGTCAACATGTCGGACCAGCTATCAATCACCCGCACTACCCAGGACGGTAACAGCCCTCACTGTGATGCGGACGACCTTTTGGAATTCTTGGCCAACGATGCACCCGGGAAAGATTATCCCACCTCCGTTGAAAAAGACATGACGAAATAGGTTACGACAACCTCTTACTTCCGCTTCAAGTTTGTGTCGTTGAACAGTGACGGTACAGACAGTGACAGCGCAGACAGTGAAGGATCGGATTCGTCGGTTATCTAATTTCTTTGTGCCGAGAAATTTCTCCTGGAGCAGGATTAATGCTTCTCGAAAGTTGTTGCGCGCAAACCATGTGTCGAGTTCCCATTGTGTGATCACTCCAAGATACAGCAACTGGATGGCGGCATGGCTACCAAGGAGCTTATTGAGTCGAACGAAGGGCAGATCGTACTAGACTTAGACAGTGAAAGGGGAACCTGGCATTGCGCTCAGATGTTTGGCGCACCATGATTAGCAATCGTAATATGGGTCAGTCGAGCTAATTTCCTAAACTTGACAGAGTCATTTCTTCCATATATCTAAAGCTTACACTAGAGCTACTGCTCCCTTTTTGGGATGTTGCCAGGTAAATGTATGTGCCCAAAGCTCTTCGCCACAATTTGATAAATGATGACTATTTGCATTCAAAGAGGAGGGTAGATTTGCACTTGAACTTAGCCCTGTCACGGCAGGATCATATTGCGACAGTGATACTGTTGACACTGCGATTCTCAATAATTTGGCTGATGAGAGGTGGAAGGCTGAGTGTGTATGCCATTGACAACCGCAGAGCCCGAACGCATGCCTCCTATCAGAAGTCTGAAGAGAGCCCACAGGGCCAACGCGCGCAGTCTACGCGAATCCACACATCCGCTTCGCCCCTCCGGCATCCTCTTCGTTGTGACCCTCCGTCTCAAAAAGCCTTGATTTCGCTGCGTCCGGCCAAGATTGTAAAAAAGAAACTGCGGCGGCTCCACCTCTGTCTCCAAGACCACTCCCGGCCCCGCGGCTGTTGCGGGCGCGTGTGTGTTTTCTTGTAAGGGAGAAAGGGGATGGTGTTGGAGACCTGAGGTGGACTGTGCCAGGTCCTATGGGAGAGTGCACCGAAAAGCCTACCAATTTGCCGTATGTACAAGCCTCAAAACTTATAAGTGTGAGACGTGAATTACCGCACGTGATGGTCGCAGGTTCATTGCATGGCCGAGCCAGGGGCTTCAAGTAATTTGGTACCCACGCCTCAGAGTTTGAATCGCACAAGCAGCAAGAGGAAGACTCGATATAAAAAAAGACTGGAAATGAATTACATAAGTGGCAACGCCTTTTCCGAGTGGGCAGCCATGGCCCAGTGAGATATCATCCATAGAACCCATCCCATAAACAAAGCGGTATCATTGAGCAATCGTGTCAAGCAAATCCATAACCCAGCCGCTGCATACCAAACCCTGAACACCATACCCGTTACCCCCTCGTACGTTAGTTGCGGCGGTCCATCACCGTCCCAAGGGCGCATAGTCCTGGGGATTGTAGGAGTACGCCTGATACGCCTGCGGTCCCTTGACCCTGTGTTGCGACGCCTCCATCGCCTTGAGGGGGTTCCCGCGATGCTCCTCCTGCGTCTCGGGGTGCGTGGGCAGCTCGGACGAGAAGCCCTTGTGGTCGAGCGCGGGGCTCGCGAAGCCGCTGCTCCCTTCGGATGACGCCATGCTCGTGGGACGCGAGCTCTGCTGCGAGGGGCTGTGTTGCCCTTGGGACCAGCGCCATGAATTGGGGTCCGGCGACAGCTGGGATTGCTGTGACATTGAGTCGCGGTCGGGATGCAGACCGGGCGACGGCTGCGGCGGTTGCAGGTTGTTTGATTGCTGCTGGTGCTGCTGCTGTGGGTGGTAGAAGTTGCCCGGCAGTTCGGCGATGAAGGACGTCTGCGGTGCGTTCTGGGGCGGTTGCAGGTCCGCCGAATGGCTGTACTGGTGCCCGTAGCTGCCTTGCGACGCGGGTCTGTTCAGCATCGACACTGGTCTGGGGATTTGGTAGGCGTTGGGGGGAGAGTAAGACTCTGGTCTCGGACTACCGTCGGGGCGGTGGTTGGGGAAGGTCGGCGACTGCAGGCCAGACAGCCCCGTGGTGGTGCGGTCGGCGGGATTGATGGTCTTGAGCTTCCCGTTCTCGATCATGGCCTGCAGCACCCCGGCGTCCAGCAGCTCGGCCTTCTTGATGATCCGCGACACCATCTCCTTGCTCGCGGCCTTTTGCTGGGTCTTGACGAAGCTCACCATGGTCACGTTGCAGCGGATCTCAATGTCCTCGCGCAGGTAGAGCCCGTCGGCCGGGACGCCCAGGCCGGACATGCCGATTTCGGGGGGCTGGGGGGGTTCGATGCCAGGTTGGTTGCCGTCGATGCGGTACTTGATGCGGATGTCGATGTTCATGGGCGCATAGGTGTGCGTCTGCAGTCCCCAGGGCATGTCGTGGAAGCAACCGTTGAAGCTGATCTTACCGGAGCCAATCTTGCCGATGCCGGGGATGTACTGGATGCGCTGGCTGATCTCGTACCAGGTCGAGTAGTACTCGTCGGAGGCGGCATCGCGGGGCGCCTTGATAGGCTTGTGGTCGAGCACGAGGGGTTGAGGGTGATGACCTCGGAGTGGGAGTGGAGGATGTCGATGGCGAGCTGGCGGGGGATGAAGCCCGGGATGGGCGTCACGGTCGTGTAGACCTCTTTCTTGCGCAGCATCTCTCCGGGTTTGGGAGCCGCTCTCTCTGCGTCTCGTTACGTTGCAGGGTGTGTGTCTTTGCGTGTTCGTCGGGGTCGAGGTCGCGACGCGATCTTGATGCCGGGGTTGCGGAGCGTCAACGGTAGGTGTTTGGTCGAGATGCCGGCTTGTCAGATGCGAGGGAGGGATGAGGAGGAACAAAAAGGAAAGATGGCAGATCTGACAATGACGAGTGCTGCTGACGGGAGGGCCGCGCGAAGGATGGCGAAGAGAAAGCCATCTGCAGCTTGAGCCAAGCCATGGCAGCAAAGGTCACAGCCCCCCGGGCCAGGACCCTTCCACTCGCTAGCCCCGAGTCCAAGTGGGAGCGTGGGAGCGTGGGAGCCACAAGGGGGGGGGAATTGGAGAAGAAAGGCTTGGGCAAACACCTCGCAAAACCACACAAAACCACACAGCCAACGGCAGAGCACAGGTCGGGATGCAGCTTGTTGCGTGCGCATGGGGGCAACTGGCAAGGACTCCCCAAGGCAAGGCGGCGGTGGAGGGGTGCTTGAGAGGGGCTTTGGGAGGGCGCGCTCGGGACGTCGCGGGCGTCTCACGTCATCTCGCGCGCACGGGTACAGATGATCCGCCCCCGGTTCCACAGCGCACCGGGGAGAGTAATGATCTTTTGCGCAATTGTGGGGGAATACAGGTATGTAGTGTACATCTTTTAGGTGCATCCTGATCTTCGTCCAACCGCTGCTGCTGCCATTGCTTTGGGGGACGCACAATGAAGCCAAAACTTGGTCAGTGTTCAGTCAAGTCACCTTCCCTCCCCCAATGGATTCCCCTCCATATTTCTCGCCTTGGCTGCCTTCAGTGCGTTTTCCAGTGGTCGGAGGCCGCTAAGTCTGGCTAAGCGAAGCCGAAGGATCACTAGAGCTGCGCCAACGAGGCGAAGTGGCCAATCACATCACGCGGGGGTCATCCGTTCCGCATGGAGCCCGTCGCTGACTGATGCTACTTAGATAATCATTCTTCCTTGCGACCGCGCACCTCTGATTCGTGCTCCTTCCCTGAGGGCCCACCTTCCCCCATCAGTCACCCTGGCTGGCTGTCCTTGGATCTACAGAGTAAAGTCCATACACAAACACATTTGACAAGCCAAATCAGGGCCTTCCGAGACACTCCCAAGGGCTGACAATGGCACCTAGGCTCCCCTCCCCCCAGCTACCCCTGGTGTCCGGATTCTTCAGCTCTCTCCGCTCCTGAGGGGGCCGTTACGGCATTTCCTGGCATCACGATGCCTCCTGATCGACCGCGATCTTCAGCTCCTTCAGGAGTCTTGGACGTCCCAGCTCGGGGTCTGAGACGACGGCCATGCCTAGAGACTGCATGGCAAACCCGACCTTCTCCCTGCCGCCTGGGCTGAGGAGAGCTGAGGAGCGCCAGGTTCCACCATCGCCGGATGATTGGCCCGCCGTCTGAGTTTGGGGCCGTTGGAACTCTGGGAGGGCGCTCGGGGGGGGGGGGGGGGGGCAGCGGGCATCCTTTCTTTGTCCGTTCAACAATGGGCTTGTCATGTCATGATTGCTCATTGTCCGGGGCTCTTCCATCTCATCCCGTCTTAAATCGCGGGATCGCCATCACGAGGTTGCCGACATGAAAAACGTTCGTCAACAAACGTTGTTGACGCCAGCCAACCACGGAAATTGTGCATAGTCGCTCAACGTTCAGCATCCCTCACCTACTGCTCTCGAGGAGACCGGGAGACATGCTGTCGGCGATCATGCATCTCCGCCACTCTTCTTTCGCATGAAGGACTGAACCGGGTAATTCCTCATCGACGGACTGTCTGGAATGTAAAGTGAGACTACCATGGGCGACTCTTGTCAGCTGTACGCCGTCGCAACTACCGCTAGCTGGAGGGGGATACTGTCGCTTTTAGGCCGTCATCTTTTACTCCCGCGAGGAAAGATAAGCTTCCGGGTGTCCCAAACGGCAAATGCGAATGCGGCTGCGCTTACCAAGAGAAACCGGCAGCCCTCGTCAATCTTGGCCATCACCGGTTTTGCATTGCTGCCGAAGTCGCATCACGGCGGAGCCCCATTCCGCGGCCTTGTCGTAATCCGTCGACCGGCCAGCCCAATTCGGGCAGCTGCATGCGAAACGCTGAGAATCTCTCGACCCAAGACCATTGAGGCTGATGTTCAGCTTCGTCCACTACGCTTCGTCACTTCGGGATGCCCTCGCAAATCTGTTGTCTCCCGCTGATGGCCTCGGCCAAAGATGCAACCCTTCAGAGTGCCGGCCGCAGAAGCCGCGCCGAACGCCAAGCTCGTCGTTCCTGCCGCTCAATCCCACATGGCTCGCTAGCATGTCTCACACTCCGTTTCTCGACCTTGCGGGGGTGGCTGACATATTACACAAACGCATCGGCATTAAATCTCTTCCTTCATTGAGTGGCTGCAGTACCTTGAAAACGTGATGGCAGCCTGCCTGTGCGAGGAGACGTTGAGATATCTGAATGTAGTGCCGCATACGGATGGGCAAGGACGGCGCGTTATCAAAGTCACTCTACTTACCCATGTTGACCCTTGAGGCCTTTGATATTATCATCCCTCGTTTCTAGGGATTCGATGATGATAGATAGACTTCGACTCATCGTCCCCGCCGCCGCCCTCCTGGAAGCTGCCTGCGCCTTAACCCAGCAATTTGAGAAATCATGACACAAACTCAAACATCGTAGGGCAGAACCGGCGATATGGTTTCCTGGGCTGCGCCGCCTTCAAACGGCCGAATATTGGACGACATTGAGGTCCTTGCTGAGTTGCGGATGAGCTGAGCCTTGAAAACACGTTTTCACCCGTTGCTTCAGCCTCGATATCAGACTCGACTGCCACCAATCTTCTCTTCGAGTTTTGCCAGGTGGTTTCAACCCGCCATCGCCGTGAAGAGAAGCCGGCAAGTTTTACACTCGGCTATGTATTTTGCCGGCGGGCTTATGACTGTCCCAACTGCGCGGGCTCCCAGTCCTTTCGCTTCACAATCTGATCGCATCCGACTCGCAATAACGCGGCCGGCAGCATGCAAACCATCCTTGCACACGTTGGTCAACCAATGGCCTGCTCTTGTCCTCAGTGACAAGCCTTGATATGTTCCCTACCGGAACTCTCGGTTTCTCGGAAACCTCAAATGCCTGCCAAAGGAGACATCAATTAGTCCTGCAGCGCCGCGTCGACCCCCGTTAGCAGTTCGCGCTAGCAATTCAACCTCACTTGCCGATCCCACTTGCCGAAGTCAAGATGTTCTAGCTTTCTTGGCGGCAACGACACCCCTCGAGATTGCAACTGAGACAATCCAATTGGTCCTTTTGATCCAGCGGAGCCTGGGTTGTTATTTGGGCACGTGGAGCATGCGACGAACCAAGTGGGTGTCTTCCCCAGGATTGCGGGGGCGGAAGAGGGCGGAGAATCTGGGGGGAGCCGCCTTCAAGCGGAGGCGGTCGAGATTGGATTCTTCTAACCAGACATACAAGTCTTCTCCAGAGCCGCCATTTGTTTACGCTTGTCTAAATCTCTTGATGCTCAAATTCTGCTTCACAGAGATGCAGGGGAGCTGTGTTGCCGCCGAGGCCGATCTCCCGACACAACCAATGGTCGAGAGCCTCTGCACGATGGTATCTTTGATACAACTCAGTCCACATTTGGAGGAGAAGAGGCCCCAATCTTCTCGGGGAACAATGCATGCAGTACAACCTTGGTGATGCCGTATTGTTACCCCGCAGGAAATCCCACTTGGAAGGATACCCAAACAAGGAGGGTGCGGCAACGCCAAAGCTGCAGCAAGGTCCCCAAAGGATTGTTGCCCCGGTAGGGTTGGAGTGCTGCAGCAGAGCAAGGGTCATGAATTCGGCATTTCGTCTGGGGTCGTGATTGGAACGTCCGGCGGAGCGTTTTGGATTTAAATACAGGGCTGTCACCGCCGTGGAATGGAGGAGCCTGGATCAAGCCGTTCTCTGAGTACCTGGGACCGACTTCGACGACACATCCGCGGCCTGTAGAGACGGATGCCAGCCTTTTCTTTGACCCTTCGCCGCGGTGACTTGTAAGATTTTGCTTTTTGGAAGTCAAAGACTCGCCACCCGAATCTCTGGACTTCGAACATGTCTTTTACCGAGAAAGAGGTGCCGAAGGGCGCCCATGTTGAGGGTGCGACTGAGGATCGAGTGTCCATCAGTGCTGCTCCCATCGGGGATGGAATCCACACCGCAGCCGGGAAGGGCCAAGTCGCAACAGACAAGTAAGACACTCACTCTCCTGCTCTGAATCGCTTATTGGTCCTGTCGTACTGACTTGCCAACGCCAGGTACGGCCACCCTCTTGTCGAATTCGACCCCGTAGCGGTCCGCAAGCTTCGCTGGAAGCTCGATCTGTACACGATTCCCACCGTCGCGTTGCTGTATCTCTTTTGCTTCATCGATCGTGCGAATATTGGTAAGCTAAGCTCTTACTGTTCACCCACACCTACACACTTTCTTCTAACATGCCTATGTCTCCAAGGAAACGCTAGAATCGCTGGCCTCGACAAGGACCTCGACCTCAAGGGCTACGACTACAACATTGTCCTCTCCGTCTTCTACGTCTCCTACATCATCTTCGAGATCCCCGCCACTGTTGCCTGCAAGTGGATGGGCCCCGGATGGTTCCTGCCTCTCACGTCGCTCTTGTTCGGCATTGTCTCCATCATGACGGCCCTCGTCCACAACCGCGCCGCCATCTGCGGCGTGCGCTTCCTGCTCGGCATCTTCGAGGCAGGCATGCTCCCGGGCATCGCCTACTACCTCTCAAGATGGTACCAGCGCGCCGAACTGACCTTTCGTCTATCGCTGTACATGGTCATGGCCCCCCTGGCCGGCGCCTTTGGCGGTCTTTTGGCTTCAGCCATCCTCACCCTCGACTCGTTCGGGAGTCTCCACCGCTGGCGGATGATCTTCGCCATCGAGGGCATCGTCACCATCATCCTGTCCATCATCGCCTTCTTCACCCTCACCGACCGCCCCGAGACCGCGCGGTGGTTGACCCAGGAGGAGAAGGACCTCTGCATCGCTCGCGTCAAGTCTGAGCGCGTGGGTGCCACGGAGGTCATCGACAAGATTGACAAGACCAAGCTGAAGCGCGGCATGTTCAACCCCGTCACCCTCGAGATCGCCATCATCTTCCTTTTCAACAATATCACGGTGCAGGGCCTGGCCTTCTTCCTCCCGACCATTGTCGCCAGCATCTACCCCACCTTCTCGACCGTCCAGAAGCAGCTGTACAGCGTGCCTCCCTATGCGGTCGGAGCGTTCTTTACCATCGCGTTCCCTGGCCTGAGTTGGTACCTTGATAGACGCCAGGTGCTCATCGCCCTGAGCGCGCCGATGGTCATGTGTGGATACATCATGTTCCTTGCGTCCAAGGTGGCCAAGGTCCGCTACGGAGCGACCTTCCTCATCGCCAGTTCCGCCATGGTGCTGGGTCCCATGTCCAACGCCCACATCAGTGCCAACGTCGTCAGCGACACGGCGCGCAGCAGTGCCATTGGTATGAATGTAAGTTTGCTCCCCCCCCCGGCTGCACTCTACGGTGGCACAACGCTAACGTCCCTCACCAGGTCATGTTTGGTAATGTCGGCGGTCTCATCTCTACTTGGAGCTTCCTCAGCTGGGATGCGCCAGACTACCACATCGGCAACGGCCTCAATTTAGCTGCCTCAAGCATGATCCTGATTGTGGCCACCTGCGCGTGGCTCTGGATGAAGTGGGACAACAAGCGCCGCGACGACCGCAGCATCGAGGAGGAGCTGGCGGGCATGTCGGAGCAGGAGATTCGGGACTTGGACTGGAAGCACCCTGCTTTCCGCTGGAGAACCTGAGGGGAGAGATTATGTATACCGCGTCAAATCTGCGGCTGCTATGACCGGCGGCTTATTGGAGGTTGTTATGTAGTCAACCCTAATACCATTCTTATGTGCAAGTCTTGAAACCGCTTTGCCTGTTGTGGTAAGCGACTGAGGCCAACACTATAATGAGGCTAGGCGCTCCCGCATCCCGTGCCTAGTGAGACTAGTTTCACATGTCGTCGATACGAGGTACCTGAAAGTTCATCCAATGGTCCGATCCAAACTAGCCTGCAGGGACTGAAGTTTAGGCCTAGCGCATATCGTAATCAATGACACCGGATTCCCAGGCTAAGACTTACGGTGAACGCTGGACCATGCGTGGGTCGCATTTTGAGACGTAAGCCGAAGATCACTTGCGGCCCTTGACTAACGTCTCGCGTCCACAATTCGTCCTTGATGAGTACGCCAGCAAGCTATGGTAGAGGAAGCGCACGCACAGTTGTTTCTGTTGAGTAGGGGCCAAAGACATCGCACGGTCGGTTATGGTGACGTTAAGACCTAGACTAGTGAGCATGTCACTTCTCAAGCACATCTATCGTGTAGGGGCTGGAATGCATCCATTGGGCAGATGGCTTCGGATGCCTTGAGCCACAGGCTATATTGAGGATTTGACGCGATTGAAGAGAGTTTCAGACCACGTCAACCTAGCTATCAACATTCTGTTGCTGTGGGAAGCTCCCTCCGACTCTTCCGGCAAGGAGATCACAGGATATCATGATGGTATAGGAGTACCAAAGTGTTAAACAGACAAGAAGCCATAGAGCAAAGACGGTGGCTCCGACGCCTCGTTTCCGTTACAGCTCCTCACTCAACATCCGCAGGTCCCCTGTATCCGTTGTGAAGGGTGTCTTAGACCCAAAGTTATCCACCTTCCCAAGCAGGACCTCCAACGCTCTGAAAGAGATGGAGGGCGCGTCGCGTCCGATGAAGTGGCCGGACATTGGCGTCTCAAAGTAGGTGAGACCACGCTCAGAATGCCAGACTCCCAGCTCGCCGGCACCAGCGAGTGTACCCAGGTCTGCATTGCTGTGGTATGGGATATGCAGCGCTGTTTCTGGTCTGATTTGGAAACCATGTGTCCCTCCCCAAGTCATATTCTGGATAGCCAGCATTGTCCCGGTGGACTGCAAGATCAGGTCTCTAAGGCCGTGTCCGATGATGACGTTACCGGTATTTTCAATGATTCTGGGGATCACAGGCAAACTCCCTGGACCAGGGTTTTGTGATTTATCAATGCCGTCGACGAATACTGGTTCCTTGCTGCAAAACCGCCATTCTCTACCTGGAGGCGCGTTGATGGCCGCCTTGACATCAGACCGGTTGAAGTACAGAGGTGCTTGTGCTGGGTAATATCCAAAGTTCTCGCTGAAGCCAATGGGATCGAAGGGTAACGGGCAGGTCCTGAGGACGTTGAAGATACTGAAACACGGGTTCGCATCTCGCTCAGCCGCCATAACAGTTGCCAGAGAATCGCACTCTGGGACGTAATCGCCGTACCTGAAAGCCCCGGGGATTTTGACAGGCTGGAAACCGGACGGGGGAAAGGTGAGGTACTTGTCGATATACTCTGTATAGCCGCACCGGTCTTCGATCTCCTTGACAGCCTTCCGAGTAGTCTCGTTCAAGTTGAACGCCGGACCCCAGTAGTCGAGGACCCTTGACACCCCAAAGTCCTGGCCGAGCACGCTCTGCGATAATGAGGGATCAAATACCATCATGCCTTTGAGGTTATAGTACTCCGTGTCTTTGGCGTCTAGCATAGCGTTGGAGACATATGGCGTGAACAGCCCGCTGTAGGACGAGCCTGCAACGTACACTTTGTAACCCTGCACGTCAAAGGTGTCGACGAACTGTTTCCAGAAGCCTATGAACTGGCGCGCAACGTCGCGTTCATCGGTAGCCGTCACTGGGCCTTGGGAAAAGCCTGTGCCCACGGGCTGGTCAACCCAGACGACATTGGCGAGGCGGTGCCAACTCCACGGGTTGCGAACGGGGGCGTAGGTACCGGGCTTCCATGAAATGGGACCGTTTTCTTGTAAGAGTTCACCAATGGAAGAGCATCCGGGCTGTTGAATGGTTAGGTTCCTTCTTGCTGGGTAGTATGTCTGGAAGCCTTACACCGCCTGTCAGCCAGATAACAATCTCCTTGTCGTCCGAAGGCGTCTCTTTAGGGAAGAACCAGAAATAAAGCTCCTGGGTTTCGTTGCCGCTCGTGGAAGAATTGATTGGGAGTAGCCCCGCATAAGATTCGCTAGCGTCGAAGGCCACATTCGGGATGTTCGTGCCATTGACCGCGAATCCTTCTCAAGTCAAATTGCTTTACGGTTGTTGGGCAGCAGAAGAGAAACTCACTTGACGTTTTGTCGTTTAAAAATGCGTGCTTTCCATTTCGCGACTGAGCCACGTGGGCAGATGCTGCCACGAAGCTGTTGCTCTCAGAATCATAGTCCCAATGAAGGCTTTGTTGGCCTTGCTGATTGAAGATCGCCGAGACAGCTGTAGTCCATGCCAATGACAATGCAAGTTTCTTCATAATGACCCAGTCATGCGTGAATCACTGCACTTTAACCTTCGAGAAATTGATGTTTGAATTGACGACAGCAACTGTGGTTGCCTTGAGCCCTTGTACTGGGCAATTTAATGAGACATTTGTAAGCTAGGTATGCACCATAGCATTACACGCGTCGTCCACGTCGCCAGTGACCTCCGCCAGGCGGCAGGATCCTTCGCTAACCTCAAAGAAGAAAGAGGCCTGCGGAATAGGGCCGTTGGACAGGGAGCGAGTGCGCGTACCATAGTAATACGTAGTTGGGCGGGGACAAGACGCGTCGAAAAACAATCCCTGTCTTATTTATGGTGGCCCAAAGTGAGCGGTTCAGACATTGGTCACAATGTTGGAATGCCAAGACAATCCGTTGCCATCGTTCAGTTGAGACAAATGCTTGGCAAAGAGCCGACGACACAGGTAATCAACAGCTCCCAAACTGACCACGATGCTGTGATCCTACACACAAGAAGCCATGTAGATAATCAAAGCAGCTTCACCGCGCTTCCTATCCTCGCAGTTGAATTTGGGTTCGACAGAAACGCCCGGCTGACCGGCATTGAAGTTGCAATGTCTTGCCTCTTTCTCTAATTATTTATCCATAACAAAATATAAACTTCGCCAGGCAGACCCAGAAGCTGGGGCCAGACCCGCGAACCTTGATATTGGAGAATATGTGGAGATACCCGAGCTCCGAAGCCCGGATCCCTCGCGAGAAAGACAATGGACCCGAGGTCTATACTTTGTGAGAGATTGGCTTGCGTCCGGAACATTTCCCTTGTCCCGAATATGTGCGATAACTTTCTTTCTGATGTCTATCCCATCCTTCTTTCCCGCGTTCCATGAGGCTCAATTGATTTCGCATTGACAGTTCCAGGGATCGGAAAGTTAGTCAATCTTCCGTCGGCAAGTATGTTATTTCGTCTTTGAAGACTAATCAATGTGCCTCATTTGGCAGTTCATCCGCCAGCCTCCAAACTCCATCCGGAGATAAGCGTACAAGATCGACAACGGTATCGTCGATCTTGTTTATTTTGCAAGAACGTCTAACATCATTTTGAGGGCAGACTTTCCACAAGTGACTCTAAGCTAATGCAGGGACAACGCCCTACAGCCAGGATTTGGGGTTACCCTGACCCCGAATATGTGGCTCGCTCGGCGACATCACTGCTGTTCTCGGCGCAGGTATCCGGATCTATCAGTAAAGCCCCGCAGGTCTCCGAAAACGAAGTAGCGGGTTACTTCAGACTCGAGACGCCCCTTGAATATTAACTTTCCTCCTCATGCATTCTTCAGACGAGAGGCTGGAAAGTGGCCTGTTGCCCACCACCATCTCATCCCTGGGCAAGCTGTCCCTGGCGTTTAATCCCCACAAGCTTGAGCTTATGGACGGACTCGCCGCCTCGTTTTTCTCACGCTCTCTCCGACAGGCAATGTTGCCGCGTTAGTTGTTGGAGAATTGTTGCTGGATTTGCCATGTTGACATTGTTCTCCCATCTTTCCACGGACGTAGGTTTAGTCTTATAAATCTCATTTCAACTAGAAGTGTCTGATACTCCTCGGCTCTACTGATACCGCCGGCGCCTTCTTGAGGGCACAGGTGCAGTCGAGTCAAGACGGCATGTACTAAGGATTCATGTTGTGGCAAAGGCCTCTCGACACCACACGCGCTTGTCAGCCCAACCTGTCTCATTCCCGTTTCCATGGTTCAACTGGCATTACAACACATGACTTCGGACTCGCCCTTCGGCCAAAGTGCGCCCAGAAGACCGTTCACCCATCAGATCGGGTAGGTAGACACAATGGAGACGGGTGTCAAGTTTCAGCAATGTTGGGAAATCCGAAGCGCGGCCCTTCTCTCTTACCAATACTCTTACCAATACATTGATGGTTGTGGCATATCTCCTGGTAAGGAGGGCTGCAAAACGCCGAGTCCCTTCAGCGGTAAAACATCAATAATCAGACCGAGCACCCCAGGACCACGTCGCGCTGGTTAGTAACGGGAAATAGTTTAAGAATGCACCTTGCGGATCTGTTCACCGTCAGTGTCAGTATGGCCTTTAGCGTAGTAAAAGCAGAGTGCCGAGTAGCGGGGGGAAATTAAGTAATAGAACAAACATTAAGAAAGTTTGTCGATAACTGAGGAAACATTCCTCAAGATGTGCTGCCGAAACTGAACCGACATTCCGGCCCGGGCATAAAATGAAAGAAGTAGCAACAAAAACCAAGGCTGGCGTGATTAGCCCTGAACCATGTCTCTCCAGGAAACCACCAGAGAAGAAAAGCGTTGCGAAACGGTTGCAACACCGACCTGCGGCTTCTGAAGACATGTGTCTGAACTGCCATCCGTTCCTTTCGGGAAAGATGGGGTCACCGTCGCCTGCATTTCGAATGGTATAGGTACCCAATAGCGGGAGAAGAATAAAAAAAGGTTGGTCCGTAAAGGCCGCAGCAACATCTTAAGATTTCGGGAGCATGGCTGTTTTAGAATAGGACATCGTTACCAGGCAAGAGAAACGACTTTCAGACGAGTCATGGGTCCACTCATGTTGCTTGTCGGCAGGATGGACCATGTGGTTCTGACTGCCTGAAAACCCTCGGGGTAGCGAATGATGGAGAAAGCCAGGCCAAAAGACACCGGTTCCAATCAAAGTTCGAGGCCCGAGACGTAAGGTTGTGGCGCCTGGTTGTAGCCGGCCGCGGCGCTTCCAAACAAACCACAGCCCCTCAACATGTTCGGACACTTCCTGCCCTGCGGAAACGGGCGCCGACACACAGCCAGGGGAAATGAAAGGAAACGAATCTGCACTGACAGGAAATTCAGCAATGTGATTCGTAGGCTTTGTAGGTACTCTGATACCCTGCACCTCAATGCATTGTCTGTGCGAGTGGACTATCAGGGAAATCCTGCTTTCGTCCCAACCTAAACAAGGTTCGAAACAAGCAGCACCTCGATTCGGCGACCACACCAAAACACTCTAGAAAGTCTATCATCCGGAAGTTTCAATCTCCTTAGATGGCTCGCCATGGCGCCCTCCGACTGCCTACGGCGACTTCATCTCATGATTCTGCTTCGCGAAGCTGGACCGGGCTCGGCAGATGTGCACCTCACCGTTTAGACTTATAAGAATAGGCGCACATCCGAATGCTTTGCTTCTTGGTTCTGTACTGAATCTGGATTCGGACTGCAGGCAACGTCGTCAACAACAGCAGCAACGGTCTTTACTTGCCAAGGACAGGCTCAACTTGCAATAATTTCAACTACATTCAATCTTTATCAATAATCGTAAAATTTCGACTATCCGCAAACTCCAAAATGAAGGCCTACGCTGTTGTTCTCTCCCTCGCGACCTTGGCGGTTGCTCAGATGAATGGAGGCGGCGCCCAGCCGGTCCCTCCTCCTGCCCCGGCGGCCGGAGATACCCCCGCCTGCGCTGAGGCCAAAATTCTCGCCGGAGGCATTGCCCTCAACATCCAGGTTCAGCAGCAGGAGGTGAACGGCCTGAATGCTGTCATGCAGGCTCTCTCGGCCAACCCGATCAACCCCCAGCAGTTCCAGACCGCCAAGTCGAACCTCTTGTCATTCGTCAGCGACGGCATCCAAATCCGCCAAGCGAACCAGCTGATTGCCCCTACCGGAAACGGTGCGACGGCAGGACTGGCTGTGGTATGTCAAACTTGGAAAGCACCGTAATATGGAGCCGTCTGACCAAAACATAGGTTGCCAATGCTCAGCTTTCTGAGCTCGAGAAAGTCGCCGGCCTCACCGGAAACCCCCAGCAAGACAACCCTGTTACCCAGTCACTCATGATGGACTTTACCGGCGGCATTAAGAAAAACATGGAAAACCAGCAAGCTGTAAGCATCTCTACCTTGAGCGTATCTGAACGCCGCCAGCTGACGTTCCATAGGCTGTTGTTGGCTGCTAAAGAACATAAGTAATACTTGAAGTGGTCATGATAATGGAAAGCGACGGTGCACGGAACAGGGTTGGGCAACGGCGTTCATGGGTTATGTCTCACTTCATAAGACATCAAAGCAAGTGACTGGGTGGTTGAGACTTTGGGCGAAGTTGATCCTCGACAAGGCCTCGACCGAGATGGAGGGTGCTATGCAGGTTGCTTGAATTCTACTCATTCGACCAATTCGTCGTTCCACATCCTTCATCTAGACCTAGCCCTGTGCCAGTTGATTAGAATAAATCAATCCAGCTTCGGAAAATTGATGATTTGGTTTCAGTTTCTTGCTTTTCAAGTGATAATTTGCTTTTTGGGCTCTAATAGCAGATTCTCGTTCTTAATCCAAGGTAGCAGAGACGATAGTATTGCAAATCATGCGGACTATTTACTTCTGGTTCCATTAGTTTGATCACTCCAGATTCCACAATTGGTAGTGTCGCCTAACTGTATCAACCAAACCCCTTACGACACACAAAATGCTAGACCGGAATTCAAGAGCTCAGCGGCTAGATTCCTACGACGAACACTTGTTGTCATAACAAATTGTCACTGACTCTGTTCGTACAATTTTCCCTGATTCTATATGACTGCATTGGTCATTGCTTGACGTGGTCATCTGCGTAGATACTGCGTGGTTTGGCGATAAGATATTCTCTTGGCTCTCGTCGTCAGCGATGGTAAAACCAAGATACCCGGGGGTGTTAGTCAGCGCCGCGCAGAGCTAAACACCCCCTCCTCACGGAGGGGGCGAAAAAAGGGGGGTTGTAGCAGGAAAAGGGGGGTTGCAGCCTGTCCCTACTTTGTCTTGACTTTTGTTATATTCTCACTAAAACAATCAATTATTTAGACATTTCATTGACAGATATTAATACTATTTAAACTAACTATCCTTATTTAATACAGTCAATATGCCCTGCTAATATAACAAGAATATGACTATTGCCAAAAAGGCCGCCAAAGTGGTATTTGCTGCCCAGCAACGGGCTGGCCACTTTGATCGGGCTGGCAAGTAGATATCTGCTATATCTATCCGCGAGGTTGCCCGGCAGTATGGCGTATCTGATACGTCTATTCACCGGCATCTCTGGGCCCTTTGGGCTAGCCATAACCTCCGGGCAAGCCCACCGGCTGCCCTTGGCCAGCCCTGGGCGTTAATGGACGCCGAAGACGCGGCTCTTGTGGCCTTCGTTATATGGCTTGCTGAAGCTAGCTTCCTGGCCTTGCTGATACAGGTTAAGGAAATAGCTAATTACCTCTATGACCTCTAGGGTATCTGCCCCGTCTTAGAGCACTTTGTCTGTACTTGGCTTGCCGACTACCTAGAGCTTTAAAAGAAGTCTGCTATTAAGCCGGTTAAGCTATACTAAAAGAGAGCAGAGCTAGATCTGGCCTTAATAGAGGACTTTTTTGCTTGGTACTAGGTAATTGTATAAGAGTATAATCTTAGCTTTTCTGATATTTAGAACGCTAATAAGTCTAGGTACTAGATTAGTTGCCTTAGTAGCTAGATATATATAATACTGTTTTAGTGGCTATTAAAATATAATTGTTTACTAAAGGTTATTAATCTTATAAATTAAGAGTTATATATACTTATTAAATATAGTAATACTATTAATAATAATATATTAAAATATTTAATTTTTAAAATATAGCTAATTATTACTTAAATAAATTATTAAGTTTAAAAAGGTATTTATTTTATATATTTATTAATTAGCTTTTTAAACTAAGAGGTTATAATAAACTATATATAATATTTTAATATTAAGTTATATATAAAGTTAATAAAGTATTATTATATAAGCTATTTATTTAAAGATTATTTTAATATTAATATATATAGCTATTATAACTATAATTTATATTTACTTAATAAAAAGCTAAATAAAGTATATTAATAATATTATAACTATTAAAATATTATTAAAAAGTTAAAATAGTTATATTATTTACTTTTATTAAATAAATTTATTAGTTATATTAGTATAAAGCTTATAAAGTATTATATTAACTTTAATATTATTTTAGGTTTTTTTTTACTTTATATAATATACTTTTTTTAGTTAATAGATATTAAAGTTTTCTAGTTATTTAAAAGTATTTAGTAAAAGGTGCTTTATAATTATATATAAGATAATAACCTTATATTTATAAAAAGTAATTTTATTATTATTTTTATTAATATAACTAATATTACCTTTATAGCTATAAATATTATAAAAGGGTTTAAAAAATTAGGTATTTAGCCTATTAAAGATAATATTATATTAGCCTAGTTAATAAAAAAGATATAGTAAAGTAAAGCTAATATATTATCTTATTTTATATATTTTTTATTATATAATAATTATTTTAATAAAGCTATATTTATTATTAATTATATAAAAGAGAAATATAATAACTTATAAAGTACCTTTTTAAAAAAAGAATTTAAAGTAATTAAAGAAGTAATTAATAAAAGAACTCTTAGTTATAAGTATTAATAAAGTTATATTAAAGACTATAATAAGAAGCTAATAATATAGTAATAAAAAAGCTAAGCCTAGTAAGCTATTAAGCTAAGCTACTTATTTATATTAAGTATTATTTTTAATAATATAAAAAAAGTATATAAAAAGTAAATAACTAAGGCTATATAAGTAAAGTAATAGTAATAGTAAGTAGTAGTTAAAAAAATAACTTATAGCTAAAAAAAAAAAGTTTACTAATAATATAGTACTTTAAAGTATTAAATAATATGTTGGAATAACAGCACCAGCTAGTTATATAACACGCACAACTCAAAGACACACATCATAACAGAGGGCACAAACTAGATATTCAGCCCTCAGTTATCCATTAAGGGGATCAAAAGTATATTTATACTAAACTAACTTAAAAACATATAAGATCATATATCTTATATATAAAAGCCAAGTTTTATAGTTAAAAAGATAATTATAGAAAATATATCTTTAGTTTACCTTAACTTTAACCTAAGTATAATCATATAAATAGGTTCTCTTAGAAAGAAAAAATCCATTTAATACTAATTAGTAGTTATTTAGTAATTTATATAATTACTTTATATAATTACAGATTAGTAAAAGTAAAAAGACAAAACTTAGGCTTTATAGCTAGGCTACTAGGTAATCTTGTATTTTATGTAAAACAAGAAATCCTTAAGGATACCTAAGGGGTTATACTAGAAAGTCTTTTATGCTAAGAAGCCTTAATCCTACCTATTATTGCCTATTAAGCTAAACTAAGTAAATAAAATAAAGATGACTTTTACTTTATTATTATATAAGATAGATTCCTGTTATTACCTACTAAACTAAACCAAACAAAAATCTTTATTGTACTATATATAGAATATAAAGTATATACTATAACACTAAATAAACCAATTTTAATATTATATAATACAAAATAACTACTAAATATAATATAGCTTCCTAAAAGGATCTAAAAGATAATTATTAAAGCTAATATAATAATATTAATAAATACCTACTAATATATAAAGAAATAAGTATAAAGAGCAAAGTCCTACTATATACATAAAAAAAGACTATAAATCCTAAACGCTAAAGAAATCTAGTTAATATTATATAAGTACTATCTAAAAAAAAAATAACTATATATATTATATATATTAACATAAAAATACTTTATTTTAAGTAATTAAAAAAAAACCTAATAATATTATTATATAAAAATTTTAATAAATAATTTACCTTTTAATAAGAAAAGGTCTATTATATATTTAAGGCAAAGTTTATATAACTTATTAAGCTAAAAAGATTCTAATTACTACTAATAAAAAATATAAATCAATAACTAATTAAATTTATTAAGGAGATTAGAAGAAAGTTTAATAAGCAAAAAGAATAGTTTTCTACTTATATAGCATTTACACCAAGTTATATAATTATAATAACTTAAATACTTATTTAAAACCTTAAATTAACTTTACCCTAAAACATAGCTAAACTAATAATAAAGCTAATTAAACCCTTATATAATACATAGATAACTTAAACATCAATTATATAAGAGTAGTTATAATTAGTTTTAAGAAATATATTTCCTAGAACAAGATTTATATAAGAAGTTAAGAGTTTTCTATAAATCTAAGGTTATATAATACCTTTATATTAAGAAAATAATATTTATAACTTATTACTAAAATAAATAATTTAAAATAAATTATATAAGTTAACTATAATTTTAATTTTCTAAAAGGAATAAAGAAAAAACAAGAATTATATAAGTAAACTATATAATATCTTATATAACAAAGCAAAGGTCTTTATTAGTTTTTGTTAACGCCTTAGGATTACTAAAGACTAATACTATATAGTATTTCCTAATATCTTAGCTAATTATATAAAAGAGTTTTATTTTTATTATATTAGACTAATAAGGAGATAAGATAAGATATATAATATATTAGAAATACACTTTAATACTAATATTAACTATACTCTTTATTAAATAGATTAAATAAGTCTATTTTTTATATAAGTTAAATAAGATAATCTAGACAAGAATCTAATAGATATATTAGAGATACTCTTAGACAAAATACCCCTTATATAGTAAGTACTTAGCTGTTATGGTCAGATATCTGACAGTGGTGTTTTCTGCTAATAGGTAGCTGAGGTTAATACTTGGTAACAGTAAGGTAAGTCTTGTTGGTAATCTTGCTGGTCTGTTGGTGTCTGGTGATTAGTCAGGCACGTCTAGGCGTAGATAGCTTTATAGCTTCATAATAGAAGGATAATCTAAGAGTTACTTATAAGAGAGTGAATCATGAAGTTACTTGCTGAAAAGCTATAGAAGGTATCTAGTCTAGTTGGAATGATTGTTCTTATATTCTATTGTTGTCCTATTAGGACTGATCTCTTGAAGTCAGTCCTTGATAAGGACTGATTCTTGGTATGTTGGTCCTGGGTCATGGACTGCTTATTTGTTGTTAGTCTTTCTTATCTTTAT